AGTTAAAATAATATTTATTAAATTAAAAAACTTTAATTAATAAAAATATAATTATATAATTAAAGTAAAATCTTTAAACCTATAAGAATATTTAAATATTAATAATAAAAAGGTATAATTAAAAGAATTATAACCTTTATAATATTAAAATTATTTAATTAAACTTATAATAAATAAAGTAATAATATTAATAAACCTTATAATAAAAAAAAAGCTTTATTTATTTTAAATTAAAATATATATATATAAATAAATAAAAAATATATAAAATATAAATAAAATATTAAAAAAATAATTATATAAATATAAAATATTATTATTTTAAATTATAAACTTATATTTTTAAAGCTTAAAAAATATTTATTAATAATATAATAATATTTATAAAATTAATATTATTATTTAAATAAATATTAAAAAAGAAATAAAAATATAATATAAAGTAATAATATTTAAGCTTTTAAGTAAAGTTTTAAACCTATTTATATAAATAAATAATTAAAAAATTATTATAATTAAAAGAATTAAAAAAGGCTTTATTAAATTAAAGTTTTTAAATATATTAATTTTTAATTTAAAATATATATTTAAAGGAATAATTTTTAATTAAATTATTAATTATTATATAATTAATTAAACTATAATAAAAGTAAAATAATTAATTTATATTAATATAATAATAATATTAAAGTAATATATTTTAATATATTTATTATTATTTAAAGATAATAGAATATTTAAAGGTATATTCCTTATTTATAAAATTAATAAATAAGAAAAAAGTAATAAAGATAAATAACTTTAATAAAAAATAAATTATTTAAACTTATATTATTAATAAAAATAAAAATAAAGTTATATTAATAATTAAAAAAAGAGCTTATAAAAAATTATATTAAAGTAATTATAAATTAATATTTAAATATATAAAGTATATTAAAGATTTTATAAGTTTAAAAATTATTAATATATATTATTAAATAAGGTATTTATTTATTAAATAAATTAAACCTTTATAAAATAAATTATAATATAAGTTATTAAAGATAATTTAAAATTAATAAAAAGAATAATTAAGTTAAATAATAAAAAATAAAATATAAAACTTAAAATTTAAAATAAATAATTAATTAATTAAATTATAAGTAATATATTTATAACTTAAAAGGTTATTTTTAAAGGAAATAAGCTATAATACCTTTTTAAAAATTTAATAATTTTAAACTTAAAAGGAATTCTTTATATCTTTAATAAAATAGTTAAATTTTTAAACTTTAAATAAATTAAGTTAAAAAACTTAATTATAATAAAGGATTTAATAATATTTATTTTAAGTTATAAAAAAATAAATATTAATATTTAAAAACTTAAAAAGTTAAAAATTATATAATTATTAAATATAATATATTATAAAAACTTTATAATTAATATAATTTTATTAAAAAGATTTTAATAAAATAATTATTAATAAAATATAAAACTTAAATTATTAATACTTTAAAAGTAAAAAGATAATAATATTATTTATTAAATATAAAAATAGTTTAATTAATTTATATTAAAATATTTTTTATTATTATTAATTAAATAAATATTTTATTTATAAAGAGAATAATTTAATATATATATAAAAAGGAAATTAAATTATATAAATATTTTAAAATAATACCTTTATTTAAATTATATTAGCTTTAACTTTTTTAAATACTTAATATAAAAGTTTTTAAAAGTTAAAATTAAAAAAAGCTTAAAAGTTAAAATAGCTATAATAAATTATAATACTTATATTTAAATTAAATTATAATATTAAATTAAATAAATAAAGTATATAAAGTTTAATAAATTTAAAATATAAATTATTATTAACTTTTATAATTTTAAAAAAACTATATATTTTAATAATTTTATAATAATTATTATAAATAAATATTTAAAATATATTTAAAACTACTTTTTTAAAAATAAATAAATTAAAAGTATAATAAATATATTTAAAAGGTTAATAAAGTATTTATAAAATCGATATTAAATTAAAGTTAAAGTAATTAAATATAATAATAAAATCCTTAAATATAAAAATAGTTTAAAAGCATTTTAAAATACCTTTTTAAATTATAAAATTATATTTAAATCTTTAATAATTAATATATAAAATTAAAATAAAATAGTTAAATATTTAAAAAGTATAATAAAGAATAAAGTTTATATAATATACTTTAATTTAAAGAAGATTACTTTAATTAATTAAATTTAAAGGTTTAAATTAATTATTTAATTAATTATAATTTTATAAATATATATAAAATTTAAAACCTTTTAAATAATTATATTAAATTAATTTAAAATATATAGTTTTAAAAGAAGTTTATTTATTTTAAAAATTTAAAAAACTTATAAAAAATATTAAAAAGTTCCTTTTTAAAATAATTAAAGCATTATTTATAAAGAAAGACCTTTAAAAGATTTAATTTAAAATAATTAATAAATACTTTAAATTAAATTATAAAGTTTATTAAAATATAATAAAGAATAATATTAAAGGTATTAAAATTTTAAAAAATAAAAAAAGTATAATAAAAAATAAAGTTATAAGCTTTAAAATAATTTATAAACTTAATTAACTTTATATATAAACTATTTTTATATTATATTTTTTACCTTTAAGTTTTACTTTTTTATTAAATTTTTTTAATATTATAATTAAAGAAGTTAATTAAATAATTTATCTTATAAAAGCTATATTAATTATTAATAAATTTAAATTTAAAGTTAAAGAAAAACTTTTAATACTTTATATTATAAGTTTAATATATAAAAAATATTAATAAATTATATTTAATATAAAATATTTATATATTATAAAATTATTTATTAATATATTAATAAATAAAGTAAAAAAAGTTAAAATAATAAATTATTTTTAATATTACTTTAATTTTTAAAAAAAGAAAATAAATTTTTTAAATAAAGTTATATTTAATATTATAAAAAACTTTAATATAAAGTATTATTAAAATTTTAAATAAAAGCTATTAATTAAAAGAAAAGTTTATAAAATAAAGCTACTTTTATTATTTAAAATTTATAAAGATTTAAATATATACTTTATAAAAAAGAGTTTTTATATAATAAAGAAATTATATTTTAAAAGCTATAAAAAAATAACTTTATAATATAAGGTTAATTAAAGGATTATGTATAAAAAACTTACCTTTAATTATATATAAATATATATATATAAATTTAATAAATATAATTATTTTATAAAATATAAAACTTAATTAATAGTTTAAAAAAATTAATAACCTTATTTAAATATAAAAGAAATATATACCTTTATATTAATAAAGAAATTATTTAAAACCTTAATAATAATAATAGTTAAATTTAATTTAAAATTAAAGTAATATAATATAATTAATACCTTTATTAATATTAAATTAAATAAAGAAATTTATATAAAGATATTTTTAAAGTATAAAAAGAATAATATTTTTTTATAACTTTAAAAAGCTTTATATAAATTTAAAAAGTTTCCCTTTTTATAATAAAAAAAGTTAATAATTATATTCTTTTATTTAAAATATATAATAATATTATATAAGTTATATTATTATATAAAAAATAAAATATTAATATTTATTTATATAAATAATATTATCTTTATTTATTAAAATTATAAAAAAGCTTTTATAATAAAATTAATTTAAAAATTTAAAACTAAATATTAATTTATAAATAAAAAAGATTTTTAATAATTTTTAAAAGTTAAAATAATTAAAGATTATTAATAAAAGTTAATTTAACTTTTTTAATTTTTATATATTAAAAAGATTAATAAATTAAATAATTTAAAAGAAAAAAAAATATTTAACCTTTATAAAAATTTAAAAGTTATTCCTTTATTAAAGATTAATTATAATTAATAAAATATATATTTATTAAAAGAAAATAAGCTTTATTATATATATTATAATAATTATATATTTAAATATTATATTTTTTATATTAAAACTTTTTTAATTTAATTTAAATCTTAATTTAAAATATTATTATAAAGTTAATTAAACTTTAAATTATTTCCTTTAAATATAATATTATACCCTTAAATTTAAAAAAAGTAATAACTTTATTATTATAAGTAATTCTTTATTTATTAATAATATTATTAATTATTAAAGTTAAACTTTTAACTTTAATATAAATTAATAAAAAAGTTATATTTATTAATTAATTAATTAAAGAATTTAAAGTTACTTTAAATAATTAATAAATTATTAAGCTTTTAAAAAAGAAGGTATTTATATTAAAAATTAAACTTTAATATATAAATATATATAATTATTAATTATAATAAAAGGTTTAAAAAGAAATTTTAAATATTATTTATATTTTTATAAATAATATAATTATAAATAAATTTATAAAAGCACTTTTAATAATTAAATAAATTAAATTTATAATTTAATTAAGGTTAAAAAATATAAAAGTATATATTTTAAAATAAAAGTAAAGAAAGATTATTTAAAAAGACTTTAATAACTTTAAAGATAAACTATTTAAAGAAAAAGTAAAAATTTAAATATTATAAAAGTAACTTAAAGGATAGCTTTAAAGTAAATTATAAAGAAATTAGCCCTAAAGGGGTATATTAAAATAAAGGATATATTAATAAATAATATAATATAGGGGGTAAGTTAAAATAGCTTTAATTTTAGAGATCCACCCTATAAAATTACTAGTATATGCCTTAAGGGTAAAGCAGAATTTGCTTAACAATAATATATATACTTCTAAACCTCCAATCAACTAGCTTGCCTATTCTGATAGTATTTACATATTCTTGCTACGGCTGCACTACATGTACAGTCTGTACCTGGTAGGGAGGTACGGTACCTAGTGTAGGTAGATACAGTAGAGTACATACGGTAGGTAGTACATACATATGTATGTGTAAGTATGTAGGTACATGCTCCATCGTACCACCCCACCTCCCACATGGTTACAAGTGCGTCACTTGACTGCCACAAACGGCGGGGTCAAAGGTGAAAGCCGTTATCGATTCCGAACCCCCGATGACGGATGCGAGACTAAAGATTTCAGGGTTTTGCTTACTACCACTTAGGTAGAACATGGCCACTGAGCTAGTTCCCTCTGTGATAGGAGGTGTTTAAGGTCTTAAGTAACGGTCTGGCCTACAGCGGGTTTCCAAGGTAGTCCCTCAAACTCCTCCATTGCCCAATTCTCGAGGATACTCGTTCTTTGTTGTTCTTTGGATCAAGCTGAACTCTGGACGGGAAGCCAATGCGCATTGAAATTGTCTAATTTCCAGTATGGCTCAGCCTGTCGAGACTAAAGCGCCGGACCAAGGCTTCGTTCCGGAACCATTCAACAGCCCTACCACAGGACCCTCCGATGTCGACGATTCCACCGAGGACAGCGCGGAACGACCAACGAACGGCGTGCGAGATGGAAAGGCTTCTTCCAAGAGGAGGAGAAGGAGACGAACCAAGGATGGTGGAATTTCTGAAGTGAAGGAACAGCGCAACTCCTCCAAGAGGCGTAACAGCTTGCACAAAGCTGCCCGAGACCCGCTAGATGAGCCAAGGAGGAAGAGGAAGAGGAAGTCCAAATCAGAAGGCGTTATCACAAGATCCCCCAGTCCTCTCATCGATTTCGATGGCCTCAGTCGACCAAGTTCGTTGTATATCCTTATTCCTCCCCCCCCCGATCCAACTTCCACGATACTAACCAACCCGTCACAGGCAGAGGAACGCGAGAGCGACTAGAAGAAAGCACCGAAAAAGCCGCCGTACGATTAGAAAAGCTCCGAGGAGCAGTACGAACCATCCTTGAATGTGTCGGCGAGGATCCAGACCGGGAGGGGATCCTTGAAACGCCGACCCGGTATGCGAAGGCAATGCTGTTCTTCACCAAGGGCTACCAGCAGAACGTTAAAGACATTGTCAACAATGCCATTTTCCATGAAAACCATAATGAAATGGTCATCGTTAAGGATATTGAACTCTCTAGCCTCTGCGAACATCATCTGGTCCCCTTCACCGGAAAGGTATGCCAAATTCTTCGTCATTTCAACTCCAATGCTAACCCAAGTAAGATGCACATAGGATACATACCCGACGACAATGTTATCGGAATATCCAAGCTTCCACGTATTGCTGAGATGTTCAGTCGCCGGCTCCAGGTCCAAGAGCGACTGACACGCGAAGTTGCGAATGCCATCATGGAAATTCTTAAGCCGCAGGGTGTAGCAGTTGTCATGGAATCCAGTCACCTGTGTATGGTGATGCGTGGCGTCCAAAAGACTACGGCAACCACAATTACTAGCTGTGTGCTTGGATGCTTTGAGCGCAAAGAGAAGACGAGAAACGAGTTCCTCAGCCTCGTTGGCGTGAATAGAGGGTTTGCATAAACGGCTAAAATAGATTGCAGGGGTGGGCAATGAGGTTCGAATTCCCAAGAGGCGTTTACGGGACATAGAGCATAGGGATCTCAACATCGGCTCATGCGAGGGGGGTTGTGTTGTCATGTACATCAGCATAAGGGCGAGAGGGTGATCAACATCTCGGTACTAAAATGTAGGATTATGGGGTGGCAAATTTGTTTTTGTTCAACAGCAGTGTCATACCATCAACTGCACTGATACCCCAAAATACAGAAAGATTAAGGTTCTGATACCACGCAAATTTGATAATAAATTTTAAGACATGTTGGTTATCAACTATCGGTGGTTTAATACATACTTTGGTACATGTTACCTAACACCACCAGTTCTCTACGACTTATTCTGAGAGAGCTAGAAGAGGCTCACGTCTCTGAGAAATGGCTAAGGAGGAAGACACCCCTCCAGATGTTTAGAAAAGAGAGAACTACCCATTTTGATCACTCAGTCGTCCTGGTGGTATTACTGGAGTTTAGAACTGTAGGGGCAAGGATGCACTTAAGAGTCACCTAGGTAGTATCGCGAAAATATGACGGTTGTTGATTCTGTCCAAATCGGAAGCAATTTTTCATGTCGTGTTGGCGAGGGATTCAGCTAGCCTCCGCTCATTGCGCGGTTTGAACGAGACTCGATACGCGCGTGGTGCCATTATCAAGTCCGTGGGGATCTTCATGTCCTTGCTGGGGTCGCAATCTATCTTCTCCGATGTCTCGATACGGAAGCTACTAAGCAGGCGCATGAATATGAGATACAACTCTCGCATGGTAAGGAGGTGTCCGGCACACATTCGATAGCCGAGCCCGAAGGCGAAGACTGGGGCATCCGGTCGCGCGAACCACCGCTCCGGCTCAAAACGGTCTGGATCGGGAAACAACTCAGGATCTGCGAACAGGCGTCAGCCCTTAGGACTTTAGGTAATAGGTAGAAATTTGAAGACGAGGGGGAGATATGGAGGACTTACCGCGATTACAGGCCCAGGCATTCATATAAACAGTACTTCCTGATGGAATCCTTACACCTTCGTATTCAATGTCCTTGATTGTTTCTCTCGGTAGAGCCAATGGGATCACACTAAAGTACCTCAGAGCTTCCTTCGCCAGACCTAATATGTATCCGCACTTCTGATCGTCGGACGCGTCGCATAACGGCTCGTCGGAGCCCTGGAACTTGCATATCTCCTCATACGCCTTGTCTTGAATATCCTGATGCTGAGCCAAGAAAGCAATAGACCACTGCATAGTGTTTGATACCGTCTCAAACCCGCCTCCTAGCACAGACAGACTGATGGCAGTTAATTCTGTTTCCGTGAGTTCCACTTCCTTGAATTTGATCACGCTTGCTTGTATGCATGGCTTGTTGGAGCCTTCTTGCATCTTCTTAGCGAGATCGCTGCTTAGCTCGGCCAGATATTCGTCGCGACGTTCTCTCATAATCCGTGCTTTGGCCGAAGTTGGATTAAATGGATTAAGGCGCAGGATGGGTATGTGGTCTTGAGCATTGCCGACTGTTGATCTGGTTCGATTGAGCTCCTCCTCGACGGCGACGATCTCCTTGAACAGTTTGTCGTCAATGGATGGAATGCGAACGCCCCAGTTGATTGTCATAACCAGAGATAAACTGAGGCGCTGGATCATAGGTAACGGATCAATAGTGACGGTCCCTGCCTTTCCATATGTCATCAAGTCATCGATGAATGCCCTCGTCTCCTGGTCGAAATATGGTACGTAGGTTTGTATCGACGGACGATTCAGTGCAGCGGCTATTCCCTTCTTTTTCCGCTTGAGGCTGTCGTCATATGGCGATGCTCCGATCGTCAATCCTGCTGTAGTCGAGGCCACCTATAAAGCGTCACTACTATGCTGATCCGTCATAGGGGTTCTGGGCATGAAGTACCTTGTGGAACGTGTAAGTCACCGGTCGCGAACTTAGCGCGTGAGAGTTCGTCAAGAATATGTTTTTCGCAGCTGTTGGAGTATTCACGATGACGACCGTCGTACTTCCCAGCTGCACTTGGTAGACATCTCCATACTGTTTCCCCCAGGAATCGTACTGGAGCGCCGCGTTACTCACGATGTCGAAATAGTTCCCTACAATCGGCCATCCTCTGGGTCCCTTCAAGCCTGGTATTCTCGCAGACAATCGAGCAAACTCACTTCCCACGAGCCAAAGAACAAGACTCACGCAGCTCCCGAGTATAAGCAGCTCGAGCATGTGCGCTGTGAGCTTTTGGCTGATGAGATGAACGACGGATTCCATTTCGTGTTCTTGGTTTGGATAGCGGCTGTTATTACGGCGAGATGTTACTCCAGCCACACCCGGTCCTCCACAGAGATGACTTTGCAGAGGCACATAATCAGATATTTATATTACGTTTGCGGTTACACCAACTCTACGTTCCTCCGCCGAGCCGGTAGTTGATGACAGCTACCCCGCGCATTGCCCGCGAATACCGACTCGAAGCTGGGGAAACCGGGCCTCGGGACATTGCCGAGCATTTCCGAACAAAGCGCCTGGGTCTGTGACCTAGAACAAGCTAGTCGCTGCTGGCCAACACATGCTTAACAGCTTAACACATGCTTCGCGGTCGAATAGAAATGCTAACAAAGCCTGTTATCTCTACATACATACATAGGTAAATAGTAAGCACGTACCTATACGGCAGCGGGCCCTACACGTACGTACTTACTATGTATTCTTATCGGCATGCTGGTTCGATCTGAACATCCACTGCGGATGATCAGTCGGACTATCCAGCAGCTGTCTCATCTTCTCGATGAAGGGGCGCCCAGGGCCTAAGAATAACGTGCCGTATTTGATGCATAAAGCGGCTTGTTGCGAGGCCTTTTCAGCCTCGCCGAGACCTATCCACTCTACCGCCGCACGATAATGTGCCTCCTGTATGCGACTCTCAAGACCCTCTTGATTATACAGAGAGATAAGGCGTTCCGCCATCGCCGGCGTTGCACCGGACGACGCTGAGTAATTGTCTAGCTGTTTCCATAAGCGATGAATCTCCGTGATGTTCCCGTCTGACTCGGCGACTTGAGTTGTGTTAGCGCTGCAGCGCTCACATGAGCATTCAAAGCCCCAGCTTTTCAACCGCTTCTGTCTTTCCGACTTCACCAGAACTGGGCTATCAAGTCGTCCAATCAGTATCATGCGCTCATTGTATGAAGCCTTCAACGGATCACAACTGAACTTACTCAATATATGCGATTGAGAGCTCTTCTCCCGGTTGTATATCACGAACAGCGACGACATGTTGAGAAAACGTATTGCTGTCGAAGTGATACACGCAATTCGGTCGACAGCTGTGATTGATCCGTGATACTTGGGCTTCTCAATATATTGCCCTTTTTAGATCAGACGAGGAAAAACTACACACCTGTAGTAAAAAGTGACCGAAAATTCGACTTGCCATCATGAATTCCGGTCGAAAACGAGTTTGTTCTGAATATCTTGCCAACCTTTTCTACATGGGTGCTCGCGATATCGTGTGTGGACAACCCAAGTACTTCTTCTCGGTGCGCCGTTGGCAGACTATCAACAGCACGAGCAAGGAGGTCGTCTAGCTTGTGTCTTTGAAGTTTCTCGACGGCCTTGACATTGACAACTAGAGCTGGTGTCCGCGAGATGAGGTTTTGACCTGCCTGGAGAACTTTCGTGGCCACCAACCCGCGGCCCTTGCCCGGTATCTCCACCTCACGATATGGTCCATCTGTTCTTGGGATTGAAACCTTTTGTTTGAAAGCTATCCTCGCAGTGATTTTCTCCGTGCTCTCTGCTGTTGTGATCAACGATATTCCTTCTCCATTGTTGAATCGGAGATCTGTATAAATGCAATATTCGTCAGAACCGGCATCGTAGCAAGTGTTACCAACGCTCCAGGATCCTCCCCGTAGGTATGAGCCTTTGCTTGCGTTATTTTCAAATAAGTCGTAATCCTCGGTTTCTAAAGGACAGCACAGCAAAGGGTCAAAAACGCTCGGCGTAGTGCATATGGGTGGTAGAAGAAACCCGACGGCTGTCCTTAGGAAGACTAATACCGATAATCTGTGCATACTTTGTCTAGGGGCCCAACCCTTATGCTCAATATCGTATACTTTTTATCATTAACAGAAGCTTTCAAGGCTACGTGTATAGGTAGACTGTTTGCCTTTATTGTTGTTCTGCCTGGCAGCAAGGGATCTAGGTGGATGCCAAGTAGCTAGGGGCAGAAGTGTAACACTACTTGTAAGAGCGTTGGAGATCACGGGTGCAGATGAGCGCAGGCGATAAGACGAATCAGTGTGGGATCAAAAGTCATTTGAAAAGAAATCAACTCATCAGTATTTTTCTCCCTCGCTCTTTTGCTTCGTACTAGATAAACACATAAGAATCCTCGAAGAACCGACATGATTACTTAACCATCTCCCGCCAGCAGCTCAAGCCCTCCGGTAGATGTTCTCACGCTGCCTATTCACTACAATTCAAGCCGTGTAAGGCCTCATCAAATGTGCCCGAACACTTCTCAGTCGTGATGTCAATCAAGACAGGAATCTCTGCTTGCTTCAGAGCCCATGAACAAAAACCACTCGCAGCACATGTACCCTGCATATTCTCCCCCACTTCGAAATGGCCAATGCCGCTGTAGACTATCACGTCTTCATCCTGGGGCTGTGATGTGTTTATAGCTCTCCAATGCAAATAGAAATTCGTCGTGGGAGAAGGATTTTCGGCGTCGGTTGCCTTTAGGAGTTCAATCGACCAAGCCCAGCTCACCGAACCCCTCGCATCGGATATCTCGCAGTCCAATATCTGATTATATGGTATATCTGGCCATTGCCAAGCTAATGCGCAGTATACTTGTGCGCCGTCGGCATCTGACACGTCTTTGGTTGGGTCTGGGTCCGTGATGTTCGCGTGGATGTAATAATCAGGGCTACTGCCAGGCCGACCCGAGGGTGACCATGTGTTCAAAGACGTGACTGAGAATCTTCCGAACGCGGAGGCAGCGAATAGGGGAATAGCCAATCCCAGCACTTGAAGATAGCGACGGATCTGCATGATGAAGAAGTCTCCAAGCGGCAACTGAAAGCATACGAATATGACGATGTAGGTATATCCCGCGGACAACCCAGGCTACAGTTGACAGGCACAATTGAGGGCAAGAGGAACTTCTCGGGGGTTTAATACTTTCGATTCCCAAGAGAGATGCGACCTGAGTTTGAGCAACCCAGGTAGCACCGTGACATTGCATCACCTAGGAGGATTCGTACACAGCTCTGGATCACCCTCATGCATCGCTACCAGCGTCGGTTAAATTGAGACTTCCTCCATAGAGAAAGCCAAGACCCGTATAATGCTGTGCGATAGGCGTACAATCCTCGTATAGACTTTACCGCTCATTCTAGACGTCGGGTTTCAACAGCATGTGGTTATACGTGGCGTGATCTAGTTTTCTGCAGATGTTCAATAATTAAATAGAAGTCAGCACAGTACAACCATGCCCCACTAGAGCTGAATGTTGACATATGCACATCATAAAAACCCCCTCGCGACATTCCCGTGTGCTTCGCTACATATGAACCATGTTCGGAACGTCTTATGTGGCTTGACTTGGACCTCAACGGTGCTACTCTACCTGTATTCAGAAGCCTAGTTTTTAGATTGTTCTACTCATGGCATGGCCCCAACTAGAAAGCTGTTGAAGGATTTAAAGCGTGACAATCAATAGGTATTTATATTGCTTGCCCATCAGATCCAAAGGGGGGACGGGTGTATTGTAGTTCTGAAATATAGTCACCGGTTTCGTCAGCGAGGAAACTTATCTACAATTATCTACAGTCCAACGCGCATATCTCACCTATCGTTGTTCTCAAAGATCGTGATCTCAGTACTGTGATAAGGTTGGGTGTGTGTGTTGGATTTACCACTGTACCAAAAGATCTTATTACTTGGACAAAACGTTATTATTGGTCTTAATCCAACAGTGTGCACTGCCATTGTAGCGGCATGTAGCCTACAGAACTAATAACTATAGGATGATGGGGTTGCTAAAGGAATCAGATAATCTCAAACGCAGGGTAGTGCTCTAAATGATCCCGATATATGTGTAACCCACACAACTTCTGAATACTCACTCATTGTGCCCCGACTAAGAGTCAGTCTTCGCAGGAGTCCTACTGCATATGAGAGGCTACAGAAAATAAAGAAATCACCCGATTCACATATATTGGCTCGAGAAAAGTTTAGCCAAGGACTTTAAACTAACTCCGTCAATTAGACGTTTCCTCAACGACATCTTTCGCAGACCCTGGCTGATATAGAGAGTGCTTCTTTAAGTCGAGGGAATACGAAGCTCTATGAATGATGGGATATAGTTCACGAAACTGGATTGGGTTACCCGCTACATTCACGACTAGCACCTCTAGCATGTAAGGGAGTTTTACTCATGATAATCCTATCGTAGGCTTTTGTTCCTTTGAAACATCATTACAACACCATTACAGATGAAGGCGGCATGAGTTTAGCTTACGACAATACCGACGGAAGAATCAGTAGACCAGGGGGGTACCGTGGTGTGCCTAGAATCCTGAGGGGCAAGTTACACAATTGGAAATAATATGTCAACGGGCGTTTTCTCGCGCAAGGTCCAATATGCAGTTTCACTTCAATAAGACATGCACATTATGATTAATTACCGCTCTTTAGACCAGCATTTCTGCTACTGAGAATGGAATTCCTTGAGTATGGCCTGAAACGCCTGTTGGACGGTAATTGTAGGTAGCCTGTAGGCCACTTTCTAGGGCCGTTATAGTAGCAGCTATAGGGGACGCACGCGCCATAGCACACCTGGACTTTATCTAGCCAATAGACGGAATGTTCACCAGTATCCTTCTGATTTAAAACACACGAACCGAGATCGAGAGTATAAGAAAACCAGATAAAATAGAATATAGCTACTCGTATCGTGTATCCCATGAGTCTGGATGCTAAACTTGTGCAGTGGCATATGTCATCGTCGTTTGAAAGCCACAACTTTACCTACCTACCTACCTGGGAGATACCTGTAAGTCATAAGACTAAATGTTCCACTCGTCAGCGCCATCTTGCTGAGGCGGATGACCGATGTCTCGAACACACACCTCTCCTGCCTTCCTTAAAGCAAGTCGGCGCGATATGATATTGCAACGTTAAATTAGACCTACGATGCTGCCAGTGAACAGAAACAGGCGTATGTCCTGGTACTAGTCAGGGGTATGAGGAACGGAAGAACCAGTAACATGCGTAGTTTCAGCCACCACCCCAAGGAGGGAATCCGACTCGTTTGCACTTCACCCAGGAAGTGCCGTCGAGTGCTGGATGTGGGCCTTCCGGACTGCTAGATGTGTAAGTGGTGTATGTATGTGCAGCCCGCCGTCGACCCTCCATCCCGTCATGTCGAAATGCGCCCATGTAATGTCTAGATGGCACAAATACATATAGGCCATGTGTCTTCCGGGGATGTCGTGCTAAGGTACGTGAGCTTCGTGGCAGAGCTTGAACATGTCTGTATTTGCCGCTGTGTTGTTTGGAGCTGCGGCGTCCCTCGCCATCCCGCTCAGCACATCGTCATCAGCTAACAGATATCCTGCCAGCAACCAGTTCCATCCGTTCCGACCCCTCGCCTTTCGGCCGGACGGGACTTTTCAGATTTCAATTCTTGAAGACTTGCATTTTGGCGAAAGTATGTTCACCATCGTACGTCTGCTTACTTAATACCACTGCTCGCTAATACGGCCACTGTAGATGCCTGGGATCAATGGGGCCCGCAGCAGGATATCAATTCAGTCAAAGTGATCAACAAAATCTTCAATAAAGAGTCACCTGAACTGGTCGTGTTGAATGGTGATCTTATCACAGGCGAAAACGGATTCTTAGAGAACAGCACCGTATACATTGATCAGATCGTTGGCCCTCTTGTTGCTTGGAACTTGACTTGGGCGTCCACTTATGGAAATCATGATTACGACTTCAATATTTCTGGGGATGCCATTCTCGAGCGTGAAAGAAACTGGAGAAATAGTCGTACATCTCCCATGATTTCCGGGCCGGACGCGGGTGTCTCCAATTACTATCTCCCAGTCTACGATTATGGCTGCCTAAACGAATATACTTGTGCCCCTCAGTTGATTCTTTGGTTCTTCGACAGTCGGGGCGGGTTCAAGTACCAGCAGGGAAACTCGACCAACAGGGTAGGACAACCGAATTGGGTTGACATCAGCGTTGTAGACTGGTTCAACGAGGCGAGCACTAGTCTCACGAAGAGATATCGCAAGGTAATTCCCTCGCTAGGCTTCGTCCACATCCCGCCATACGCCTCCTACGCTCTGCAAGATGCCGGTGTAGACCCGAACAAGGAGCCGGGCGTCAACGACGATGTACCACTCGCACCACAAGCTCAAGGATGGTGTCCAGATGGTCGCAATGATGGGACATGTACCTATGGTACTCAGGATACCGAGTTTATGCAGGCCATATCGCACACAGAAGGCTTCATGGCGTTGTTCTCCGGCCATGATCACGGAGACACGTGGTGCTACAGATGGGACAGGCTATTGCCTGGGATGGTTGTGACACCAGCGAACAACGTGACCCTCTGTTTCGGTCAGCACACGGGCTACGGCGGGTACGGGAACTGGGAGAGAGGCTCTCGTCAAGTAATGGTCTCGAAGGATGGCCTTGCCAAGTTCGAGGCTGACACTTGGATTCGTCTAGAATCAGGGAGCATAGTAGGCAGGGTCTCACTGAATAGCACATATGGGCAAGATCTTTATCCTAGAACGAATAACTCAATGACGCACTGCCCAACCTGCGAGTATTGAGGTAGTAACGAAAGACACGGGCTTAATATCATAATATTGGATAATTTCACATGAAGACAATTTCTCTCTGGGTATATAGTAATCGCCGAGAGTATGATCACTTATGGCTTGATAACTGGATACGGTTTTTGATCAGTAGAGCTCTGCCAAAAACACTTCTTAAAATAATAAATCTCACAGTCTCATAAGCGACTCAACATGTGGTTTCTCAGTTATTGCGAAAAATACAGGCGATGAAAAGCGCTCCGCTAGCTAACTTAGTCGATCAATTCGCCGCGCTTCAGATTTAGCGGTGTAGCTAAATTCGGGCGATGTGAATCCCAACTTGGAGCTGCGCAAGCGATTCTCAATCGATTGACAATGCACTGCCTATTTATTGTACAGTATGCAACGTCAAGTATATAAGTCGAACGCTGTTCTATCAGGACCTGACTACGCGTCTAAATCGCGACTCAAAACTTCCGTTTATAGGACTCCATACCCATCACAGTACTTGAGTGGCTTCTAGCAGTATTAACATCTAACAGAGATTCCCAGGCGAGTGCCTCGCTGACTAGTTCAATCCGGGCCAAAGATACCGAGGCAATGCATGCAGGATACCGTAGCTTTTTGACTAGATGTGGCCGGCATGGCCTTGTTCACCTACGAGACGTGAGTGGCCGTGGTGAACGCAATTAACTTGCTTACTTAGGCTCGTACACATGAAAACGAGCATGCCTTAGGTCTTGTCCCCGCCCTACTCTCCGGTTATTTTGTTAGATATAGGCGCCTCGCATTTTGCAATACACATAGAATAATGTATCAAGCTACCTACTAAATACAACGAGAACACTAGCGATACTCTGCTATCACAAGAATCGTAGTTTTCAACAGCCTACCCCGGTAGTATGCATCCTCGGCATCCACGTCGCACCTTAGAGGAACTAATAAGATGATACCCTTGTCTTTAGAACCCCGCGCTCTGCTCGCACACTTCGCCCACACCGTACTATCGTCTCACTTGTCGTCATAGGACACTCGAAATAAAACCGGGGTACCATGTAGTGTAAAGTTCGGTGTATGATTGTCAAGACAGCAGCGTGCCAAGGCATGGTAGTCGATTGGACAATGGGGGTGAATGGTGGATTAACGCCGCCTAAACCCTAGAAGGAGGGGATACGGGTCGACAGCAACGGTATCGCAGCAGCCATGGACAGGCCTAGATACTGTATCCTGGTTCTTCCTGTGCCTCTAACGGAGATGACTATTCACCAGGAACCACCAAGGCAAGGATATGCGCGATAAAGCATTGGTGATAAATTGATTGTACGATCTCTCGCCTTTTAGTTTGCCCTTCACAAAACCTAAATTCCAAGGCCGATCGGCGCAAAATACTCTTCAAGATCTATCATGACCGTCTCGTGAAATCAATATACCCTATACTCACCATGACGAGCATCATCAAACACGTGTCGGGGCTGTTCCGCATTACTCATCAATTTTTACTTCCATCGAAACCCGTCCTAATTGAGAAAGATGTACCTGATTTGAAGGGCAAAGTAGCCACTCCCAGCTCCAGGCATGAACGGCTCACGCTTTCGTCAGAGCCACGCTGTGCTACTTCAGCACGCAAGAGACGTGTGCTAATGATCTTCGCAGGTCACCATCGTCACAGGATCAAATACAGGTCTCGGCAAAGAGATCGCCCAGATTCTCTATTCCAAGAATGCCAAAGTTTACATGCTGGCACGCTCTGAGGAGAAAACCAAGAAGGCTATAGATAGTATCAAGACTGCCGTGCCGGATTCTGATGGCGAGCTGATATACCTGCACCTCGACCTCGCCGATCTCCCCAGTATAAAATCAACTGCCCAGGAGTTCCTCCGGCGGGAGTCTCAGCTCCATCTGCTCTTCAACAATGCTGGCGTCGCGTTTCCCCAAGCGGGCGCGAAGACCAAACAGGGATACGTGCTCGAAATTGGTGTGAACTGTCTAGGAACCTTCGCTATCACCAAGCTCCTGACGCCTACCATCATTGCTACTGCCAAGGTCTCCCCCCCAAACAGCGTTCGCGTGATTTATGTCTCATCAAACGCATCGGAGGGATTCAGCCCCGAGAACTTTGTGCAGAGCGTCTCGAACGCCGAGAACATGACGGCAACGGGGAAATACTTCTCGTCAAAGCTGGGCAATTATCTGCACGCGGCCGAATTCGCGAACCGATATAAGTCGACCGGCGTAGTGTCGCTGTCGTTGAACCCCGGCGCGTTGGACTCCGACCTATGGCGGGAGCAATATTCTGTAGTTACGTCATTCCTACGAGCAACTCTCCTGTATCCAACCATCTACGGCGCATACACTTGCTTGTATGCCGCGTTCTCTCCCGATATCACGTGCGAGAAGTCCGGCACTCATGGTCAGTGCTATCCCTCGTAGCCAATAGAAATAGTGACTAATGGTGAAGCGCAGTGTCCCCTTGGGGCCAGATATGGCAAGTATCAGCAGATATGAAAACGGCCGCAAAGACGCCGGGAGAAGGAGGTGATGGCACAGCGAAAGAATTTTGGGAATGGAGTGAAGCGCAAGTCAACAAATACCTCTAGATGATGTGCCTGCTTGTGTTCATCTGGTCACAAATAGGGAACAAGTAGAATGGACGTAATATCGAAGTTTTTTCTTTCTTATCTCAGTTTCCCGGGTTTTATGTCCAAGGCGTTACTGATGGTATAATAAATAGCCTGTGAATGCCACAGAGTCTAGGTGAGACATGAGACGTAGTTTAACACATCACGTATGATTGCTTGCCAGTATATTGACTCACCCCTTCACCCAGGTTCCTAGTAACACCAGGAGGCACAGCTACAGCCAATCAAGGTATTTGATTGGGCATAGCATATATGTAGATCGCAAGACTCGATCAGTAAAAAAGACTAAGAGACTAAAGAAGATTGTGCATGACATGACGGAAATAGGCCAATCAGGTCAACGTAAAACGACCAGATTTAATTAATAAAAGAAACGAACGAACAAAAAAGCGCTGCCTCCACGCGGAATCGAACCGCGGATCTTGTCATGAACTCGCAAGCTTTTGCATACGAGTGACACGCATTACCCCTGTGCCATAGAGGCAGTTGATTACATCAACATTTAACATATATGATATATTTATTAGTACCACTGGGCATACTTCAAATTACTGCGAGTCTGCAATATCAATATCACCAGCTCCTGTTACCAAGATTCCATTGCACTAACTAAGTATTAAGCTCTTTATATTGATTTTCAAAACTAGGCCCATCTGCAACTGGGAGACTGGCTGTCTTCCACAGTCACTATATTCTATGCCTTATAATTGAACTCTTGATGTTGGTATGCGTATTCCAAATATGTATCAGCCCGAGCTCGACGTCTTAATCAGCTGATAGAGCAATGCAGGACATGATAAGAACAAGTACCTATATAATAACATAGGAAGTGAAACCCAGAGGGTCTAACAGATAGCTTATTTCTACTTGCACTGCTGGTCATACTTATAAGAACGGAAGGTTCCCCTTTATTCAAATAGTAATTAAATAACACCCATGCAATACAAAAAGAGCATTTCTTCAGTCTTTTTGGGTAATAATATGTCTGCAGTCTCTAGTACGTAGACGGGATAACAGCAAGCCTACCCCCGTCAAGGTTAAAGATCGTGCCATTGCAATAGGCGCCAGCCTTGTTTGTGAGATATGCTGGCAACACTCATAGTCAGCTATCATACTATATCAAGGAGGGCGGTAGATGTTTAGATATACCCGGGCTTGAAATACCCAGTCCCCCGAACATCTCAAGTATTACCGGGAGATTATATTCAGAATGCGAATCTACTCACAGATTATGCCCGCGACCTCGTCTTTTAGTGCCAAACCGTCTAGCTGGTATGAAAGTACGAGCGTGGCACTGCTGCCCAGACTCATGCTAGGGGAGCCAATCAGGGGAAGAAAAGGTGAGCTTCAGACCGGCGGACCTATGCCTCTAAAATCCGTCAATGTGAATGGGAAGTTAGCAAGTAGGGCAATCACTCATATCTAGATACTTCTTACTTCATAAGCGAGCGCATATGAACATGATCATGGGTTAAGAGAGGCGTGCGATATTATGTCCTGTTGGACAGGAAAATCTTGGTGACAAAAGAAGTATAGACCATCAAAGAATGAACATCGGACTGACCAGGATTACCGCAAAGATATTGTAGGCTCTGAAGAGTTTCGCTTAAGCATAATTTGTAGCTCAAAAAGCGTGCACCGGGACTATGAAAGGGCTTGGTGAGGGCTTGTTCCCATGATCTGCTGTGACTGACGTCTTCCGTTGCATGACTGGGTTGAAGCTTAAATACATTAGTCTCCATAGCATCTGTTAGTCGTCCCACATGAGTGAGGGTTGAATTGCCTTCTCTGTGGCTACGCTTCATTATAAGTAAACATGATTATTTTTGTGTTTCAATAGCTTGGCAGCTTAAGGAGTTATAATGGCCAAGACCGTCCATCAGTATGGTCGGCGATAGAGAGTGCAGAGATCAAGTTGTATATACCGCTCATTATGATGTACATAATCATATCACTTCGCCTCACCTCATTTCACGGTCCTGACAGACCGTCCCTCCTCACCCCTCTCGACGGCCTCGATACGACCTCGGACAATCTCCCAGACCTTCTCAGCAAGTTCTTCCACACCCACATCGGCATCCACAATCTGGATGTCCTCCTCCTCCTGTCTGAACTCGCCCTCGGCCTCCGCGTCCCCTCCCTCGCGATCCCTGGCCGTACTGCTGTTCATGCCATTCCCAAACGGCACCCTCTCGTTCCTAGACGGGCCCTTGCCGTTATTAGCAGCGCCCTTGCTGCCGCTCACAGCGGGTCCCAGGTCCCCCATGCTCAAGCCCCAGAAAAGCTCCCGGACGCGGCGCTGCATCTCGCCCTTCTCATAGACCTCGCCGCCCCATCCACCTCGCGATCTAGCCACGGATTCCTCGAGGTCAAGGAATAACACCATATCGGGGCGCGGGAGACCAAGCTCAGGTGCCTTGGCCCAGGACAATGAGAGCGAAGGCAGTTGTTTTGCGGCGCTGTAGACGATGCCGCTGTGGTAGAAACGATCACAGATGATGGTGTGGCCGGCTTCTAGCTCGGTTCTGATCTTTTGCCTGTGGACCGGGGGCATGAGATAAAATGGATAGGTAGGGTTATAAATAAGGTAAAGAGAAGGGCAAAATACTTACGCTGCTTCCCACCGGTTCGCACTGAAGAGCAAATGTATAACATGATCTTCTATCTCTGCCTCGCCTTTTAGGTATGAATCTATCATCTGGCCAATAGGCGTTGTCCTGTCTAGAAAAGTTCAGCTTCTTACTTCCACTAAATCTTTTCTCGAGTGTTCCAAGCTGACGTGATATTGCGTCTAGATTATAGGGGAATCGGAGAGAGAGAGAGCTGATTTCCGCCTCTAAAAGCAAGATACTGCGAAGTTACTAGTTCATTGAACTTACCAGGAAATCTCATAAACTTGACCTCTCTCCCACTCTCGATACACCGCAACTGTAATAGTTTGGCCTGTGTCGTCTTGCCAGCGCGATCCATACCCTCAAAAACTATAAACGCACCCCTCACAGGCGGTTTCTTTTGCTCGCTCTCATACTCAATGCCATCCATGCTGTCTTCTTTCTCTGGTGAGCCCTCGTCGTTTTCCGGCGCCGTTTCCGGTGACGCCTGTGGTGGGATTGTCGCCTGCGCCGGGTTCTGCGAGATCAGCGGCGCGGCGAGCACGGGTCCTTGCGTCGGCGTCAGCGTCGGTGTGTGGGGAGTAACTGCGCCCACGTTCGCGACAATGCTGTTGCTATTCGGCGCTGAAGATGCAGCCGTAGCTGCGCCGGGCGTACTTGGTACTTCGTTCGGTTCTGCCACTTCTGGAGCGGGTGATCTATTGCCCGCCGACACGATGCGCTGAGCATGCGCTTCCTGAGCCTGAGCCTGGAGTTGTGCCGAAGGCGAGGGTGAGGGTGGTGATAATGGATCTTCTGGCGGTGGTGGAGAGGAAGGCGAATCTGGTCTTTCGGTTTGTTCCTTGGGTGATGACTGCAGCGCGACAGCTGATGAGGCAATGGTCGCAGCAGTGGCGAGATCGTTGATCGACGCCATTCTCTCTCTCTCTCTCTCTCTCTCCCACCCACACGCGTCTCCGTTCCCGTCTTATATGGTAAATATGGTAAGCACCTGTCTCAAGGCTAGCTGATCTGGCCAAAGGGCTCGCTGCAAGCTATTGTGTCGCTACTCCACGTGACAGGGCCAGCCAATGAAGATATATGCTGGCGTATATTTTTTGTAGATATGGACGACCTAAGATGCAGCTGCGAGTTTGCCGGCAAGGGGTAGACCCCACGAGATAAGCGTGCCACGATGAAGGGAGCTTCAATGAGAGGTAAAGTGGGTCGATGAGAGCGGGCGCGAGATGCCACACGGGGCTACACGATGGTTTATTGGATGCTGACGCTGGGGAATAGACACTACTGATGTCTGAGACGCAGGTAGCATTCATTAGTTTTACGCAGTGGTATGATGCACATCATGATCGGATCATGGCGACGTCTCCCACCGCGCTCTCGGTGGAGCTCTGCTAGAGCTCTGCTAAACCTTCTTCACTCGGCCAGCTTATGTAAGGAAAGGCAATGTAGGGAGTGTTTAGTGGGTTCCAAGCGCCGTTGAACCACGGCTCCAATGAATGGCCGCTACCGCCCCTATCGTGACGCAGCATGTGTGCTTTGAACTCAGCAAGCGCGCGACTCATCGTGTAATTGGGTAAGCCCTATGAGATTGTAGCATTGTCCTGTTGTCATACTTTGATCGTCGGGACCATGTCCCACATCTGTCTAGGCTCGATGCGTCTCGCGAAGCACAACTGCTGATGTTTGTCACAGAGTAAACATAGTATTGTGCGAAGGTCTCACGGCATCCAGTATCTATAGCAATCAGGACCAGTATGTACCAGCAGAAGACCAGAGAAATGTGAACAAAAGCAAAGTGTCTTTCACTGCTGCGAAACAAGAAGCTCTACGGGCTATGTATGTACAGAGAGCCAAAAACAAACACCACAAGCCAAGTACATAACGCCGAACCCAGAATCAACGCCAAATATTCCATTCCATGCCATTTCAGTCCCTCCAAACTCCATAGATCCCATCAACGCTGTTCTGCCTCTTCGCCTCGCTATTATATAGCATTGTATATTAGGTTTCAATCAAGTTCATTCACTGCTCAGCTCATCAACTCATCAAACCGATGTCCGTAGGGTACATATTCTCCTCTCTTAAGAACATTCCGCAGCTGCCTCTGTCTCATCTTTTGCACTGCTGCTTTCCCAAACCTCGAAACTTTCACCAGTACCTTCCAATGGCTCAAGCAGTGCAGCGCCAGAAGCAGGGGCGTCTGTCTTTTGCATCAGCTCCTCAGCTGTAGGGTTCTCTTCTGAGAGATTGCAGGGTTCGGCGACAGAGCCCGCCTCAACTTCGCCATCAGCAGGGGCTGAGGTACTCGCCTCCGGAACAAAGTTCACTTCATTCGGGATAGGTTCATCATCGTCTTCGCCGGGCACAATAACAATAGAGTTCTCATAACAACCCTTGGCGTAGTACTGTTTAGGGTCCATTTCGCCGAGCGGGTTCCTTTCCTTCTCAACCACCATGTCGTCATCACCGGCAGCAAGTCGTGCAGCACGTGGGCGGGAGGTTTGGGAGACATCGTCTACGGGGGGGATGTTTTCCTTGCCCTCCGCGCGTTCCCGCTGGCGCCGGCTTTCACTTTCCTCGTCTGAGCTGATGTCCAAAACGCAGGTACTGTGCTGGAGAAGGTTTGTCATCTCTTGTTCTTCAGTATCTTCATGGATATCAAAAAACCACGATGAGTTCATCTCGGGCTCATGTAAGCCACTGAAATCAGACAGCGCCGAAGATGGCTTCTTTGAAGTTGAAACATCGCTACGGCTGGTATAGCTGGAGATGGTTCCCTTGAGAGCAGCGTCAAGCGAGAACGGGGCCGCCGAAGACCCATTAGAAAGTCCAAAGACAGGCGGGTCAATCCGGCTAAAAGAACTGCCGTTCTTCCGAGACGATAGAATACCTGAGCGCTTGCCTCGAGTGGGAGACCGCCCAGCTGGTGCGGAAAGGGGAGAAGACCGGGCAATGCTTATGTTGAGCTTGGCAGCCGGTGACTTGGGATTCAAAACGTTGCGCGAACGAGGCGCGGCGGCCTTTGGAGAATTTGAGACAGGTAGGTCATTGGTACTGGCAGATTTGGTCAGGAAGAAGGTTGAAGGCTTGACGAAGGAGCCCTTGGAGGAATAGAAGCTATCAGCGCCTTTGGCGCGCTTAGCGAAGAGCACTGGGTCGACATTTTCAGAGTCGTCAGACTCGGCCACGTCAGAAGCCTTTCTTTTCACAGGAGACGGGCTTGAGATTGCTATCTCACATGTTAGCTTGTATCTCAGACTAGACTTAAGAACTCTGATACTGTGGGCAGGATATCGGAGTCATTGTGTTCACCGTGCGCAAATGAAGGGATGGATAATACTATCAGTTGGGAGGGAAATGATTGAGCATGATTACAGGACGGAGTGACTGATGTGGGATCAAGGCAAAGGATGCAAATCGAGACTGAACCTCAGTTTACTCACCATTTTGTCTATTCTTTAGACTAGTTAGGGTGTGTAGACGCGCTTCATTGAGCGGCGCAAAAGGTTGACGAGCGATGGCAGCCATTGCGAAGTTAAATGTGTGCACTTGGGTGATGTCGCTTGCTGCCCAATGAGTAATAGAAAGTGTTAATTGAAGCTTCGAATGGAGACAGAACCAGCTGGGTTCGAAACGGCTAATGAGCAACCAATTCTACAGTGAATTGATCTGAGGTGCGAGAGCTAACTGGTACAGTATGTCCGACAAGACAATATGTGTGTATGTGTGTGACTGTGAGCAAGCCGATAGCCAGGAGGACTTGTTTGTTTGTTTTGATCCTGAATTGGAGGCGTCTCTTGATGTCCTTAAAGCGAGCGAAGCTAGTAGCAAAAGGCAGGTTCACCTATTGTCGAAAGAGGGGGAGTAGAAGGAAAAGTGGCGAAAAGGTGTGAAGGGGATCGCAAGGTCTTATTGCGTGCCGGGCTGCTTCCGTGGCAGTGGTCGTAAAGGAGGGTGGTCGCGAATTGAGAGGCCTAGGACGAGAACGCTGGGATGGGCGGACTGGAGGTGGACGCGGGATGTGGCTACAGGCAGGAGGTATGTAAGAAGGTAGACGTCTTGGAATATGCACGTCAAGAATAACAGACGTTGACGGTGTCGGGAAGCGCCAGATGTTAGAGAGCAAGAGGACAAGACGACTGGAGCACAATGGCTGCAGGCTAAGACGAGTCTAGTGTGCGTGTGTGTGTGTGAGTGTACTGTTGTTCCTTGAATGGCGTAAGCAAGACCAGCCTGGATGGGAAGTGAGTGAGTGAGTGATGGGCAATGTGTGATGGAGGAGCGGAAAAGAGAGAGTGGGGGATGATAGCACAGAAATAGGCGACGGGAATTGAAGGTAGAGAGACATTCAGAGGAACTCGAATGCTTGCCATTGCCAACTTACCTAACTACTGTACAGTCCCATCTGCAAGGGCGAGATGATGAAGTGGACTTTTGGGCTTTGGGCTCTGGGATCTGGGCACGGAGCACACAGTGTCGGTAGGTAACTAGGTGCCTTTTGCTTGGGGACGGTACCTGTATGATCCAATGCTTTCTCTCTGTCTGTCTGTCTGTCTGTCTCCTCTCTTTTTGCCCTCTCTCTCTCTCTCTGTGTGTGTGTGCCTCTATGTCTCATCTGTCGCTCTCACTCGCTTGGCCTGAGACGAGGACAAATAGCAAGCAACGGACAGGAGGTCGAAGGTACGCTGTATGCTAGTATCATGCAGCTTATAATAGGTACAGCACTAATGCCTGTAGCAGCAGCAGGGAGGAATGGATGCACAGTATCTAGGTATCCCCAGGCGCAGGGAGGAGGGCTGTTGGCGTGTTATGGACGCGTGATGGTGTTGGCGTAGAGAGGGTGGATCAGAGCAGAATCAGAGCACAGGACAGGTCGAGATGGAACAGAATGGGCCAGGATGGGCCAGGACAGGAACACCGACGCCAATCAGATCCTGGGAGGGGGGCAAGGACGGCATTGAAGCACCTGGCAGACCTGGGCAGGCGGGACAACGTGCTGTAAGTAGATGGTGTAGTGCAGTGTACAGTAAACAGGGACCGGGCAGTGGGCAGTGGGCAGCAAATAGCACCCCTTCACTGCACTCCAAGCGCTATAGCATGGGCGGTATAGCCCTGAAATCGGGTGATTGATTGCTTCGATCGCTACGATTCCGGGAGGTGTTTGCATGAGTACCTACATGTACCTACCTACCCAAGTAGTACATACCTACATATTCGTACCTCCTTTGTATACTTATGTACGGAGTATAGAGGTAGGTTTGGCAGAGTGAGGTACAACATGGCAGAGATCACAGTATGGTACGGGCCTGCACAGACACAGCTCGACAGGTCAGGCACAGACATCCCGCAGACATCCATTCCTGCAGCAATGGTCCAACACCAGCTGCGATTCTGAACTGATCGAGCCAAGGGAGCCGGCCCTTGACCGCATTCGGGGCGCGACGGGCGCGCGCTGTGCAGGGGGTTTAATGGGCTCGATGGGTTTAATTAGTCGTCAAGACGTTGATTTGCCCGTCCCCCTCTGCCACCGGCGTCAAATGCGTCAAATGCGTCAAGCGGGTCTCACGCGCATCCTACAGTGAGTACATACCTACGCCTACAGTACTATGTAAGGGAGCTAACTGTACATATAGAAAATGGCACAGGTGGTAGGAAGCCAATCATCGCGTCGACATGCCAGCCCAGGACCATTCAAGAAACGAGCGCAGGGAGGGGCCAACGGGGCGGACCCGTCGTTATGTTGTATGAGGGCGCCCGACGACGACAACCCCAGCCCAATCGGCGCGCTCGTCTCCTCCTCTCCCGCCCACCTCCAATACGCTACACCTGCACTGGCCACTTCGAGCATGACGCTGTGACGGCTTTCGTTTCTACGCGTTAATGGGCGGGCGCTGGGCTGCAGGGGGCCGAGTTCGCCGTGTCACTCTACCACTTTACACGCTCTTTCGCGTTCATAAAGAGCTGCCTCGCTCCCTTTCGTGTCACTGGTCGTGTCCAGTCAGCTTCCATTGGATCTGACACCGACTATTACTTATTAGTACCGGACCGATCTCAATTGATCAACTATCGACCAGACATGGCGCCGGGAAGGACCCACGTTGAGATCAAAGTCTCGCTCTTCATCCCAGTGTCTCAAATCGGGCCAATCTGGTGCTCTTTGATCCAGATTGCAAATTTCAGTTTTTACACGCCTGGCTTTTAGTGAGAGCTTTGGTGCGACGAGCAAACAACATCACATCTAGTCAATGTGATCATTGTCATTTGAAACCCATGTTTGCCCGGGTTTGGTGCCATGATTGACAAGAAGGCGGTGGATAGTAAAGCAATGACAGGCTTTACGATGAAGCTCACGGCGCTCTATCGGGTGAGTGTAGGCTTGAGCAAAGGGGGAACGCGCATGGCTACCCACAGTTGGCCCAATGTCTACATTGTGTGCAAACGCGGTCCCCAACCTCGCGGCCATAGCTATCAAGCCTATCAAGCCTATCAAGCCTATCAAGCAAAGCACAGCCCATGAACTCGCATGACTATAGGTCGTCATGCTAATCAGTGGTCTCATAGCAAGGCCTCGCTTGTGTTGAAGTTCGGAAGCGCCGAATATCCAGTCGAGTGTTGGTCATAGGGCGCCGGCATTATCTTGTTGCTGCCCTCTGTGTTCACTCAAAACGGGCGGAAGCCTTGGACCGTCACAAGAGACCTCTTCCGAAACGACATAGCACCCCAGCTGTTGAAACAAATGACATATAAATTCACTTTGACATATTTGTGTGCTCTTTCCGCTTCCGTGGCCAAACTACTTCGTATGGCTTGGTACAAGCGCTTGAGTTGTCATACATGTATGGCCTAGCTGAGCAATTGCGCCACTTCTGTCGTCCATTCCTATTAGTAGATACTTCGGCGATTGCTTGACGATCTCTGTAGAACACCGGTAGAGAGGTGTTCCGTACGGTGTTAGGCATTCTTGTCGTTAGATTCGCATGGTCTACAAACAGATCGCCTAGTACAGCGGCCCGGAACCCAGTTTCAAGGTGGAACGTTAGAAGATGGTATCCGCTGGCCCGTGACTTCAACCTGTCCCCCAATACGCCGAAATTGGGGGCAGTGAGTGGCTGTATCGAGTTGGCCAGTCTAAGCTAAGCCTTGATGGCCTTGACCTATCATGAAGAGCTGTTCAACATTGAAACCCTACTCGCCTATCTGGGCACACAGCGCACCACGACTGGATATTGTTTGCCTATGCAACTTTCGGCCCCCAATGATTTAACGAGGTCCTACAGGTAAGGAAGAGCTGGCTTGCAATGCCGTACACGTCATCCCCTCTTTGCCACTCAGAGCTGCCTTGGAAGAAGGATACCCATCTGGTTATTCGAAGGTCAAAGAAGTATTCTACGGCCCTGCATTTCAATCTGGTCTCGTGTTCTTGTCGTATCCAACCTTATCCGCTTGCGATTTTAAATCAAGATGGCCTAGACCAGCCGCCCCAGTAACAAATGCAAGAACTTCATACTCTTAACGTAGGCTGTGCCCATCGCAATGCAACTTCGGATGTGATCCGCTCTAAAGTGGTGCTCTTCCAGGCTCCTCTCTTGAGATGACACGGTTCTCCAACTCCCGAGTCTCCACAATTTCCTCGGCATCGACAAGTCCGTTATGAGACGTGACTTTAGTCCCGCTCAATGTCCGAGAAAGCATTTCATACTCTCTAGATATACGATACGTTTCACTTCAATTTCCGATAGATTCAATGATAGGGATGATGTATTATAGTCGATTTGATGATTTGATTCAACTGCTTGCTAGGTACTTCGGTAATATGTTGTTCGATACTTTTAGCATCGTCAGCTCCCTCAGCATACATTAATACTGTCTGCCGCCACTGTATTGCATGTAGACCAAAGTGGACGATGCAAACCGAGTCTTAGATCCGTACTCGATTATAAAACCACAGTATGTGTTCAGAAAGTCTAAATTTGACAAAGCTACATTGTGTAACGTAGCTGATAATTGTAACTCCTTCATAACAAGGTAAGACAATCATGTATGTATGAACCATGGGCGACAACGATATTGCGCGAAAAGGCCATAACTTCACAAAATACCTAGCTACCTACTGATTTTCTTAACCAAGTGATTTGGTGGAACTACTGTGCCCGCCTTGAATCCAGTTCAACTGACGGGGGCTTAGTAGACTTGTGCTAGCAACAATTTCTGCACTGCTGTAAACGACTCGCTTCCTCAAAACTTAGGCAATGCACAGTATAGGATTAATTCTTAACAAGCGACTGCCTGGGTATATTCATTCCAACAATACCTATGAAGTCAAAGAGCGCCAGATTCCAAACCGGAGCCCATAAGCCCAAACGGCTTGTTGTGAGGGGAGAAATCGATGAGAACCACAAGCGCACGCACAGGCGTCGCGGAGAAAACTTCGTTGGTCCACCTCTACATCAACCACGACTTGCAGGCGGGATCCTGTCGACCCACCCATGCACATTGATCCCTTTTGATAATCCGTCCACGTGTATATGGTAAAGCAACACGTTCATTAATAAAGTAAATATACCGGCTACGCCGAGACGGAGGGGGTAATAGAGTCTGCGGCAGGCCAAAAGTGGCGAGAAACTTGCATTCAATAACTTCAGAAATAAAAATTGTGTCCACTCTTGTTGGAGAGCTTGATCGGGAAATACTGACATAAGAACCTATTGAAACGAGTCGTGTTACTTCGCTTGCTGAGGATGATGTTTAATCGACTGTGACAAAGTGACAATGACGTTTTAGCCTAGGCTTCAATTATCAGATTTAACATATCAATACTCTTCTCACTCTAAAAGTCTTACGTTCTACAGTGATGCTATAGCTACTCAGAATCACTATACGGGCGTAAGTAGGCACCTACTGTTATATCATAAACAGCGTAACTAGTTATGCCCTTCGCACTCTTCACAGAACACACATCTAGACACAATACCACCTTGCATGGCTAGGTGATAATTACAGAACTGGGGCAAGGTAATGCGAGATTCCACCGACTATGCAGGGAATATGATATGCCCTCATTCATCTAAGAGCTAAAACTCCATCTTCCACTCAGCGCGGATGACAATTTGTATAGCATCAGCCAACCAAGTTTCTATACTTTGAACAGCATAGACCCTCTGACAGTTAAAATGACGAATACAAACATTGCTTCGTGGAACGATTATAGAGCAGCGCCGCCAGCAGTTGTCCCGCTACTCGACCTATGACACTACTCACCTTTCCCCAGGATAACTTTATGACTCAAAATACTGCACTTGTTTTGTATGTACGACCATACCCTCCGGAAAACTCGGGATCCCGTCTGCTCTCCCCTAGATAAACCGGAGAGGGCCGAATCAGTAGTTGGGTCGGTGACGACCAGCGAATCCTTGGTGTTGTACATTTTTGCTCCTTTTCGCGCTTCTTTGCCGCGATATTTTTGCTTCTCTCTTAGATTTATTTCTCATCATACTTATCCTATCCAGTTTTCTTTCTTAGTCTCCGTATGGCATTCTAATACTCGTGGCGTGTCAAGTTTATCGGCAACTCCATTACGTTGAATGTCTTTAATCGGAGAGCACTCTCACAATAGTAGCGTGGGCTATACATGCCATAGGATGCCGTTGATAGGCTGGGAATATACTATGATCCTACGATAAGCATCTTTCCAAGCAGCTGAGTGATAGAAGTGGCGGAGATGCAACCAAATATGACTCCATCAGATTCCATATCCCATAGGTACTAGCCAGGAGAGGAGGTAAGTCAACTTTGTATATACGATAAGTAGTAGCTGTCATTAATATTAATTAATCTTCTCTCTTTATGTGATAGTAACATACTAATAGCAGAGTTACCAATGTTGCTAACTAATTGAGAGGCATTATCATTAACGCTTTATGTTAGTGTTACACGCACATACGCTGTGCCAGCTGAATATGCAGTTCGCCTTGCACTTCGGCCGTACGAAAGGCCATTGCAGGCTATTCATAATCCCTCAGAGACATGCAGGCAATATTGGAAAGTGAGGTTATACAGACTTCGCTTCTTAAAACAGAACCCAGAGACCTAGGCGGTCTGGGCTGGCAGACTAGTTGTATATATACACATAATTAGTCCTAACATGACCAAATTTCGGCTGCGAGAGTAGCAACGACGTCACTTTGCGTAAGATGTGTGCATCCATATCTGGAATTGAATTTGTTAGGTATGTGAAATTGCTAAAACTGCTCCCCCTTTGGTATGGTAAAATAAACTTTTTTCTTTTCTTTTCTTTTCTTCCATTTCTACGATACTACCAAGCTGAAGGTACGATATAACAACAGGTTCAACAAGATATTATCTAGATACCAACCAGTTGCCTTTTGTCAGTATTATTCTTCCAACCATTTTTGATTATAGAACTACCAAATGGTTTAATAGAAGCCTGGATAGAGGTAAAGAGTCTTGACATTGATGGCTAAAGCCTGGGATGTGACGATGCTGCTAACAGAATGGCTAACATACAAGAGAGATATAGAGTAAGAGATCATAAGCATGTAACTAATACTGACTATTATACGAACGAACGAACAAAATTTTACATGAAATAGCCGCCGGAGAAGCTCTCGTAGCCAATATTCCCAATAGTTTTCTAAAAGGACAAATTGTCTTACAAACCTTATGAGGATCACTCAGCCCTCAAGTTCTGGTAAATCATTCACATTGCGTGCCAAGGACGATTTCTCGAACGAATCTCGACTAAAAGGCGGGCTGACCGGCGTCTCACCTCGCGAAGGCGAAAAGGACATCGATGTAGATGTTGTAGGAGTAGTGCTCCTGTTAGATGGATCAGTGCTGATGAAACTTGGCTGTCGCTGAATTGTTGAGCGGTTGTTCATAGAGACGACTACATCGGTGTTAGTATAGCTTGATAACAAGTATGAAATATCTAGGTGGAATAAAAGGCCAATTACCAGCTTGATGCACGCCGCGGCCATCCTCGGATATCAGACGCCTCGGGAAGCCGCTGATTGGAAGGACATGGATACCACTGGAGTATGGAGCACCCTGTAGGCAAAGGGATATCTTGACTTCTGAGTTCTCCTGCGTTGCATTGATTCGTAGATGATCCAGCTGAAAGTTACCCTGGAGGTGCATATCTTGAAGCACCGAATTCGTGAGAACGATTTGGTAAACTCGTTGCTATGTATACCGGGATTAGTCATCATCATTTTGAGTACGACACTTGGATTACCAGGGCACGGCAGAGGACAACTTACAGCTGCGTCATCTAGACCTATTTCCTCGATGAGAAAATAAGGCTCGAAGTCACCGTCAAGGACCGAGATGAGAAACCATGCCAAGGCCTTGATCTCAGGAGAGTGCGGCCGGAACCTACAGAAGATTGACCCTACGTTCTTGTTAGGTTTGTGTCATAGAATGCGATGCAGAAGCAGATGATCGGATTTTCTACGTTAAGGGAGAGGAGCCGCACCAGTGCATGTAAAACCGAAAGAACTCTGTTTGACACTCGCTATGTCTTTCTCGAAAAAGAAAGTGCTTGCCACGAGCCTGTGCGCAATCTCAACAAGTTCCGCTATGTTCTGTCGCAGGACATCACGCGCTTCCCGCTCGACGTCATCAAGTTTTGCTACATCGTCGAACTTCGGCAGTTTCGAAAATAGCTCCGGGCAAACACGTCTATATCGCCGGCGGACTGACGTCCTTCGGCTGACGTGTGTAGTCAAGAAATTACCCCACACTTTCTCGCTTAATCGCTGATCATAAAGGCGATCTGTTTGACCAGCTATTGGATTGTTGAATGTTAGCAGCATCGGCGCCTGAGGATTACGCACAATGTAGCCACTTGCGGCATTCTTATGTCCCAGAGAATCCGATGTTGTAGACCCGGAAGGGTTCTGGCGCTTGTAATTCCCCATACCGCCTCGGCCCTGACGGATCACTGTGCTTGGCATTTGATTTGTTGTAAGAGAGTCATTAGTTGTGGTATACAGGGACGTCGGGCTGCCGAGCTCGGTTTTGGAGGAGTCACCAATATTACGGCCTGAGCCGATAGAGAGGACCAGATCAGGTGGCGTATCAGCCATGTCTTTCCAAATTGCTTTTGCCTCATAATGGGCGACCAATATGGGACACATGCATTGCGTCCCACCGTTCGCATACTCAATATCAGTTTCGGCTTTCTTGAAAGGGGAAAACAGCGGCGCTGTAGCCGTCGTTGCACGAGCGCTTAGGTCAACGATTAGTCTGCTATCATGTATACATGAACGATCACCGTACTCACGCTTCCCATATGCGTATCTCATTAGATGGTGTATCTGAACGAGAGAAGTGATAGGGTACACCTGAGAAATTAATCATTAGTGAGACAGTGATTGGATGCAGTACGATACTAACTAACTTACTTCCTTGTGGTAGGTCGGGGCGATTATAGTTAGCAAAGACAACATCTTGGTGAGCTGCCGCAGTTGTGGCAGTGATGGCAACCTTAGCTGAAGTTGCAAGCCAAGAACGATGAGATACAGCTCCGAACAGGGGCTGCTCAGATAGATATCGGCGGAGAGCACCTTCAAGTGGCTGTGTTTTGTATAGACTCTTATGGTATAAGGTCGACAATGCCTTAGAAAGCGGTAACTTTGATATGCCCCTGGTTATGTAGGATTCATGGCAGAGATCCTTGAATTTCTCGATAGCGGAGCTAACGGACCATTTTTTCACACCCAGGGCAATGGCAATGACACCACCGAAACTGGGACAGTGGTTAGCTAGGACCAGACTATCAGTTGCCTCAACTTACTCTGTCCCTACAATCAGGTCGAAAAAGAGCTGAACTGGAAGGTCAGGACCCAGTATCTTCTCAAGCTCTCTCAGGACATGGAGCTGTATTATCCCACGAATTCCTCCTCTGCCTTTGCGTTAGCAATCTGATCGAGGGTCTTGAGGGCGAGTGACGTACCCATCTAAACATAAAGTTCTGATGCCAGCAAATCTCGGCTTCGTCGTGACAACCCAGGGCGGGCTTGAAATTACATCGCGTACGTGTATTGGGCATCGGCTGATTTCAATGGTGGTCCTCGAAGTTCTACATCCGTATATCTCGACGCACGAGAGGCAAAGCACATGCCCACAAGGCAACGCGCATTCAGGAAGCTCTCTTAAGCAGCAGAGACACGATGTGTAGCTGATGAAGTTCATAGCGGAACCTAGGTTATTGGAATAAAGCTCATTTAAGTGCTCTTGGTGTAGCAAGGCGGCAATTTCGAGCTCAGATCTGTCTGGAAACTCACGCGCAAGCCGGAAACTAGCAGATTGAACCTGAATAAGGCTTGCCCGTAGAATATGCTCCCATTGGGGTTGGAAGATGGCGACATTGAAGCTGGACTGGTAATCTCCGTGGCCGATGATTTTGCCCTGCTTGTTCTGATGGCCTTTGGGGTTGTGACCCAGCTTGACGTTGCAGCAGCGGCCAAGCTCACCGAGTGCTTGGTTCTCGAAGCTACAAGGCCAATACAGCTCTGAAAAGGTGTGCATTGCCCCGATGCATGACTTGGCATAACGGTCATCCAACAATCGACTGATGGTTCCTTCAATACAATATCTTAGCTAGGTCAAACTTGGCTGTGTAGGACAGTTGAACATACCTGGCAGTTTCTGCCTAACGGCGTCAAGCATTATACACGATGCTATCATCGGCCCAATGACTCGGAATATCTGTTCCGCATCATGCCTCAGCGGAACATGAGGAGCACTCTCCTTTATCAACACTGCAAGACTGAGAATGTTTCCCTCGAAATTCCGCGAGACGGGGCTGTGCCGAAGCATCTCTCTAACGAAATCAAATGGTGTGTTGAGGTCTCGAGTGAAGTGGTCAAATGCCGCCTACCATCGGGGTCAGCCAATCTTGAGCGTATTCAAATAGGCTACCAAACTACCATACCATCAAGTAAAAGTGAAGTTTCTCCGTGTTAGCCTGCATTCGCACCAGTTTCTTTTTCGCATGTGATGCAGCACACCGATCTTTGATTAGATCAGATAACTTACTAGCCTGTTCGTTCATCAACACTATAGCAGGAAGATCAGCATGTTTTCGATACAGGGCTACACAAGAAACGGAAATAGGGTGTCTTATAGTACGTGTGGTTTGGAATTGTCTGCTATGTGCTATAGGCGTTCTCCCTGATACACGACATGACTTACTGTAGGATCCCTTATAAGGCACTCGAACAACGCTAATCGAGGCATAATAGCACTCAAGGAGCTCCTTGGTAGTATTAAGATACCTCCCCCGTTGGCGCCAAATTTGGGCATACTGCTGAAGAACGGGCTCCCGATGAATTGCACCGCTGATGTCGGATAGAAACATTTGCGTGGCCTTAGTGACATCCCACTCCTTTTCATCGACATTGACGTCTGTGGCATTCAGGCATATAATACAATGCGGAAGCACGGGCTGGTTGATCGACTTGTCTATAGAGGCAGCACCCCATTTAATCAACTTGTGCAGCACGGTCGATTCGAATGAACGGGCGTTGCGCAACACAAAACAAACCACGTCTGAAAATATGTAGAGAATCCTCGGATATAGCTGGCTGACGGCAAATTCGCGTTTCTGGGTTTGGGGTGTTTGTGCCCATTCAATCCTTCTTGATGCTGCGTATCGTCGTGTGTAGTTGGAGGTTGGGTGTGATGACGATGACACAGGGTCTTGCGCCTGTCTCAGCTGCTTGGGCGCAGCCTCGCCGCCACTGAGGCCTTCACAGTCAACAAAAAGCAAAGGACTTGACGCGTGCAATGTGGAAGGGTCCGCGTAGAGGTGCACGTCACCCGTAGTCGAGATTCGGTCTTGATTAGACGACGTTACTGGAGAGTAGTACTTAGACCCTTGGGGTGATACTAGGTCCTGGCGATCAATAAGCAACTTGATCAGAGTGCTTTTCCCAGCACCTACACCAAATACATCAGCACATCTCGTTGCCATCGGTACATCTCTTGATGTTGCAATGTCGCGCATACCTGTCTCGCCAATAAATGATGCCAACTGGGGATACCGCTCGCCTGTCTCCTCCGTGTGTGTCTCAGCCATTATGGCAGCAAAGCGCCCATAATCGGTAGCAATAAGTCAGTTGGGTTCATCTATATTCAACAATATAAAGCCTGCTGGATTATCCAAGCAGAGAAGACCTAGGAGCCCGGTCAGGTAGCTTCAATACACACCGTATAGCTGGGGATGATTTGACGCATCGCGACCATATCCGAACCACGTTGTGTCTTGATCTTCTAGTAATTCGGCTTCGTGTTCTTCTTCCGTACGCATCGGCTCTAAAATTTGACGGAGCCGACCGACCACAAGCGGATCGGCTTTCTCATGCGGCTTTCCATTCCTACGAAACAAGGACGTTGGTTAGTTAGTTGACGTACGCAGGCTGGTTGCAACAATTCTGATGTTGGGACAGATTTCACGCTGCGGGCTTGCAAGCTCCATAGACAGCGACTAATAGGTTACTACTCCAAAGAAAATTCCATATCCGACAGGTGACTGACTAACCATCCAACAGCACCAGGCGTGTGCAAGATCCATTTAGACCAGCAAGTGTCGCAAAAAGCGAGGTTGTTACATTGTATGCAAGTAAAGGTGATCTCGTCCACGGTGGCACACGTTTGACACGGGAGCGGCGCTGGAAGAGCGAGCTCTGCTGTCATTGTGACTGAGTAGTCGGTCGTTGAGCGCCGAACCCACGGCGCGTAACGGAGATGGTTTGGAGATCACGGCCGGGCACTAGAGGATTCTTGTACGTAATTCCGGGAAGGGAGAAGGGCAACGATCTTACTATAATACTCTCCCGAATGGTTGGGCTGACGTACCCGGCCTTTCCCCTCAGCTGGCCGTTTGAGCTTGCCCAGCCGCAGAAAGATGCCCACCCCCTTTGAACGCCGACAGGGGTGGCGCACTTCCCTGTGCAACCTGGAGATGCAGACAGATACAGGCGAGACAGGCGCAAGTCTAGCGATGTCTGGCTGAGGGGCGATGAGGGATTGGCATCGGGATCGCTCTGGGCTTTCGGATGATTGGCTGCCCGCATCGCACGCTCGCCGCTCTTATCTCCGTTTATTGCTGCGCACGTCAATTGCCTGTCCATGTTCATTGCACCCTCTGCTGCGATGCTACGACGTAGGTAGCTGTCTGGCAGCCGTTCGCTGCATTTACTGTGGGATGTAGGATTCAAGGACTGGGATTCTGATACGGACTCCATGCTCCTATATACGGTATCCTCGCCTCTTTCTTGGCGGGGAGATGACGAGTACCTCTACAACACACAGGGCCACAATGTGCGATTCTTGCTTTACATACTAAGTACTATCTGTAATGACAATGAGCTCTCGGAGGATCGCTCGCTCAATCAGCGAGGTCCCTAAGCTTGCATATGAATAATCAGTTCGGGATCCATGGACGACTATTGATCGCTGGTAATCCCCGATGAATGTTACGTGGGGCAAGTATGGTAACACCGCAGTATTAACGCAATCTCATAAACCATCAAGCATCGATCTCGAGATTGGTTCATCTTACTACGTCCCATCTTGACGGACGAAACGTCTACCTACTTTGACGTTCAGTCAGGGCCGGGCCGGGCCACGTCACGCCGTCAACAACGAAGCTCAGTTCCAATTCATTTCGCGCGTACATATCTCCTAGTACGTCGATGCTGCTCTTTGCCGAAGTCTGGCTCCGTAGCGCCATATAACAAACGGGGCTGGTAACGCGAGAACGAGACTGGCAAAAGCAATGGTGCTATTACCCCACCCATATCCAAGGGCACCATACAGACTCGGCACAAAGAGGGGAAACAGAAATGCTGCGAGGCTCTTCAGAAACTGGGTGGCCGCAATAGCACTGCTAGTGTGCTCAGGATACGCGTCGATGACATATGCTGATAAAGCCACTGTGATACTCAAAATCAGTCAAGTCCTCAAAGATATGAACATTTTGAGAGATGCTTGTCATGACAACAGCCCCAGCAGCCTTTAAATTGGCCACGGCCGCGACGGGAATGAAATTGCGCACCACTTACGTCCAGTGAGCTGACCTCCAAACATATTAATAAAGATACCAATATCCACTGCAATCCAATGAACACGCGCTTGCGCTGTCCAACCATAGATGAAGAGACCTATGGGGCTTATGATTGCTCCGGGCAACGTCAATGGTATTCGAAATTCGGGGATGTGCTCTCCATCGTTAGAACGCGCCTTCATGTAACGGAACAGAGCGTCCATTAGCTGACCACCAAGCTGCGATCCTGCGATCTCGCCCAAAGCACAGGCAATGTAATGGAGCCCACCAATTGCCACAGGCTGGTGATAGTAGGAGGTCCATAGATCTGCGAAACTGGAGATGACGATATACAGAGTGCCGTAGCCGAGGGCCGAGACTATGGCAGTTAACTGTATAAGTGGGTGGAAGGCGAGAAGTCTCAGCGGTCTGGACAAAGCTTGAGCGGCAACTCGAGCCACCGACTGTTGACTAACTTGCCTCTCATACTGGGTGTAATACCGTTCGTTGCCCGTCTCCTTACGTAATCGGGAAACTCTTCTGTTGAGGATCAGAGGTGCAAAGGTCTCACGGAAGACGTCAAATGAAACCGCAATCATGACGCCTTGAAATATAGATGTTGACCAGAACATCCATCGCCATGTTGTATACTCTGCGATAAAACCACCGAGAATAGGCCCTGCCCGATAGTACAGTTAACCTCAATACCTCCGCAGCTAATGTCAGAGTGGTTTATGAGATACCTACCTACAGCGGCTCCAAGCAAAGGGATGAGCAGGTAAACGCTGAGTGAGCGACCACGCTCTTGTGGTCGCCACAGGTCGTTTAACACGCCACCTGCCAAAGAATAGATAGCGCTCGCACCAAAACCGGCCAGGAACCGGGAGGCAATCAACAGCTCTTTGGTGTTTGCGAATCCACATGCTATATTCCAAGCAAGGAACCAGATATTAGAGGCATGCAGAATGACTTGGCGACCATATATCTCAGACAGAGGGCCGATGAATAGCGGGCCGAAGGCAGTTGCGAGGAGATAGATCGAGAGTGAAAGGGCGGACTCAGTCGAACTCATGTTCAGCTCCTTGGCTATCGTTGGCAATGCTGGTGCCATAATGGTAGAAACGAGGATGCGATTGAAGCCAGTGGCGGATAGCACATCCGTTATAGCCCATTTACGGCCCTTGGGCCAGGCTTGGGGGTTGTCAACATCGTAGGGTTGATCGAAAGTGACCAGAAAAGGGTCAGACTGCTTCACATCACCAACTGGGACCGGCCCATTCTCAATTGCTGCAACTGGGGTGGGTGAAATAGTTTCCAGGGCGATTGCATCGATATTATTCGCCGCCGCCATTTTCCAGGTTTATCTAATGGGTGCTTCCGACTTAATTCTCGCGGTAAGGTTTGGGGATTCAAGACACTTGTTAGCTATGTACCTATATGCTGAACCCAGTAAGGCCTAATATATGGGTGGAGCACTGTTGCCTTCGAGAGAACTTTGGAGAGGGAGAGGGCTGATTTATTGTATCATGCACCATAAGGAGGGACTTTATGATTTTTCGATGTGGATCACGGCAGAATTGGAGCAACGAGAAAGACGGCAGTCTTTATATCAGAAAACGTGTATAGCAGTCGTCATAGAACTCCTTTCTTCTTTTAGCAAGAACAAGGACGACATCGGAGCGAAAGGAGACGGAATGTGTATGATGCCTTGAGTACTGTGTCATCACCATACCCCGGAGTGAAAGTTTTGCCGATCACCAACCAACATGTAGCTTCAACTCTGGGAAAGGCGTCTCAAATGAGAATAAGTGAGACCAGAAAGCTATCACTCCTCTTTCGGCCCATTTGGCCGAGGGTTACTGGGTATCTGATTGGACCTGGGCTAACAACCTGATGACTATTAAGCAAGGACATGCGTGACTCAAGGCTTGTCTTATCAATCAGATCTAATCAGATCTTTCACACCGCCCCATGAAATTAGTATAAGCACAGTATTACCACGGGCTAGGGAGAAATAGGCAGCTCGATTCTATCGCAATACTTAGTCATCATGATCCTCCCGAGAGTCTACAGTACAAGACGATTGTATTACTATGAGTGAATTTCCCAATATTCCGCTGCTTGAGTGTAGAAGTGAGCGATCAATTCAAATGAGTCAGACACTAGAACGCCTGTAAAGCATACTACCCTAACATCAAAATCGATCTATAGCATTGCAAGAGTAGAGGCCAGTTTAGTAGTTGCCTGGGATCGGCGGAACTGGTCTCTACACAGGTACCTAGGCAATATAGGAATATACCCTCTATTTGCACTGTACGTTAAAAAAAAAGACACCAAGGATCATGCTCGTCTCACATACTAGTATCTAACGTCTGCGGTTCACTCGCGAGAACATTGGATGATGAGATCTTTCCATCGTTACAAGGGCTCTGTTCTCAAGAAGCTCCGATAGTCACGGTGGTAGCTCGGTCGCTAACATGTCGTTTCAGTATTCAAGGCGTTCACTTGATTATTGAATTATTGAATTATCATTTTCCGAAGCCATCTACGTACACGCCGTAGTGAGCTCTCAGGCACCTCTACTTGATATTTTCCCGGTCTGAGCATTACTGATGGACTACCCCGTCTTGGATGAGTTCTTCATCCAGGCCGACCCAGTGCCGGATCCAATTGTAAATGCTGGTATGCCACAGCAAGCTGTTGTGACGCTCGTTAACCCAGTGAGTTTCGTCGGGGAAGCGAAGGAATCGACTGGGGACACCGAGTCTCTGAAGAATGTTGAAAGTCTGTAGGCCTTCAGCAATAGTGACACGATAGTCGCCGTCACTGTGGATGATGAACTCGGGTGTCTTGAAGTTGCGCGCGTACGTCAAGGGGTCCCAGAGTTCATAGTTCTCCCTGTTCTCCCAGATGGTACCATTCGCATCATGCTCGATAAAGTAGAGCTCGTCTGTCGCATACGCGCCTACTTGGTTGACCTTACCATCGTGGCAGACAAGAGCCTTGAACTCGCGCCCTAGATCGTGACCCTGTATCCAATTTGTCATATAACATCCGAAGCTAGCCCCGGCAGCGATTGCCCTGTCTGTATCTACATAAGGGACATTGTGTTTCAAATGTTCGAACACCTTGACCAGGTCAGTGTACGGTGTTCCTCCCCAGTTGTTTTGAATCTTGTCTGTGAACGCTTGGCTATAACTCGGTGATCCTGTAAACTGGACAGTAGTCACAACGAATCCCTGCTCGGCCCAGAGACGGAGGTTCCATCTAGTGCTCCACGTATCACCTTGGGTTGACTGAGGTCCTCCGTGGCTATGGTGTTTACTGTCAGCAATCATGCTCTATCATGATGATATATATGCATCTCACAAACGGATCAGTTTGCCAGGCAGGATTGCTTAGACGGGGCGCTATGGCCGTGTCGGTAACTAGGAACAGATAGCCCAGAAATGCACTTACATAATAAAAGCCAAAGGGTACTTTTTTTTGGCATCAAAATCGGTTGGGTAGAACATGAAAGTCTGAATCTGGTCGCCGTCATCATTCTCAACCCAAAAGTTCGAGACAGAGTCAGGTTTGAGTCCTTGCAGTTCCGGATCGACTTCATTAGCTGTGAAGAGAACCTTTTTCCCTTTTCCTGGAGACTGGGTGTAGAACATGCGACTGGTCCAACTAGCTGAAGCAGACACTAGGGCGCTTCCACTAGGCAGGATGGCAAAGTCGACCACTGTCGTCTCAGGGCCAGTGAAGTTCTTCGGCACAAATGAATATTTGGCGTTGGCTGGGACAATGAACAGACGTGTTGAAGCGTGTAGCTCAGAGGCTACCCACAAGTTTTTACCATCAGCACTCCACTGAAACGCGGAGGGACTCGAATCCCAGTTTTCAGCTACGGTTGAGATTTTTGATTTGTGACCGTTGATCGTCGCGACGTACAGCTTGTTACGGTCGGACTCGTAAGTAATACCGTCCTGCTGAACGTACGCAAGCTTTTTGCCATCTGGAGACCATCGTGGAGATGAGCTGGCACCCTTCGCCTTGCGAGGAGCCGAGGATCTAGGGCCGTTAACAGGGACAGCAATCTTGGAACCATCATGCGGAACTACGTATATGTAGCTTGCCGTATGATTCGCCTTGGACAGCTCAGGGGCTTTCGTGAGGAAAGCAACAGTCTTTCCATCTGGTGACAGGTCATAATCACCCTGGTCCCCAAAAGGTTGTACGGGTGATTCGGGGCGAGTAACGGGGGCGTCGATTCCCAGTAGAAGGTTCTTCAACTCGCCTGCCAAAGAGTAGCTCTTCTTTTGCGAGTTACCGGGCACTTTTTTGAGCGAAAGCTTACCGCCGAAAACAGCATATCGTTCAGGGGTGAGATAAGTATCCCAATGCCTAATATAGTTTGCATCGTAGATCACACCAGAGGTCAATGGTGCGGTAACCAGTTCAGAGTTATAAGCTGATCCGTCATCCCAATGAGTAAGGGCATTGACGATGAAGTTGATGTCGCCGGATTTCGTCTGCACGGCCTTCAGCCCCTGGAAGGGTGCCCCTAGGGATGCAACAAGGGTGCTGTTCAATTCTAGGTGAGTGCTTATTCGGCGGCATAAAGTAGATGATTACGAACGGTGTGAATTTCGCCCCCAGATCAGCCGTATAGAGAGTCACGCCACCCGCGACCTCGTCGTTGGTGCCGTTGATGTACAGAATGCTGGTGGACGTCTTCCCGACCCAAACAACCTCGGATACTTCAGAGCCGAACGGTGCGTCTTTGATATTGCCGCTGGCCACATCCAAGAGGTGCCAAGTTGTGGAAGTCTTTGAAGCATCCCAGTCGTAGCTTGTGGACGAGAATAGAGCCAATTTCTAGAGACATATCAGTACTGAATTTTGGCCCTTCGGCAAAATTCACAGACGTACTCCGCTAGGATTAACATTAGCAGCACTTCGGCGCGGGGCAGCGAGCATTCCCCTAATGTCAGTGTAAGTAATTGACCATCCACAGAAGAGAGATCAGTTACAACATACTCAATAGTGAGGGCGCTTGCGACGGGCATCAGGATGCCAATGGCAAACGCGGCTACTCTTTTGAACGCCATATTGATCTCCTACCAAGAACTGGTGTCGTGCTCAGCGGTCAGTGGGCGTGCCTAGAGAATGAAGAAGCCCAGTCATAAGGGGCATTCGGGGAGGCAGAATATATAGCTGATCGATGCTGATCATTCGACGCTAGATCCAGAATTTCCACGATCCAGGATGTCGGGAGGGGCATGCATGGTGTGGCTAACAGAACGAAGGTGAACATACCTTCTTTTGCATGCCAAGAGGCACGTCTTATGGTGTGCGAAGAAACTCACCTGCCATTTCGAATGATGCCAAGTGCTTAGCATATCGCCTTGAAGCTTGGCCTGCTTATTCTCATTTCATTCTGTTATCGTGTTTTCAGTCGCACTGATACATGATCTATTGGATTTCCGTACCTGAACAGGTCTCACCTAGGTAAAGATCTGAATAGGAAGCTCGGTCTTGCGAAAGAAAATTCTAGGGTAGGCGGTGCTTTCTTGGAAATACGCTACAAGAGCTCGAAAGCATAGGTAGTGCACCCTCTCCTTATAGGTACCACAAATACGCTTTTTCACTTTCAATTTGTTCACAGAGAGATGAGGCGAAAGCTCATATTGAAATGATCGAGTCGCTTCAGCATGGTTACTATGTCATCAGCCGCGACTAAATACTGCCAATTCCGCATAGTTTGATACCACCCACACTGTCAAGGGTAAAATTGGATTCTGAGAATCGAGATAGAGGTATATACTAAATACCATGTCAGGGCTGTCACCTACATTGACTAGAGAGTGGCATATAGTAGGTAGATGGTCTACGACGTCTAAGTTGTTGACTTCTCGTCGTCAAACGTAGTAATCAATCACTACCATCAATTGATAAAGACGGAGATACTAAATTAGGGATACGGTTGGTGTTAAGATAACTCAGTACTGATCTAGCATTAAGCAACATCACTAACATTCTCAAGTAGACATAACCGTTATGTATGTGGTATATCCCCAAAGTCAGTTCGATGGTACCTGTCTTATATCTTCCTGCCTTCGGGACGACGCCTAAGCTTGACGCTAATAACTCCACTTGCATGGTGAACTAACCAGATGAACAAATCCGATTGGGAGGTCGAGTGACAGTCCACGCTTTTTTGTGTAGAATAATAAGTCACATCCTAAGTGGTTCTTACTTTATGGGGACAGATTTAGATGCAAGTAACGTAGATATCTTGCATTACGACCCTCGTGATTGATCTAGGATATCTAAGATCGATCCGTCATTAGGAACACGCGCAATGTACAAGACATCCTCGCAAATTGGAATGCGCAAGAGTTCCCCCTTGGTAGTAATTTAATATTGTAGCTATTGTGAATTCTTATTATACCAATTGTAGTAGTACCTCATACACCGTCTTTTTCGGCGTTTTGATACCGACCGTCCGTGTTCGGGTCTCAATATCCGGGGCGAAAAGACGATGACACCAAGAAAAGGCTACTTCGAATTGGAGTGAGTGGATCGTGAAAGCTTCAACTCCACAAAACAAGCGTCTTCCCCGCCTTCGGCATCCCTTTCTGGAATACCGGTGTGCCAACAAATTACTTAATCAACCAGTTGAGCCGCTTGACTTTTGGCTCTTTCCCTTTGCTTCCGAGCACCAGTCTAGCTGACAGCTGAGTGCGAGTGATTGCTTGGGGTGAGAGCTCTGAGAAGAGAGAAGATGGCAGACGAAAAATATAATGAAGATGTTGAGAAGCGAGAAACGGTATGTCTGAAATCCTGAATCCTCCTTATTAGTTATCCGTGCCAGTAGAATATAAGAGGCAGTCAACTTACACTTCACGCAGAGCCTAGAGGAGAATGGTGTGATCAGCAATGATGCGATTACCGACGCCGAACGGGCATTAAGATGGAAGCAAGACACGCGCATCATCCCACTATCAGCTGGCATCTACTTCCTCTGTTACTTGGACAGGTCCAACATTGGGAATGCAAAGATCCTGAACGCTTCAACGCACGATGATCTCATGACCGAGGCGAACATCTCGAATTCGCAATTCACAATTGCGCTTTTCGTCTTCCTGGTCGCGTACGGTGTTTTCGAGGTTCCCTCGAATATCTTGTTAAAGAAATTGAGGCCGTCGAGATGGATTGCCTTTCTCATGTTCTCCTGGGGTGTTCTGACTATCGGGCTCGGAGGTATCCATAACTATGCTTCGCTCACTGTTGTCCGCTTCCTGCTTGGCGTGTTCGAAGCGTGAGTAACACCGCCCCCCTTGCCCAGTGCAGGAAGAGTGGTCATGAAGGCGAAATACAATGCTAACTCACTTTCAATGTAGTGGACTTTTCCCTGGGCTTGTATACTATCTCACGTTCTGGTATAAGACCAATGAGCGCAGCATAAGAGTCGCTTTCATCTTGGCATCTGCCACGTTGGCCGGTGCTTTTGGTGGTGCTATAGCCTTCGGAATAGGCCATATCAACAAGGCGGGAGGGCTTTCGGCTTGGCGGTGGCTTTTCATCATCGAGGGCATCCCTTCAGTGCTCTCAGCGTTTCTCGTCTTTTTCTTCCTCCCAGACTTCCCTGAAGACGCGAAGTGGCTGTCGATCCAAGAGCGAGATCTGGCAGTGCACCGCTTGCGTCTGGAAGGGAGCAAAGGTACACATAAAGCCATGACTTGGACCGATGCAAAGCAGACACTTACAGATTGGCGGCTATGGGGACACTACGTCATCTACTTTGGCATCTCTGTCCCATTCAGCTCTCTGTCTCTATTCACGCCTTCTATAACGGCTGGTTTGGGATATGGCGATTTGCGGGCGCAGCTCATGACAGTTCCGCCTTACGCTGTAGCTTACGGTGAGTGATCCCAGCCCTTTGATTCTCTTTGTGCTGCATCGCAATCGCTGAACTGTTGTTAGTGGTCCAAATTCTGACGTCCTGGTCGGCTGACCACTTCAACGAGCGTGGTTTACACTCTGCAGCAATGGCCACTATTGGCGCCATCGGCTTTCTTATATCGGCGGCCCTGCCTCCAGACGCGTACCTTTCTCGCTATGGTGGCCTCATCATTGCAGCATCGGGGGCATTCGCTTGCATCCCTCCGCTGCTAGGTTGGCTGTCATCCAATATTTTCAGTACGGCTTCGGTTGGCATGGCCATCGCGCTAAACATCGGATTAGGTGGTGCGCCTGGCCAAATCGTAGGGGTGTTCATATATAAATCGGATGAAGCGAAGAAGGGTTACCCAACTGGCCACTGGACAAATGCGGCTCTTTTGTTCCTAGTAGCAGTGGGTGGTATTCTGTTGAGGATTTATTATGCTTGGCGGAATAAGAAGATATTAAGGGAACGAGTCGATGGCGAAGAGGTTAGGCTGTTTAAATATTAGAGCAGGGGTCATACTAATTCACGAGACAAATACGTCACGTCATTAACAAGCTTCAACACCCATCATCACCCCATAACATAATTACCAGCTCCATCTTGTAGAGAACGCTGGAGAGAACCAAAAGTCAATGGGCAAGAAAAGAGACCAGGTGAATTGAATCAGAACCGACATACTATGTATACATCGAAGAATTGCTAGTCGGATCATACTTAGGTAAGCTCTGGTAAGCCTAACCGATTTGCAGGGCGGCCCCCACAACTCACACATGGATCATCACAATCATAATTCATTCTACGGAGCGGTGTCTCCACATCGGGGCGTTCGTCCGTTCCATGAACTCACCAATCTGGGCTTGTGGTTTAGTGGTATAATACTCCCTTAGCATCAGCATGTTGCCCTGTATTGGGTATCATCAAGTGATTGGGAGTGGTCCGGGGTTCGATTCCCCGCGAGTCCATCGCCGGAGGTTCAATTCCTCCTGTACCATATATTTTGGAATATTTTCCTCCCTTTTCTTTTGTCAATTTTAGTTTCTAGCAAATCCGGCGTGGTAGGACGGAAATGGGTTTCTCTATACAGCCAAGAGGTGGCCACAGTAGCTAGACGGATTCAACGACCGACCATGACTCCTCCGTCCCTTCTACACTTCCACGCGTCCATAGATTCCAAGTGTGGCAATTAGGAGCACACTCTTCCATCAAGATGGATTAGTTCACGTAGGATGAGTGCTCTCAGGGGATTGTGATGCATTTTACATTCTTCATTCTTCATTTGCGCTGGGCTTCCATTGTGCCGGAGAGTGCAGCGAATAGCAATAGCGCTGGTATGAACCGAATCGAACTCATTAGGAGGTACCGACATGTATAGTTCACCCAGCGCCACCCGGGCGGTTCCCGCAGATGGTTTCTTTTGCATCAAGCATAAATCCAAGAGCATGATGTGTATCATTCAGTCATACACTTAATAGATTACCAACTGTCCTAGAACACGCGCACTGATACACGACTGAGGCCCAAAGTCGCCATACACCAAAGCCTCCGTCATCCATAACAATCACAATGCAACTACTCCAAAGCTCTTCTGCCTTTCTCGACTCTCTTCTTCGTATGTGCTTTCTTTCCATCTAAGTGTCTTCGACAGTAATAGCCGTGATGATGAGCGCTTTCGAATGCTCTTGCTATCGTTGCCTCGTTACCTCGACCGCAAGTATCATTCAATTCGTAAGCTGGAGAAACGTTTCGGCGAAGAAGAAGAATCTTGTTGCTGTCGCTTCGCCCCTTTTCTCGGCTCGGCGCCCTGTGCCCTTTTCCGCTTCAAAGGCTTGACGGGCTTTGTGGTAGCCCCATTCCCGCACGGGGTGCGTCTACCTTCACTCGATCTCTTAAGATCGGCGGCGTCTTGTCTTTCAACGTGTGCTTCGGTGTTCTCGTCAATATCGAGGCCGCCAGCCAACTCATTGAAAAGGACTGCGTCAATGAGAATCCATGAAGTGTGCTCTTCGCGACGATGATTCGCGTCCTTGGGGGCATCACCGACGTTTCGGCGAAATGCGTCTATCTCATGTATAAATCGGTCACTCTCGCGAGATCGGGGAGGAGAGTGTATATTCTTTAGCCAATGCTGGCGGGCTCCTATCAGACATGTGAAGAGTTCGAAGAATGTGGCTTCTGGGAGTAGCCGTGCCCAGTTAATCTCGCGTTGGACGAGGGGAAGAATATCCCAGAGGTCGACGCCTTTCATATGCGCCGTGCGGACAATGGGGCTGGCGACACGGAACATATCAGCCAAAGTTTGAGCAACGGACCGGCGCACCATTTGGCAGCCCGTTGATTCAAGTGAATTGGCGACTTGTGCATCACGGCGTACGTCGTACATCAGTTGTTTCTCAGATTGATATCTCACTGTGCGAGGCATCAGAGCCGATTCCCAGGAGTACACATGTGTTGGGTGGGGGGGGGGACACCTACGTCCGGCAGTTGGCATGACGCCTCGAAGGCAGCTTGTAACGGGTGTTATAGGAGCCGTAGGAACGCGAGGTTTCCGAGTTTTCTTGATCTTTCTGGCCATGATGACGTTAAACAGTGGCTATTGAACGAAGTTTGCGGTTCAGTCAGGATGCTCGACAATTCCAAGGATGATAGGTTGGATAGAAACAATACAAAGACGCTGCGGTCTATAGTAGTAGTTGTGAAATAGTATCTACGCTGATGATGATAGAGCAAAAGCGTGTGATTGAGGTAGCGCTCTACACGACATTGGTATCTCGAGGATTACTGGACTAGGGGCGTAGTATACTACTTAAGAAGCGTGTGAATGAGTAACAAACATGCTAAAGTCATTGAGAAGGCCGGAGGTACTCGACAATGTGGCAAGCACGAAAAGTCCAAAACACATATGTACTACTACTATGTACCTACTGAGGTACTTGTCACTCACCATTGACAGTCAATGCCCCTAGCACAGTAGCAAAATACCAATATGTTCTCACAGAGACAATGAAACAGCCAATACAGCCATTTGTGGTCGTTTACATGGACCTCTGCTATCCCAGATGATAAGGACAATCCGAGCCATACTTCCTAACACATGTTGATAGAGGCACAAGAATATGGGAACAGGTGCATAGAGAAAGATTAGAGTAAGCTATAGAGGTTTGGCGTTTCTGGAGTAGCCGTTTAGACACTTAATTCATCTTGATTATTCCTCCTAGCTACCTGATTAGCCCAACAGTGGTGTATCCTCATGGACAGTACTATCATCGTCATCTGTTTCCTCGCTAAACTCCCTGATTCCAAGGAGCCATTGTTTGTTCTCTTGCGCGACTCTTCGTATACATAACGTCGCACCGGGGCCGAAAAGGAGGGATGATATCATCAGTGGTAGTAATTCGTCGACATTGACATCGACAAACATCCAGTAATAAACTAGAGCGGCGGTGTAGAGGAAGTTGATCAGAATAAACTTGAGTGCCATCTGTGTCATCTGCCGGCTATCGTCCATGAAGCCAAGATTTGAGACAAAAGTCACATGCAAAATAAATGAGACGAAACCAGGTAGGAAGTAGATACACCACAAAGACTCGTCATGGGTTCGGAGACAATGTGGTTCATCGTTCCTTAGCAGCCTAGTCGCGGCGAATTTGACAACCCAGTGCACGACAGCCACCCACAATGGAAAGATGAGCCAAATCATGACTGACGTGGCGTTTCGGAGTGTGAGCATTAGCACGCTGGGAACCATATATCCCACAGCAACCGCTATGATTATAGCGTAAACCTCGGCCTCACAGGTAAGACTGCGCGTCGAGTCGATTCGGTCGCCAACCTGCTGTCTATCTTGGCGTGCCTGACCACTTTCTTGTGCATCTTCGTTTACACTCCTGACATCAACCCAAAAGTCCCTAGAGCTTTTGATGAAAGTTGGAATAATCCACAAATTCCAAACAAACGCGCCCCCGATGAGGTTGGAAACCAACCAGCTGGCCGTTGGGGAGCGAATGCTCCATTTAAGTTTGTTGCATTCCCTGGCGGCTTCTACGCGGGAGACAGTGAGCAAAGCCCCCAGGAAGCTCAGATACCAGCCGAAGAAATAGATACCATGCCCAGGGCCGGTGGCGAACATGAAAAGAGAGACGAGATAACATAATGGAGCACCGAGAACAGGTACACGCGATATCTCGGGCAGCCGGGAACGCGCGTGGCATTGTGAGTAAAGCAAGGACGCGTTCACGTCGCCATGGAATAGAAAGGTGCAGGCAGCTAAGCCAGAGATGAGGACGGGTACGATGAGTAGGTACCGGACACGAACCCGCTCAGCAGGTGGCCGGGAAGATAGAAATAGGCCGATGATGCCGTTCATTGGGCCAATTATATCTTATTACTCGGCGAGAAAATGATATAGAATGAGTTAGATGTAGAAGTGGTGTGCTTGGAGATTTACCCGTTGCAAAGCTTCAGTCACAGCAAGGTGGCTGTGAGGGTAATTATAAGGACAAGATTGGCCAACGAGGTAGTACCAAGGTAGGTTCACGGTTCACGGACAAAGGGCCCCAAGGCACATTTGAACTTAGATACCGAGTAGTAGGTATGTAGGTAGGTAGTGCAGGTCAACTGACACTGTAGGTACTAAGATATGTTGACACTGTACCACAACCCACGACCTCCTACGCCCAGACCCCAAGTGATTATATACAGGCTGGATGAAAATGACGACTGCCGCTTTCTAGACAGCTCAATGAAGCCTTTCGTACTAGCCTGGAGCGAAAAAGGCAGAAGTAGTAAGGAAAAGGCACGACGAACGTTGCGGTGAGGACAGCCGTCATGAAGATGAAAGCGCGCTCATGCTCCATCAGAGTATTCCGGGTTGCGTATTCAGGCACCGTAAACTGCAGATTTATGTATTTCTATTGTGTGGCATACGATGAGTGTTCATGTCGTAGTACACTATACAGTTGTTTTTACATAATCATACAAGGGGCTATTCTATGCACAGGTGAGTTCTGTGTTGTATACTATGATTGAAGCCTCTTAATTATCCTTTCGCGCACGATTCTACTGGCGGTCTTTCCGCCATTTTGCAACGCAATAGCGCCAACGAGGGAATATATAGCGCCCGACATGACTATGTAGAGGCCTGAGCCTACTTCGTTCTCAGGCTAGAGAAGACGGATTAGCATCTGATGTTCACACAGAATATACCATGGTGCTCTTACCATCCGGGGCTTCCACCTCACCACCTCAGACAAGCCCGTATCAAGGGCAAGTTTTGTCAACTTTTCGGGTGTGAAAATATCGTTTGGCTGGCTTTCAGATAGATTATCAAGACTCCGCAAAGCAGGATCTTCAAAAGGCTGTCGCTGTTCGGCATATGGGTCGGCCATGACACTATCACTTTTAGATGGGGAGGTAACGATGTAATTCATCGCTTCCATTATGCATATCTGTCGACCTAGGGAGTACTATCAGTCATATGGTCCTGCCATCGTCGAGCACTTAGGCGTACCAAGGAAACCTAGGCGATCATTGAAGCCTCTCCTGCCCTGATCAAAGCTCTTGTGTGTGACTGCCAGCCATTTCAATTCCTCGGGTAACATCCTTTCGCCATCACGGCCGAGGAAAGTGTTTAAAGCATCGTCCAGCTTCTTCGGATCCTCGTTGACGCGCCACCGCGAGCGGGCTGGATCCTTTGTTATGTGAGGGGAGAATGGCGCCATCATGGCTTGGGGTGTGTAGCTCCATCGAGGTGCCTCCTGCTCGGCGACGGCGGCTTCTGAGGGTCGGGACGCTGATGTCGCAAAGGCTCGAAGGCATGTGGAAGCCATTGAGCGGCTTACAGCAGAGCACGCATTCCGGCCTTTGTAGCGTCTGAGCGCTTGCCGTGACAAGCTCATAGCTGACTGGGAAGACTTGAGGGCCATTGAGACGGGGATTGACTGCGTCTAATGCACCGAATTGCTGATAGTGGTGACGGAGTCGACATATAATATACCAATGTAGTTCGTGATTCTGATAGGAAGTGCCCCAGTGACTTTTTTCTAGAGTGGGTCGTGTAGTTACCTTGTGGCCAATGGGGATCACATCCTCATCCTCTAGCATACCTTAGGTACCTAGGTAGGTACCTAATAGCTTCAATGGCTTTAGTTGGTACCTTCTGGATACCTGTAGATAGAGTACCGAGGTACCTACCTGGTACCAGCACTTATCCCCAGATCCTCTTCACTAGCTCTCTCCATTGACACGCCTCTCGAGTCACAGACGCGTCAAACTCGTCCATCAATTATGGGCATCGTTAATTTTGATACCTGCTTGTCAACTTGATACAGCCCAATTGCCATCATTCAATTTTGTCCTGAAGCTTTCGCAAAGTCTGTAAATTCGCCTACTTATGTCTCGGGCTGCCAATTCGTTCCTCAAACGTCTCGCCTAGCTGATGCATGCGCAGCGTGCCGCACCTGAATAAGTAGGTACCTAAGTACCTACTAGACACTCGTCCCCTCGACGACTGTGACATTCTGGGATGCAATTGGATTTACAAACCCCTAGCTACGGCTTTCGGGGAATTTTCAATCAAGAAACATGACAAGAAACATGACTGGTACAGCACAGCCTAGCCAACAGAACCGAGACAATCCACTTGTCAAGGCATTGGCGCAAGCCCTGCCAAAGGACTCGCACTACACAGCATGGCATCTGTCCACGACACCTACACCCGCAGAAGCGCTTTGTTATCCTCCCGCCTTGAACTCGACGACCGAGAAGCGCCCGAGTAAACCTTTGAAGACGTATTGTGAAAAACATTTCCTAGCCGTGTCTGTTACCGAACCAGCACGGACTAGCGATGTCCTGGTGCTTGGCCTGGAAGTCTACATTTATACTACAGCCTTCTCTACAGCCATATTTGTTGCGAAGGCAGACTCGACAGGGTATTCATACATCCAGTCTACGCCTCCGGGCTTCTCTCCCATCCGGGCCGTCACTATAGCCTTTTTGGATTTCCTCGTCGAACATCGACGGCGACCAGCCAAGCAATTGATAATCAATCTTTTCGCCCGTGCCCAGGCCCAGTATCTGTTCCCAGGAAGCGTTAAAAATGATAAAAAACATATTCTGGATGATAGGGGCCTCATCAAATGGTGGTGCCGAGTGCTGAACCCCCTCCTTGAAAATCATGTTCAAAAAGATACAACTAGAACTTGGGACCATGTGCATGGATATCTGATTATACCTGGGCTCGATGATTACGAGACCCGTGCCTTTATCCCTAGGACCGAACATGCCGCTCGTAACTGGTCACTACGTCATCCTCTTGAATTAATATCACCATACACAAAAGAGGCTGCCAACTACGGATATATACCGCCTAGATGTCTCATTCCCACATATCCGGATGATCCAAAGGCACGCTTTGTAGAAGAATTAGAAGAGTCCACATCGGAGAAGACCAAGCTGCTCAGCGGGTGGAAAACTCCGAAGACGCTCGATCAGTTCTGGGAGATGATGGCTTTTCGACAAGAGTGTTCGAGCGGACGAATCACGGGGTTTGTTTGGCTTGTTTTCGAACCGCCTGCCGCTTCGACATCTTCGCAAAAACAAAACGCGAATCGGGCGACCTCGACCCCTGCTACTACAACTTTGCTCACCCCTGCTGCGTCCTTCAGCGATCCCTCAAACCACGTAGGGTCTCTTTCGACGCCTGGAAATCCCCAGGAAGCTGGGCTCACGTCTCTCGAAACACCGGCTTCGTCGCCCTCCAGGCCGGCACTCTCGAGTGTAAAATTGCGACAACGAAAACGTAAAGCTAAGAAAATACTCAAGGGACCTATCATACCTCGAGAACCTCGTGTCAAGACTCACCATGCCAAATTTCCTGGCCAGATCGACACACCGTATTATTATTGGCCAGAAGCAGGGAGAGGCCAGGTGGTATTAGACGATAGTGGTTATAAGCGAGCCGTAGAGTTGCTCCTCCATCTCGAATTCAAGGGTCTTGAGCAAGCAATCGCTAGTACATCGAGGTGGACTGGTGAAGTCAACATGGGCGACGGCTGGGCATTACCTGTTACTGGTGAAAAGATATTAGCTGAATCAGCACCTGCACTTCCAATCAAGACGATGAACAACTTGACAGGCTTGATTCAGAAAAAGAGGAAGAGTGAAGACGAGCCTTCGAATGATATCCAACCGACGATGCTGAGTAAAGGCTTGGTGCGAAAAAAGGCGAAACTTGATAACAACGAAGGATTAATTAATATTCAGAGCGCCAACGAAGTGAACGCGGAACCTAGGGTGAACATATTAGGATCGGGATTGGTAAAGAAGAAACCGAAGACAAGTTGACTTTCTGTATAATGGATTTCCAGATTTAGGCATAGTTCGGAGTACCGGTATTGGATCTGGGGCAAAGGGCAAACCAAGGCGCACCTTATTGGGAAGGATGGGAGCAGGGCATTAGAAGATCTATTCTTGAATCAAGCACATTAGGAGCTTGGTCGAATCATTTGAAGAAGCAACAACCTTTAATTTCAGGATGTCATGGAGGTATGTCCCAGAGTGAGTAGAAGGTCAGTCACAGTCAAGTAGGTAGGTAGAAGGGATAGTATAGGCGTCAATATTCATTGAATCCTGAACCCTCCAACCCTCGAAGGGGGGCCAACACCCCTTTATATAGCCAGTAGGTCTAATACAGCCACCCCTAGGGTCTATGTGACTATATCACCTGACACAGGAGTCCAAAATGTTCGTGATTCTGATAGAATAAATCTAACGACTTGAACTTATGACTTTATGCCTGGAGATCCTTGCTTGATTGTGAAGTGCACTGATACAAGCCAGATTACACGCCCTATTGATACATTTTCGATTTTGACAGGGAAACCTATTACGATCACGGCCCTAAATCAGGGTTGGCTTACGACTCTTCGACCCTCATAAGAAAAACCACCCTTCCATGACCCATACCTCGCACAGGAACCTCTCTACCACATACATTTATAATTTGTTGTTCTTCGTCGTTTGAAAACTGAGAGTCTGGAGAATCACGCCATATCTCCAGGACATCCCACCCGGAAGCTGCTTGTTCCTTGTGTTCAGTGCCGTTCGTTTCTAGATGTTGTTGGGATCTAGAGCGTACGAGAGCCATCTCCACTACGCGGATGGCCTGCTTCATGTCGCCGACCTCGAATACGGCGATGCGCGGAAGAAGCGTATCCGCGATATCAAGGAGGCGCTTGTAGAATATGTCCTCAGGCGCACAGCTTGTGGTTAAGGGTAATTTAGTTGGCACAAGAGCAATCTTCGGCTCGTAATTGCGCACTGTAGGGTCTAGGAGTTAGTGATTATCTAACTTCATATTGAACGTGCGAAAGATCTTTTGGAGAACTCACCACTGCGCCCTGTATCAACCTGAAATCCGCGCTGAGAGATATATGGCGGATTCGAGACGAGAATGTCCACTCTTCGTGTCTGTTCTCCTTCATCTTCGTATCGAACTGCGTCTCCCTCGTCCAGATACGCCATCCACTCATCGGTAAAGATATCCGCTTGCCTAAACGTGACAGCTTTTTTAACCATATCCCCAAAAGAAAGCCCATAATTCAATGAGCTAGATTGTGATCCCTGGAAATTATGCGCCAGATTCCTCTTCGCAAGACGGACCGCGCGCGGTTCAACATCAAACCCAAAAACGCGCAACGGCGGGGCTCCTTGCATCATCATTAACGGTCGCCTTCGACCCAGCTCCATTAAACCGTACATATAGAGCGATAGGCCTATACATCCGGTCCCAGAGCACAAATCGAGAACCCGCAAATCCTCAACTGCTTTCCCCTCCTTATCGGGACGATAAAACGGCGCAGAGAACACCATATCCGCAAGCTTGGAAACCCACGCTTCCGTCTCAGGACGTGGGATTAACACTCCCTTGTCGCAGAGGATGTCGAGGTCTGCGAAGGGTTGCGAGCCGAGAACATATTGCAGCGGCTCGCCGGCGCCGCGACGCGCAACGAGACGGGCGACGGCATCCACTGGCCCTGCCGCACCGCCATCGGCGCCCCTCTTCCGCCTAGATCTACCACTACCTCTGTGTCGGCGCGTTGGGGGCGCATCACGTCCGTTTCGACGCGGATATGAGGCAGCGGCTACGTGTTGGCGGATCCATCGCAGCTCCAATTGCGCCGACTCTATGGTCCTGCAAGCCGGGAGAAGCGTCGCGAGATGTGGGGATATTCTGCCGGCGCGCCGGAAGAGCGACGGCTCCAGGCGCGGCATTTTCGACTTTTGATCCTTTGGGTGATCAATCGATTAATTGCTTACCAGTCCAAAATCCTCTGCAATTAAAGCTGGGTAGCTCCCGCACGGCACAGGCTCCACATTAGAGTGTGGAGGAGAACATCTGTAGAGAACTCGGATACAAAACCATCACACACAGTTTATCTTCCGATTCTTAAAAGATATGTGCGGGGCAAAAAGGTAGGCAGTAGTTCTCAGGGCCAAAGTAGACATCGGTGCCAGACTCTAGGATTGGCTATGTACTTTGGTTTGCAATCTTCGCGATGGGGTGGGGTGGGAGATGAAGAGGGAAGAAAAGACAAAATACGGTTTGAGCAGCGAAACCCATTTATAATACCATTTTTATACAATTCGGGGTATTGACATCTATACAGATATAGTTACATGTAGCGTTGACATTCTACGGTCTAGATGACAGTCTGTCTATATTTTAGACCCTTTTGGCAGTAGATAATTAACGCCTTTGCCCCCTTTCATAACGAAGACTTTGGTAGCCTTGCGGATATCGTTTTCAGGGGTGTTCAGCTTCTCTTGTGCCTGGGGTGTCTGGAGAATTTGCTCGGTAATCCATGCCTCAAGTTTGTTTTCGTCGAGATCTATCGGCGCGAGTGGTATATCTACCACACACCGCTTCTTGCCATTAACAGCTACAGTGCATTTTGCATAGGCGAAATTCAACAATGGCAACGAACCGTCGGGTTTGGGCCACCGAGCCAGAGCAGCCTCGTCGAAAAGCATCCCCTCATTTGGCCGCAACATGCTCCAGCATTCTTCTGCGGATGCGGGAGCAATAGGCGCCATTAGGCGCACCAACTCGGTCGTTGCTGCGAGTTTGACTACATGAGAAGCATTAGGCTTGTCGATTATAATATTGGTCAGACTCATCAGCGTTGATACTGCTGTATTAAGCGCGTACACCTTCTCGCAAGCGGCCGTGACACTGATGATTGATTCCTGAACAGTGCGCCAAACAGTCATGCTGTCATCCCATTGCGCTGTTCGTTCTTTGGTCATGTCAATCGAATCCTCTTTTTTCCTAGCGAAATACTCTTTAGCGTCGAACGGCATAGAGCTATCGCCGGTCATCTGCACAGTGGCTGCAAGCGCGTGGACATGATCATAAACTCGACGCAGCCATCTCGAAACGCCTGCAATTTTGTTGTCGTCCCAATTGAGAACCTCTGCCACTGGCGCCTGGAACAGGATATGAGCCCGGGTGGCGTCAGCCCCGTGCTTCGAGATAAAAGTGGTCGGATCGACTCCATTGTGTTTTGACTTTGACATTTTTTCATATGTAATGATAGGACACTTTTCTGATCCTACAATTTTTGGCTCGGACGGGTTCGACATATCAACCTCATCCGGTTTTAAGAAGCGGCCACTATCGGGATCAAGATAAGTCTTACCATGAACCATACCTTGCGTGATGAGTCGTTTGAAGGGCTCGTGCGATGCAGTTTCAGTCACGCCGTCATGATCAGCCTTAATGTTTGGGTACAAATTACCCATGATGGCTTTGTAGAAAAACCTTGCATAGAGAAGATGAAGAATAGCGTGCTCAACGCCTCCGATATATACATCTACAGGCAGGTGAGTCCGAGCAGCGGCTTCACAGACAGGGTGGTCTTCGTTACGAGGATCGGCGAACCTCATATAATACCAGCTAGAATCCACAAATGTATCCATTGTATCGGTATCTCTCTTGGCTGTACCGTGACACTTTGGACACGTTGTATTGACCCAATCTGTCGCAAATTCGAGAGGGTTTCCTGCTCGACCGCTGGCCCAGTGGAAATCGACCTCTGGAAGCTCGACGGGAAGCTGATCGTCGGGAACTGCCTGTGGCCCGCAGCTTCCGCAATGGATAATTGGTATAGGTGTACCCCAGTATCTCTGTCTGCTGATGAGCCAGTCTCTAAGCTTCCACTTTGTCTGAAGTTCAGATAGGTTTGTTTCACTTCGTATTTGCTCGACAATAGACTCTACGACCTCATCAGATGACCTTCCGCTGTATTTGCCGGCAAGCTTCGTCATGTATCCCGATTCCAAGTACGGCCCATCCATCTTCGTGGAATGTCCAGTTGAATTTGGAGTGATCACGTATTTGATTTCTCCCGACGGTACGTTCTGTTGCCAGAAGGCAAAGTCCCTAGCGTCATGCGCAGGGACCCCCATAACAGCACCGGTTTCGTAGTCCCCACCCACATAGGGGGCGATGAAGACGGGTAGTGGCTCTGTTTGCATAGGAAATTCAGATCCTATGCGACTAATGGGATTATGCGCTTGGATATATGGTATCCGGTACCCTTGCATATTCTGCTCTGTCGACTTTTCTAGTGTCTCCAAGTATTCACGAACTTTCGGATCGAAGCTTGCGAGGTCTTTCGCGAGTTTACTACTTGAAGATATAGCAATAAACTGGGCCCCAAATATGGTCTCCGGTCGTGTTGTATATATCTCGAGGTCCTCCAAAGCACCCAGCTGAGGCTGGCCATGAAGAATCAGGGGAAAGCGGTATCTTGCACCTGTCGTTCGTCCGAGCCAATTTTTCTGCATAGCAAGCACTCGATCTGGCCAGCGATTTTCCTTCGCAAGCTCATCGAGGTCACGCAGCAGAGCCTCTTTGAATTCGGTGATACGAAAGAACCACTGTTCAAGCGGGCGCTGTTCCACTTTGGCTCCCGATCTCCATGATCGTCCTTCCGAGTCTACCTGCTCGTTCGCTAAGACAGTCTTGTCTACGGGGTCCCAGTTAACAACAGCGTGCTGGCGGGTGACTAAGCCGAACTGGCGTAGGAGGAGGAAGAGCTTCTGGGTATGCTTGTAAAACCCGGGATCACATGTGGCGAATTCCTACAGAACAAAACCGTCAACTGACCAGGAATCCCCAAGCTCATCTGATATCAGGACGCACCCTTGACCAGTCAAAACTACCGTTCATCAACTCCAACTGCTCCTTCATACGCGCGATGTTTGCGCGAGTCCACTCAGCAGGTGCAACACCTCGTTCGATAGCTGCGTTCTCAGCTGGTAAACCGAAGGCGTCCCAGCCCATTGGCAGGAGAACGTTACGCCCCCTCAGTGTATGGTACCGTGCCACAACGTCCGCTATGGTGTAGACACGGAGGTGACCCAAGTGAAGCGTCCCCGAAGGATATGGGAACATAGACAGAATATACATATGGTCGGCGGGGCTCTGAGAATCTGGCTCAAGGTTGGAGGACGTGGTGGATGGTTTGGCGGCAAGCGACGGCCGCTCGCGCTGTCGATTTTCGGTCCATCTTTGGCGCCATTTTTCATCTAATTTTGGGAGGTTGAGATGGGCCGTTGCATAGCATCTTGTATGGAGGGCAAAGAGCGATCGTCTCGCGATCAATGTTGGCGTGGGAAGCTGCAGGCAGCCAGGGCCAGCAAGCTTTCTTATGGCGTGATACATTAGAGGCTTTGCATGGTCACAGCAGTTCCAAGTGAGCTTTGAACAGACTTGAGGCTACAACAAGTCCTCACAACTATCGTGATCGTATGCGACGAATGGCCTCACGAACTAAATCTGTTCGCATTCGGACCTGCGCGTAATTGGGATGGCATTTTGGAAGAGGAATACGGTACAAGACCACTGAGATAGATCCCTGGTCCGACCCCGCTGCTAGCGGCTGCCGTCGGCTAGCTTGTCACTACTGTACTATAGGTACTTACCGCCTTGCCAAGAGCCCCAGTAGCTCTCGAGGAAGCTTGAGAGGTTGACGATATGACAGCATGAAGTATTACCACGCGTAGCTAATTACCTGTATACCTCCTACCTACGCGTTACTTAAGTACTTACTTACTCGGTACCTGCGTAATTGCAGATGCCAGTTAGTAAGGCACATCATACAGTAAGTACAGTAGAAGTGTTAAGAGAATAGACGTCATAGCCATCCTAATTAGGTCAAGGCATCATATGTGATAGAAGTGTCCGTTTCCTCTTAGTTGAGGTTGCAACCTGGTTCTAACGTCAAAAGTTAAATAGATTTGAACGATATGTGTTGAGTCTCATGTGTATCGGTAGAACAGACCCGGCTCTGTGCTTCCCTTGGTAATATTTTACCTGGCGATGTAACTAGGAACTGACGCATCGTTTTCTGACTCAAACCATCGATTATGAAGCTGTAGCTGATAAATCCACCATGAGTTTGATATGTTTGTTTCTCTGATGTATGAGCGCCTCGAATCCGTCTTCGATCGCGCGATCCAGGGAGACTTTGCTCGTGATCATAGCTTCTGGTTTCAGATGCCCTGTACGGAGAGCATCAATAACATGACCGAAGTCGGCCAATTGGTATGTCAAACCTAAATGCCAATTGTCTAGGTGAGCTCGGACAGATCGTGTAATAAAAGGGAATTACATGTCGAAAGAGAGTGCTTACTTCCAATATACTTCCTCTCGTGGAAGACGAGATCGTTAGGATTAAGAGCAACGGGCTTTTCCCACTACGAACTAGCCTTAGCACAACAACCTAAGCCATTCTATCTATGACAGCTCGAAAGCATTGAGCTGAGCAGCTGAAATAGGGCAAGTGAGGGTTCATATCAACTAACAATCGCGACATTGATGATGGTCCCCCGAGCACAGACAGAACGGATTGTTGCTTCAAGACTGAGTGGTACACCAGCACAATCGAAGGCTACGGGAGGGCCATTGCCGCCGGTTAGCTCTCGAACCGCATGGCTCACATCGATTCGAGTTGGGTCAAGTATATGCGTTGCGCCAAACTTCTTCGCGAGCTGTTGTCGTTGAGGCACCATATCGACGGCAATAATGCTCCCAGCGCCTATGGCCCTTAGACACTGGATTATGGAGAGCCCAATGGGACCGGTGCCAAATACTAAGGAAGCTTGACCAGCCTCAATGGCAGACTGGTTAACGGCATGCCAGGCAACCGCGAGTGGTTCAACCAGGGCTTCAAGGAGGTCAGCATCTCTTCACCTGGTGTGGTAGACTGACTGACCACCAACCTCCAGCGAGATACTGTCTGGAAGCTTGAATACTGCCTCAGGCTGCACGCAGACTGCAATGCCACCGACTTAGCATCGTGAAAAGCTAGCAAGGCGTTGAGCTAACGCAGATATGACATGTCATGACCTGTGGATGTCATTCAAAGGAACCTACTGTAATCACTAAGCCCGCCGCCACCGCCAGATAGTCCGAGGAAGCCCTTGTCGACGCAGCAGTTCGGGAATCCACCCTTGCACGGCTCGCACTGCAACATTTGAATTCATCAATTATGAACCCAAGCAGGGTGTATGACTATCCAGAACAGCGAGGAGTTTCTAGGGCATGCATTGCTGTGGCCTGAAAGGGAAGTGGCTCACAGTTCGACAACACAGCAGCGGGAATACGGCAACTCGATCCCCGACTTTCAAATCACCAAGGTTAGACACGTTCGAGCCTATCTCGATGATAGTTCCAGATATCTCATGGCCGAGGGTGACGGGAGAGGACTCGTTGGTAAGCGGGTGAGGCGAGCCGTATTTGGGTATGAAAGTCTGAGATTGGTACTCATGGAGATCTGTGCCACAGATTCCGACAAATGCAGGCCGAATCTTGACCTGCGTCGAGCCACACTTGGGCTCAGGCAAATCCGTCTCCAGACGAAGGTCTTTGGGACCATAATATCGAAGAGCACGCATCGCGATCGAGAGTGTTTACACCAACTACGGTCAATTCGAAACATTGAACGGAGCCCTACAACGTGATGATGCATAGAAGTGAATAATCCACGTAGGACCGTGGAAGCGCTTCCGGCTTCTATAACGCCTCCTCACCTCCAGGCTTGCCTACACAAGTGCCACAACATACCCCTCATTCCGGCAGTTGACTAAGATTGTATAGCGTTGAGCCAGATATCGTTCGTTTACTACTGGCCATCACGACGCATTCAACTATCACTTATCGAAAAGCATACCACAAGTAGGGAGGTAGGGGAGCAGAAGACTAGGACGGACGGTGACTCGTTGACACTCTAGTGGTGTAGGTTCGGTAACCATCCTTGACATGGCGACACGAGAAATAATTTTCATAGCAGATTTCCAGATCAATGGGCGATCACGCATCGCCATCTTAAAAAAAGGGGAAGGGGGAAGGGGGAAAGATGGATCGCAAAGCATTACCTAGTCTGACCTAGATCGCCTTTAACAAATGCTGATTGGCGGTGGTGGCAGGAAATGCCTTAACTGGTAGGTGGAGTTGACCCGCTATGCCCTCAGTATCTAGGTAGCTCGGCACCCGCTGTAAGTATATGTACGGTAAGTACTTAAGTACCTAGCTAGTACAGTATTTTGAAGCCTAGAATAGGTAGAATAGGTACCTACTGCCTACCTGGTAGGCGCTGTAAGGGGGACCTGCAGAAGCCGGCTGCTAGACTAACCACAAACCTGATTGGCACTGGAAGAAGAACTTACTTCATCCAACCTCTGATCGGCTTTGTATGTCAACTGGGCATTCAAGGTAGAATAGAACAGTAATTGCAAGATTTCTTGGGTCGTGTTTTCTTCTCCCTCACAGCATACAGACAAGACACACTTTCTGATATTGATCTCGATCAAAGGCATCGCAACTAGCTATCCTATCTTGTTAACATTCCCAGGTTCTAATCTCTAGGGCCTTGCCTTGTGTCGCGATTCATTGTCGACCTTGGTGAATGCCGTCATATAAACACGAGCGCATGCGACCCATCCTTCGCCTCCATCGCCTCCAACATTAGAACTCCACGAGCTCGGCGAACTCGCCCGGACACCGAAGCAGTCTTCCATTCTCACATCTGTACAATAGCTTGCGAGAATACTACCTCCATCCATTGGGTTACCTATTACCGACGATGCTTCGCCTAGAACTATTTAGGATATAGAATCTGCCAAATACGAATCAAAGCGCAACTGCAATGCCCAACCACTACACATCGAACCCTCATCCCAACGAACGGGACTCTCTCGAGCTTGCTTCCTTAGCCTCATCGAGCCACGGCCCCGATACTTACTCTGAAACGGATTCGAGAGCGTCAATATCATCATCACGCAAGTTCTCCCTCGAACAGGACGACCCTTTGGACGACGGTAATCTCGCTGGTCGCCCTACACTTGGCGGCGCTCGCGATAGAGCATACTCCGCCGCCTCAAACTTCGACTACTCCGCGAACCTCTTCCCCCTCTCCTCTTCGACGGCTCCCGGCTATGCTCCGTTAGGCGCTCCTACATCGGCCGCACAGCACCATGGTGGGCTAGGCGGCGCCTCGCTGGAGAAGCACAAGACACTGACGTATCTGAATGGCCTGGGTTTGATTGTTGGTCTAATCATCGGCTCCGGCATTTTCTCCTCCCCAAGCCAGGTTAATGTCAATGTCGGCTCACCAGGCGCGTCTTTGGTCGTGTGGGCAATAGCAGGTGTGCTGGCGTGGACGGGAGCGGCCAGCTATGCCGAGCTAGGTGGCGCGATACCTCTAAATGGAGGATCGCAAGCGTACTTGTCGAAGATTATGGGCGAGCTGGCGGGCTTCCTCTTTACGTGGGTTGCTGTCCTGGTTCTGAAGCCTGGAAGCGCCGCTATTATCGCCATCATCATGGGTGAATACCTGGTGCGGGCTTTTATTGGAGCTGAGGCAGAACACATAAATCCCTGGATCAGCAAGGGAGTTGGTTTTGCCGGGCTACTCTTCGTTACATTCTTGAATTGCGTCTCTACTCGACTAGGAACACGAATCAACGATGCACTCATGTTCTTCAAATTCATTGCTTTGGTTGGTGTGACAGTTGTGGGTATTGTGGTCGCTTTAACCGGCTTCTCTTTTTCAGGCCAAGCCAACACGGAGTGGAAGAACCATCAATGGTTTGAGGGTACAACTACTGACGGTAGTCATTGGGCTGTTGCCTTATATGCTGGGCTCTGGGCATATGATGGTTGGGACAATGTAAGTCCTCATTATGCCTTCTATGTCGAACATGCTAACGCAAAATTAGACAAATTATGTTGTAGGCGAATTTCGTAATCCATCCCGCGATCTACCCCGCGTCATACACACAGCCATGCCCCTGGTAATTATCGGTTATCTTCTCGCCAATTTTTCGTATTTTCTTGTCCTGCCCAAGGAAATCCTCAACAGCAGTAATACCGTCGCGGTCGCATTTGGTAGCAAAGTATTCGGTCCCGTAGGCGCACTAGTATTCGCCCTTATCGTTAGTGCTTCATGTTTTGGATCGCTTAACTCGACAACATTTACTAGTAGTCGGCTAGTATATGCTGCTGCGAAGGAAGGGTTCATTCCTTCCTTCGCTGGCCGCATTGGCATTGGTTCTACGGAGCCTAGAATTTCTACGAGAAGGAATGGGTGGCTTTCGAAGCGATTTCGCAATCTGGTTGGGGACGAAGAAACGGGTCTGTTCTTTACACCAGTGAATGCGCTGATATTGAACACCCTATTGACCACAGCCTACATGGCGGTTGGCGAATTCAGCGAGCTTCTTACATTCTATGGTGTGGCAGGGTATTCCTTCTACTTTCTCACTGTCCTAGGGTTAATTATACTTCGAGTAAAAGAGCCGCACCTCGAAAGACCTTACAAGACTTGGATAACAACGCCCATAATATTCTGCTGCGTCAGCCTATTCCTACTCAGCAGAGCGGTTTTCTCTCAGCCTCTAAAAACACTCATCGTTGTCGCATTTGTTCTTACCGGTATACCTGTCTTCTTCTGGCGGATACAAGGGCGCGATCAGGTGAGCAAGCGTGAAAATGGATTGAGAAAAGCGCCCATATGGCAGTTCTGGAAGCGCTGGGGGTAGACATGGGATTATGCCAATTTTATTTGCTGAATGTCAATTAAATCCTATGACAACCTTGTTTCCCGCCAAAAGCATCTTTCCTTGGCTAATTGCCCTAATGTACTCGGATATGAATGGGTCAGATTATAAAGGCGTTAGGCTATATTTATCATAAGAGGCATGACTTAGGACGGTATCATACTCAACGGGCACATCCCTCCCGGTCGTATATAAGACAAACGAGGACAACGGAACATTGCCCTTCGGTATTCATCATCGATGCAGCTCCAGGCTATTAGGCGCTCATATCCAATGATCTCGAGCCAGTTGAAGGTGCTTGAGAGATAGGCTCGGCTATAAGAAATTGGAACAGTTCAAATGTATCTTTTGATCCTGTTGCTTAACCTGTTGGTGCTAAGGCATATAAACTAGAACAGATTTTGAATATAAATGATTTTAATGACCCAGTGTAAAAGCCCCTTAGATATGCTCTTACCGATGGCTACTCACTATGTTAGTCTGAGAATCCCACGACCATTAGTAATGGACCCAGCTGTTGGGAGGTAGTTGAACTAGATATCCTATTGGAGGCCGCTCGGATCTATCCTGTAGCCCTGATACTTAATGTTTACCCTAATGGAAACACGGAGAATGCATTTCGACAACCTTTAGGGCCCCAAAAATCTTCTCCATATCTGAAACTATAGAGCAATATGTGTCAAAATCTATCTGAAGTTATTCCGAGCGACGATTTGCAAGCCAGGCGGCTTGCAATAATTTAGACAATGTTACGGTATCTCAAAGGGAGCGCTCGACTTAGTATGAGACTGAAGATGCTAAATTGGAGACAACAGAGGCTTGCTCTTGACGAAGGAGTAGCTACACCAATTCCACGGAAAACTCCCTTCGACTCTGACGTGCTAGAGTGCATAACGATTACGGCCTACAAATTCAGATCATCTGGCAAACCTGGATTAGATGGATGGTCTTCGCTTTACCAACCATGTTAGTAATAATGCGGCTCTCACCAATAATGAAGTTTAACTGCTAGAACATGATTCAACGATAGCATCCTTGTCATTAGTCTTCGGCCATATACTGCAGAGTAATACTACTGTAACCTGACATGGACAGCACACAACGAGGTAATAACGACGTGGGAGACACCATAAAACAACCTGCTTGACCGACAACATGGGCTTGCTGCGAAGGGGAGTCTATTCCGTAGAAACTGTAATGCTTGAGTGGTGAAGCCCTAGTTGCACTCAAATGTCCAAATCAACTTCGACTGACATATTCGTTTGGCGCCACGTATTGCTACTTAACATTGTTTTAGCCAATGGAATCGAGGTGGGATTTGTAAATGTTGTTGGGACTTTTGTCACACGGGTCCATCTTGGAGAATTTGGGGAATCAGATTTATGCCATTATTGCCTGTAGGATGTCTGGACATGGACACTTGTCAAATTTTCATTTTCAGAGCATAATTAAATGGGCAGGGGAGAAGCTCTAATGCGATGTATCTGCGGAAAGATGCAGCATCACCAGCGGCGATATGGTGCCTATTAATGACAAAGCATGCTGCCTCAAATCTCGTGATAACTATGATTAAAGTACCTAGTTCACTATGCTGCTTTGGAGTATACAAGCACAGCAAAAGAATAATTACTATTAAGATAATATAGGGCTACCAATAGAATCCTAACTACTTACAGTAGTATACGGATTCCCTATTCGAAGGAGTCACTCTCGTCCAGTTGCATTGTACTACTATCCTACCACCAGAAGAAGTCAAGTGCTCAGTATACATTCCACCAGAGATCAGGTTAATCAGGCGCCATGGCTCAATGATACCACCGTAGCCACAAATAGCTCCTCTTGTAGACGACCGTGCATAATCAGCCTCACGATGAACAACTTGTTAGAAGCTGAATGGACCACCTGAACGAGGGAAGTAAATTGACATCATATGAGTTGTGTTGTACAGAGGATCGCCAACACGCGCTGGCACTGATTGAGTTAAAAGAATCCCGGGTCAAGACGCGGGGAAGCGCAGGCAAACGATTCGCAGCCGAAATGACAGTTGTTTTTCATTGGCATATAGATGCTACCATCCGTCTCGGGCCAGGCAATTCGAGCCGTGGTATGTTACTTCTAATGCATATTTAGGAACGCAGTATAAGGCACTTGACGTCCCCGACGATCCTTGAAGTTCCAACTGATAGATGTATGATTCTTATCTACCTACTTACCAGTAAAGAAACATTTCGTTGCATCCTCCTCCTTGGATCGTACACTCCTTTTGCGCTCGGCGCAGCTGCTGTCATATCACTATGACCAGGAAACAATACAGACCACCCGACACATCATCCATGCACTCTTCGAAACACTCGGAGGTATCTCGACTACTCGAAGAGCACAACCTCCAATTTACATTCCACAGGAATGACGAAGACAGTGGATGTACCAAGTCACACGATACAGCCATTATGGGCCGGTTTATATGCCATAATCCAAAATGCGTAACAAATGGATGGAGCAGCAGGCAGATCGCAATCACAATCCGGATGTACCCCAGACGTGAATATAACGCAAAGGTCTACCACCAGCGCTGCAAGAGTTGTGGCAGCCTCAGCAAACCAATATTAGACGACACATACGCCGAGCGAGTTGCATATTGGATCAAGAAGTGGTGTGGGATTCAGCAGGAGAAACCACCTCATTCAGGCAAGAGTAAAGGACCGCATCAGAAACGGTTCTGTGAGGGCTGCAAGGCGGGCCATTGCTCACAACTGCAATACCAATGAAGGTATAGTGCTCTAATTCTATACCAGCTCTATGCTCTTTAGTATTGATGAATAATGGCACTGATATTGAAGTTAAGGGCGAGCTTGTCTAACTATCGCCGAGAACCACACTAGCCGGAAGGAAGGACAGTTGGTCAAAGGATACATGATAGTGTGCGCGGGTCGGTCTTAGTATATTGGTTAAGGGATCCATCAAGTATCTTTCATTATACCGATGGGCTTTACAGGCTTGTTGTTGGCCGATTTTCAGCGTTGGATTGCATATGCTTGAGATATGATAGATATCTTTGGACACTGGAGGACATGAGGTACGCTATACTAATGGGGTTACACTGGAATATGGGATTTGGCCCTTACTTGTGTTGTGTACGGTCTGGGAGTTCATAAGAATTCTTTTATAGGTCCCCTGTATGCCTTTCCTCACTTGCTAGGTGGAATAACCTGTAGCAGATAGTAATTGAGAAAACCTTGACGAGGAATTGGTGATGGGTAACTAATATTGAGAGGCAAGTAAATTACTAGACGACAACCAATTAATAATGAGAACCCCTGACTGTGCCCATCAAGCTGATGTCTGGCTGATTTCAGGATCTGATCGGCATTGTCTGACATAGCACTTGTCAACGGATATGTTCGAAATAGCCAACTAGCATGGGAAACAAAGCCTGGTTCCTGTGAAACTATGAGTATGACAAGAACATGGCCTTCACTACTTAGTTGATTTGTAATCCCAACGAAGTACCAAAAGTAGAGCAAGCGCTTCAAATGAGCTCATGCTCACTGTGGCGAACGCCTAAGTATTCATAAGTGACGCTTCAAGATTCACATAACTCTAGCCGCTTACCCTCGATTATAAAGGAGGCCACAAATTGGCATATGATATGCGCCACAGGCTTTATTTACATAGTACGTCAATGGCGTTGGTCCCCCCCCCCGCGGTGGGTGCTCAGGCTTATATACCTCAGTAAAACACTAGGGTAGTCAGCCAAGAATTTGAGGGCTAAATTAGCTGAATTTTGAAACAAGTACATATCGATGTTCAGTTGAGGGTAAGGGTCGCGGTGTTTAAACGCATTTGGGTTAGCAATCTACTCCGACAGGTCGCGGCGCAAGTGGTTTAGGAAAGAAACTCCGTGACGCCACCAACCAGCAACCGCCCAGCTCTACAGGGGTGGTTGGTAACTTGTGGTGAGTTGCGTTCTAATTTTAGACACCATCTTTCAATATGAAAGCGCAATGAATATATGTGAAAGTAAGTAATCGGTGTTTCACATCAGTTGATGATAATGTAGAACAGACGTTCTATTGTTCTATATCTACTAGACTCCAAAATGCCTTCATACGACCCATGGCGGCTCACTAATTCCAACGAGCTGACCGAACGAAGAGATGATATCTCAGGCTTGGATACCGGGCAGACAAAGTACCCTCAATCGACCTTCGCTTACGCCAGTACCGACGCAAGTAAGAACTTTCGTCTTGTTACAGGTTACATGAACTTACACGATAGCGCAGTAACATATGAGGGGGGTTATGCACACATTCCTCTTGCTACCTCTCGATCGCGTCACTACCTATCACAGAGCAATCCATCGCAATCTCACACGTCAAGCTGGAGCAAAACCATCACCGCTTTAAATATCATATGGCCAGTTCTCGTACTTCTGCTCTATATCTTCATAGTATTTCACTACCTGCTTAGAGACGAGCTCAATGGAATAGTTGCCGAGCACAAGATCGATGCAAAGATCGTCTTCTATGCGTGGCTCATCCTGAGCATTTTCATCCTCGAATGGCTTAAAGCCTCTTTGGCCTGGTTCGAGGCCGCCATCCTCTTGAACTATCCCTCATGGGCACCGTCAAATGAGGGACAGCACCTGTGGCATCTTGATCGTGCTTGGGCTAACTTTAGTGGCTGGTGCCGCGTTTTCTCGCCGATTTATAGTTGCCTGATTCGCAGAGGAACTGCATCCACGCAAGTCCCCGCGCCTTTATGGTGGTATCTAGCAGGAACATACATTCTGTTCTCCGTCACTGTTCCTCTGTCCGGTCTCTCTATAGATCAGAGAGTTGGCCTTCAGCTTAGTCACCGACCAGTGACAATCCTCGGAGTCAATGAAACTACCTTCGACGTACGCACAAACGCTGCTGTCTCTGGACTAGCGAGCAACAACTGGCGGAGTGGTCAAGTGACAACGCCGAATTCACCAGCTATCTTTTACGCCCCCGAAGGCACAAGAAACGCTAGCAGCACCTTCTTCGAAGACTTCGCTCAGAACATATATCAGCAAGACCTTGCGGGCGTGGAGACTCCCGTCGAAAACCGTACTGTCAAAGTCTTTTCTGGCCCACCGGTTGCAGAACGTAGCTATGGACGAGCCTGGGGTTTTCTGACTAGTATCTCCTGTCAGGCCGCAAACTTAAAGAATGGCACGAAAATGCTTAATGCCACGGGCCCGAATAATTGGACGACCATTTGGGGTAATTCCGATTTCTTCGACCCCAGATTCGCTGGCCTCACTCCTCTATTCGCATCCTCGGACTCAAGCTTTGGTATAGATGCTACGTACCTGGTTGTTAGCGATCGAGACATATCAGCGGTCGGTAATGGAGACTATGTGAACTCCACTGTTTCAAACATAACGACGCAACCCATTCAAGGCGCTTTAGAAATCGCTATCTGGCAATCCATACCTGATGGTTTTAAGCCGGACGAGGGTTTCAGAAATATGACTTCGAATCCCCTGGTCACCCAGTTGAACGACAGCTCAGTCTTGGGATATGGAGTCCGCTGCATAGTAGAATCTGACGTGGGGTATGCCACCCTCGACGCGGCTACCAGGACCTACTCAGACTTCGTCAAGCGAGCCGCTGATTCTGGAACAAAGGATTTGACCACGATAGGCACCAACATACCTCTTTTCCAGCAAGCTGGTATTTTCGCCATCCAATCAATCGTCTTTGAAGTTCTCTCTACCTTATCTCTTGGGGTTTTGGGAGCGCCGTCTTGTGGTGCGGGTAGTGACACAACTTGCAGCGCTTTTTACGGTGCAAATCTAGCCACCGGCGGCGTGCCACGCATCAGCCAAGTGGGAGATTCCCAGTTTGCGAGAGCCCTGCAGATCCCAAGTATTACCCCTGAGCGAATGACACTTGCCATGTACAAACTGTTTGGAGAGGCTGCATCTGCTATGATGGCCATTGGACCTGGGAACTGGACAAGTAGTGATCTAAAGGGGCTGGACCCCGCTAACAATTTGATTTCGGGCGTAATCCCGTGGCAGCTTGTTCTAGTCCTGTTGGCCTTATGGACTACGCTCAGCACCCTGCCGCAGATCTTGACATTTAGTCAAACGAGGTGGTCGCAAACTCTCGAGGCTTATGCCATTAAGAGATTTGGCGTTAATTGGAGAGACGCATTATGACGAGGTTGAGGAAGCATATTTTCTACTATTATACTGAGCTTGTCTTATTGCTGCTATCGATGCTAGCCTCACAAATAAGATACGGATGGCCATCTGACGGCTTGAACGGCTGCGTATGGATTTGACAGCTAGCCGAGCTGTTTTAACATTGAGAGTACATAATTATTAGCAGGGCCGCCCAATATATATAGAAATATTAGAATGTAACTACTGTATGAAAACTCGCCCTTTTCTTTGTGAGCTTGGAAAGATCAAGTTAGTACCATGTGAACAAATGCTGAAGAATTTTCAATGCTACCGTAGTCTTATCATCATCCTTTTACATTAATAGGTTGTATAACCCTAATATATTTATTCAGATTTAATGCGAAGACGTGGAAGATTCCATCTAGAAGAAAGCCTCTAATTCTGGTAGAACATTTTCAGTAATGATACTTAGCCTCCATCGAGGTATTATCAGTGATTCAGTCAGCTGAGGTGCACACGCCTGCACAAAGCTTCTCGTAGCAAGAAAAATTACAGGCTAGACCCAGACACCAAAATGACTGAATGTTGTGTTATGTACATACGAGCACTGGGATTGGTTTCATATCAGGTGGGTAATAATTCGACTCTCTCAAGGCTCGCCAGTCTGCATCTTGGCACCAGGAGATACCTGCGACTCCTCAGCCTCGGGCTGGTTAACGCTGTTAAAGAGTACATAGACTCTGTGGTCAACGATAGGAGGGAGCTGAATGTGTTAGCAAGGCTGAGATACATTCGCTTCGCTCGGAGCAAGGGCTCAACGCTAGCCGTCCGGGAAGAAAGTCCGGATGAACTATTCCACGAGACAAGAGTCAAGTTGCTCCAATCAGCTGTTGAGAGAGTGGCAGGCTGTATAAACTACAGGCTATATTCTTTTACGCATTTGGAGGCATGTAACTCGTAATATAATTTTTGTTGTCTCCAGTGTTGACGGATTGCATGGGGATAGAGGTCGTATAGATTGTGGCCAATCGCACTTAATAGGTATCATCTTGTATACGCTTGGAGGTAGACTCACTGAATCGGTCCAATAGAGGGTCTCTCACAAGGTCATACCTTTATACTTTCATTTTGCCACTTTTACCACCCATGTATAGTGGGATATTTGTACTACTTTCAACCGGCCGCCGCAGCTAGGGCTGAAGCATCTTGTATTCCAAGGCTTTGCCTGTTGCCTATCCAGGAATTTGACTGCGTCTATTACTCATTTACTCCTATCTCTCCAGCGATTGAAGCTATTCGAATACATATTGGAGTGTAGAAGTTACTTACTTATTCTGGTGTGGGTGACTCCAATTAGTGACGGTTACTCTCATTCACTTCAGTAGCAAAGCATCGATGAAATGGCATGCGAAGGGCAACGCCTAGTTGTGTGATCGAACACATTATTTAAGCAAATTTCTCCTCGGCGGATAGTATCCACGCTACAAGTGTTAGATCTCCAACCTATATTAGGATGGCCAATTAAAGATAGCCTTGAGAAATTTCAGAGCTATCCAAATGAGGTTATTCAGTCGCTTCGAGATAATTTTCTGATACTAGGACTGAAAGCCTTCATGCAAATATAGGCACCGGCGTTCGAGTCCGTAAAGCTGTTCCTCTCTTCTTCGTAGGCGGATAAATTAACAGGATAGGGACAGGTTGGAAATTTCTCATTATCTTATTTAAGAGTTGATAGGCCTAGTACCACTCATCTCTCGAAGACTTTCAAGAAGGGAACCTCTGAATCTCATCGCTATTAGTAAAGCGCGCCCTTCGATAATATCCTACAAACTATTCAATTTGCAATGATCTGGCTCGCTGGAACTCAACAGCGTGCTCACTGACGAGGATGGGTTCGACCGGCCTATTATCCTCTGTTACATCTACCTCGTGTGTCTTCATGCTCATAACATCCCCGTTGACTGGCATAATCGAAGTAAGCGTCACCAACGGCGCAAGGACATCCTTCAGGCTTTTGACGGCAGAGGCCTGATACTCGCTTTCCTCCCTTTCGAGCTCAGCAACTCCCATTTCTCTGACCCGATCCAATTCCGCCCTCCTGCAGGCGAGAATACGTTTATTGCTCTCTAATTTCCCGATCACCTCCTTGGTGTTCAGCCGGAGCTTGGCCAACACCTCCCGACGCGTAGCGTCCTTCAGAAGTGCGGTGAACTTCTCCGCATTAAGCAGGAACATTTCTAGCCTCTGCGCGTCGATGCGGACCCTGTGCACAGCTATATGCCGAAGGTCGGCTAGGGAACCCAGAAGCTTGCCATAAGGCTGCACACACTCCCCCAGGCTACCGAAGAGTTCGCCCTGACGTTGACGAAGCAACGGCACCCACAGGTTAAGCTCGGCCGCTTCGGGGCAATCCCACTGCCGTGTTTTCAGCACTTCCGGAATGGCGCGGCTTCCGAAGTCGAAACATGCTTCCTCTAGTAGTCGCTGAACGTAGGTGAGGATGAGATGCTGTGTCGGGAGGGGGATATTAACCGAGGATAGTGACCGGAGAGTAGGACGTCCTCCCTTACCGGACGACGAGTTAGAATCGGGGCACATATCAACTAAACACATAATTAACAATTAGCAAACGTCCCAATATATGCATGAGGAGAAAGGTGGCCAACGTACAACTCTCCGTGTCGGAGTCATCAACCTGAGAAGCGAAGTTGTGAAAGTTGTCAAAGCCACCTCGCGCGGCTTCGGCAGTAGTGTCGGCTTCGTTCACTACAGTTTCAGACCTCAACACCTCCCAGTCGACACCTTGAGCTTGTGAGAAACCAACGTAAGGAAAGCGTATCTTGGCTTTGGTTAGGGACAGAAATATGCCGTCTTGAAGGAGGGCTTGCGCAACGCGGGACACGACGCTTATGCCGTACACATTAGTGAGGTTCGACACACCCGCGTCCAGCGGCACCGCGTCGTCGATGAGCTTGCGAACGGTCTTGAGTTTTGATACCTTGGCGTTCTGGCCCTCGAACACATTCCTCAGAGCCAAATATACCTCTTTCTCGTCGGGTAGGCTCTTCATGGTGCAGTGGTTGGTTGGCTTACTTCTATGCTACACAGGTATCGAAAGAAAGGAAAAACATTAAACTCCGGAAAGCTCAAGAAGCTTCGCTTCGACTTGCCCTATCAGTTTTGAACGCAGAACGCGGACAAGGTTCTCGTTTTATTCCGATACTACCCTCCCATACGCGTCCAATCTTCAACCCCTCGCATATCCTCGCTGTAGACGCGTTATAATAGGACAAACCTCCTACCAATCAGAATGGACATTACCGAACCGTGATCTAATAGCCAATGCAACTTCTGGGCCTTAAAGTTATGGTAGGGTACAATAAAACGAAAAGAGACGGCGAATTGAAATAGGTGCCTATTGCTCTCGCAACTGACAGACATTCATACTCCTCAGCTAAGAACGTGTTAGCATCTCCAATCTGTGTTATAAGAATTTTCTATTATACGGGGACCGCCAACATTGACTATAGAAACAAGGTCGTTGATACAACGTTCTTGTACCTCCTCAGATCACATTCACCAACCCACCTCAGTCGGTGTCACGGAACGACATAAGGAGTGCAGTACCTATGCCACTACGCCACCAAAAGGTAACGACGAGTTATCAAGTCGAGGGCTTGACGTCTCTGCACTCACTATATAGTACTGTACTGTGACAGTCGGGATAACTACTATTTCCGCATGAAAGGACAAGGACAGGAATGTAGCCCACGCGCGCTCTATTAGCACAACTCGGTCTCGTTTGCCGTTGATTAGGTTGTCGGTTGGGTCAGATTTCATTTCTTACAAAATCATACGAGGACCCTCCTTATCGAATTCGATTATCCGTAACGAAGACTAGGGTGCGCAAGAAATCAATATTCATAACCCAGGTTATGATAGGAGTAAGAGGTAATTGAATATGTTAAGCCTTGCGCGCTAAATACTGAACAGGTAATTACAGGCATGCATGTTATTAACAATTATTCATCCTCTGCGAGGCCCGTCTCCTGACCACCTAGTTCTCTCAATGCGCCCTTGTTGGGCTTGTCACCGCGTAGCCGATCCTGCATAATTTTGTTTCGATCAATCGCCTCTCTCTCATCGCGGGCTACATTATTATGTAATGTTAGCTTCCGTGGTGGAATACGGTCGTTTCTGAAAGACGCACCCAATTGCTGGTCTGAATCAACCTCTTCGATACTAATAGGATCTCCGACGAATGTCTGGTCGCCAACAACGGGCACAGATTCGTTGCTTTGCCTAGATGCATATGAATCGTCGTTGAACTCTCCCGTAGGAGCTTCACGAACATTATCGGGCTGACCGCGTCGGTCGTCGGTCTCGGCGTAAGAGGACTTCGACATGGTGAGTTATATGTGTGAATTAAAAATATGTTGAAAGGTATTGGGGAAAGGTGAATGCCTGATGAGTGTGTTTGTCAATTCTCTTGATTGTATGTTCAGTCGAGGCCGAATGGTATCCATATGAGCAGCTTGCGCCCAACGCTCGAGGAGTGCGTCAGTACAGCTAACCTAACGTCAACGATGATAATATTATTTGGGTTGAATTAGTAGACTTGTGACACGCTATATTCATGCATCAAACATATACACGGGCACGGAGTGCTCAAGCAGAGACATAAAGCGGCTGCAAAGGGTATGGTAGCTAGGTGACTCATCACCCATCTCGATTTTGTACAGAAACCTAGGTTATCGCGCAAAATTTGAAGATACATCGACACTCACAGATCATAGACGTAGATGATCCAATCGGATTATTCAGACCCTATGTTAATGACGTGCTTGATGATTGCAATTACCTTTTATACGACTCTAGGCGTAATAGCACACTACACGAATAGCGATGTGTAGATCAACGCAATGTCTCAGTCATTACAAGATACATTTTCGATCAGTTGCTTAATTGATACGTGATAGAATCGGGCTACAGGCATGGTAGGTAGGGTATAATAACCACCCGAGCATCTAACTCAACGTCAAACCCCATCATTCACATGACTGGCTAACTTTCCACACTGTCAACGCGCATATGTATCGGTGTTTCTTTCTCCCACCTTTCACCCTTCTTCCTAGCATTGGCTATATACTAACTTACTGGAAAGTAATGTCATGCCTCGCAACTTAGAGTTCTTGAGTAACAAACAGAGTAAGTGTTGAGGCACCATAGTAAAACTATCGGGCATTTGGCAAATGTCGCTTTAGCTACACCCTAACGATGGACAAGTAGTTTAGTTAACTGAACACGGAGAGTAGTCTAAAGTTAAGGATCCCTTGGGGAAATGCCCGAGCCGTCGCGATGCCTGGTCTCTGCACGATATGTCAATTTGTCGGGCAGGGTAGACCAGCTATGTTCGGACTAGGGGCGAGCCGGCTGATCGCTAACCTCGATCTCAACAACAAGTGATCTGAAGTAATGAAGCGCAGCAAGAGCATTACCTAATCATGCCTAGCCCCTGACTAGCATGTCCGGATGGGATCCCGGAAACGTGACAGTACACCACCCCAGATGATGATGATGATGGCAATTGAAATAAAGCATGAGTATTACACTAGATACTGAAGTCAAAACCACGTCTCAATTTCGCCAATCAGCGCGGATTTTCGATTTCCCCCTGAACTACTATGGGGAACATATCACCCGGGAATTGCCTGCGTCCTTAGATATCGGATTCTATGACGTCGGTAGATGGCTATGCGCTGTGTTGAAGGGCCAACCCGGTAGCCTCAATGCGAGGTACACACTGCTCACTAACATCGCCGAGTAGGAGTTAGCAGATATGCGTGCTGCCTCATTGACGATCGCCGGGGTCTGACATTATGTCGCGTGGTCACACCTACCCTTGGGAGTAGATACTGCGAGATTCGGTGTGTATATATAGCTAGCGATAACTTCTCCGAACGGTAATTGATTTAGACACCAAGCCATCAATACAAACATAATATTATTAATCGCTCAAGCAACTCTCCACCTATCTTCAGTCTACGGAAAATATAACATATTAATTATATATTTATCGGTCACTCTTTGTATACAATCAATATGTCTGACAACCAGAATCCCGGAAACTTTGCCAACCGGTAGATCAATATGTTCTGCCGCTTTTGGGAGACTTTACTAATGAGAAGTAGTCCTAAGGACGAGGTTCGAGAAACTGCATCTAAGGCGGGTTCTAAGTAATCAATCCCAGTGGGTTTACTGGTTATGTGCAACTAATCCGCAACGATGAATTTTATTTGTGTGGTCGTGTGTATGAGAGCGCTAGTTGCAAGGCTATTATACATTGAAACTTATTCAAATTTCCAAAATTCTTGATACATAAGCTATGTAGTCCCCTTCCTACAAATAATAAAGACCTTAATTTGTCATATTAGAGAGATGTATAAGCTTAAAACAATTATACAAGTAAATCAACCTTAAGTATATATAATCATTAGGATGCATTCTGGTAAGACATTTGCTTAGAATATCACTATGCCAGGGCAAACATGAAACCTTAGGGTCTATATACCCATACTCTTATCCTCAGATTTGGCTTTTCATGCAATCTCATGTCAGTCACAATACTATCAAACTGTTTTCGCCTTTCCAAAGCACTCACCTAGCCACTTCACTCACTTCACATCATAAGAGCAGGTTTCGCCCGTTTCCGCGGGAGGATCGACGCCTTTTCGCGAAGCCCAGTTCTCCTGGGCTAGCGTGGCCTAGCTATACCAGTCCGACACCAGGGCAAAGCGGTCTAATAAGATCGCCGCCCAGATCTTTCTTCTCGCATATGGGAATTGTCGACAAAAAGCGACGTAACTACTAAATGACCCGTAAAAGTAGTACATAGAAAAAAGCAATGCTGTAAGAGGATGCGTGCAGAGAATTTTGAAGAAACAGAGGTACCAGACGAGTGTGAGGAATGGGTTAAACATTCCCTCCACCATTTTGCGGCACATATATGTTGTCCGCCATAGATTTCTCAATCCAGGATCACTAAATAGACACGTAAGTCGGAAACGTAGACCGGTTCTCAACCATCTCTTCACTTGTTCCGCAAATCTCTTATCAGGAATCAACGCCGTGAAAACAGTTGCCTCCGGTGCCATTTGCATGCCAAGACGTCACTTAGGGCCCCCTTTCCTATCTTCACGTAAATGCTGAAAGAGCACCCATCGCGTGATAAAAGAGTCGTCACCGCTATTCATGTGTTTTCCGATAAACGTCTCCTCTGTGAATTCATTCTGAAACGCTAGTTCTTGTAATATTTCTGAGCGCAATAACATAGTTGCACCCGACACGGTAAAGTTTGTTGACCCATCGCGCGCGTAAAAGGCTTTGTTTCCGCCCAGACGCTTTGAGCGAGCACGTAGTGCGGCAATTTCCCAAGCTGTGATTGCGGCGCCATTTTGGCGCTCTGAAGGGACAGTATGCTGTAGATAGCATGGTAAATGCAGGTGATGGAATGACTTGCTTAAAGTAGGGTAATAATTAGAAAATAGGGTTGTCGAGAGAGCCTAGGTTTGCTGTGACAATTGATAGGATGGGCGAAGCTAGGTCTTGATATTTCAAGCGGTTTGTTGGATAGCCAGGATATTAGTGCGCGAGAAAATTTTGAGGGTTCGAAACCTACCGTTGGTACGATTATGCTTACGTCTGAGGTATTGAATCCTCATTTCCAATATTGTCTGCATATCTCTGAAAATAATAAACAGCCTGCAATGGCCCTTGTTACAGCCGAAGCGCAAAGGCGTACTGTATGTTCAGCTTGTACGCGTATAACATAAATTTACTTGAGGTTATATATAGACTCTAACTAGACTGTATTATGTTGTTATACTTGTTTACTATAGCTAACCGTCTGCTTAATGTGGACTTTTGATATTGCGCAGATGATGTCCTCGTTGATTGTATTCACAATATTTTTCCTAAACGCCGCATCTTCAAACTGAATGGTCGAAAGCCCATATACACTGCGCGGCATTAGCCCAATAGACCTGGTCTTGCCAAGAGTGGTTGGAGTTCAATTGAATTATCTTCATCTATTGTTGCATGCGAAACCGACTGTGATTTAATGCGGGATCTCATATTATTCAGGTGTTCAGTCGTGCCATAACGTTGCCTCTTGCTGGACAATAAAGTAGTTGAATCATTGTTATTAATCGCTCGTCATTTAGGCTTCTGCGATGAAGAAACAAGCAAAGCAGTCTGGAATTTCACAAGCCGTGTTTGAACGAAGCTAGAAGTCAGCCGGATTGGTCATATTTCCAGCATCATTACTGTCCTTATTGTTACAATTGCTTTAAACTACAGAGAGCTTCATCTACGAACTCGCAGAGAACAGCCTTCATCATGTATACACGGACTATGCATCTAGCTCTCTGAAACCCTTGCCCCTCTCATGCATGCCTTTCTCATAGCGCCATTTGCTGTTCAGACCTACAGTACTTCGCTTCCCTGCTGGGCTTGGACTAGGGCTTTCAGGACCGCTGCCGAAGGTTAACACGCCTGACGATATACTACCCCCCACAGGGCTTGGTGACCCTATTGACCCAATTGACCCGCGCGAGGAATGGCGTGCACCATTCATGGCCTTTTGCAATAGGTGGTAACTTGGTGATGCGAAGCTTGATCCATTTCCTGCCGGAGTAGGGCTTCCTTGATTTGACGGACTACGCGGCACCTTGGGTGAGCCTGAAAAGCTGCGCCGGCTCCTTGCCGAACCTGAGGCAGATGGTGTACGGGTATATCGGGGTGGTGTGCTATATTCAGAGCCAGGTGTCGGCGGCGCACTTAAGGGAGGAAGGCCTAGTAGTCTTCGTTGGCCTGATGTGAGAGGAATGTCGGAACAATCATCTTTGGTTAGAAACAACGGTGCCAAATTAAGAACAATATTGACAAGGGGCACTGAATAAAGGATGTATGATATGTATTGAAACCAGGTCCACGCCCTATAATTCAAAAGATTAGCAACGCTACATGAAATTTATGCGACATAAGCATTATGACATACTGAGGCACTGAACGCCTGGGAGGCAAGGCCTTTTTGAGCAGGGGTAACAGGAGAAATAGAAAGATTAAGAGCGAGACGTTGATTAGTATGCGCCTAACGTTCTTCTCAGTGAAGGCCGAAGCTTCTTGCCGTCTTGTGATCTCTTCGATGCGGGGATGTCGCCATGTGCCTGGGCTATCTGTGACGGGAGTAGCAGAAGGCTTGGTGGGCGTCCTTGTGGGAGTTTTCTTGGTCGGGGTGGAGACAGCCACAGAGGCAGCGGTGGAAGCCATTAGGATGGCCACAGGGTGCGTGTCTGAGGCCCGATATGGCGAGGATGGACAGCGGCGAGAGTGTCGGGTTGGTGATACTTTGTTTATTTGGGAGCGGGAGCTGGCGGGAGAAGAGGACTTGCTCGGCTGCGGATTATCTGCAATCTGGCAGACAATTGCCTCAAACTAGGTATATGTAGATGTCGACGTGCTGCCTCGTACCTAAGGGTTAGTAAAGCCGGTATGCTGCAAAGGCAGCTCCTGGTGTTCAACCAAGCTTCAAGTTGTTTTTGCTGGAGGTGTGTCCTTTGTTTTCTTTGGGGATTGCGACGGGTTTCTTTGGTCGCGACTGGAAAAGAGAGACCCACAATAGCATCCACTGTCGGCAAGTATCCACGTTCCTACGCAGTACTTAGGTACCTATGTACTCTAGCTTCAGCCACAGTCTTCTTGTGGCTCAGTCCTATGGCTACCTTAGGTATCGACACCTACAAAGTAGGTACCTAGGTAGCTTTATGCTGGAACTTGTTAAGACATAAAAAGAAAAAGAAAAAAAGGCCACAAAAAAGGAAAAGCCGAAGATCTGAGGAAGAATAAGATATAAGATGAGAGAAAGAGAAAATACCATTGAAATTTACCAACTTTCTAGGTACACGACTTACATCAGACCCCATCAATGGGTAGCCCCGTACCTACCACAGACACCTGTAACATACCTTTGTACCAGGTACATACGCACTTGCATGGAAGTTACCAAACAACCTTGAATTCCAAGCTTGGGAAGTTCCAACCACTTTCACATTACGGAGTACATATATCATGTACCTACGTAATAGGTACTTGCCGTAGTGTACAAAATCGGCACAGATACCTATATACAGTGCTTAATACAGCCTGTACCGTGACGCCTTTCTTTCCCATTAGAGGTCCGGCAGTTCCGCCCCTCTTCGCTAGCACGCCTTCGCCTAGGGACCTTAAGTAAGTAGGAGGTAAGTAGGTAGTACATGTAGCTTTAAGCTGCCCTCCACTCACAGCCCCACCACGGAGTACTGTAGGTACTCTCTCCTCCACGTAAGTACATACTAGGCTCGCATCCAGCGCATCCTGCGGGCCACATTTGGATTTATGAATCCATGTCAGCACCGAAGCACCGAAGCTCTCTGGCCGGTTCCGCTTGATTCTATAACCAGCGTCTTTCGACGTCCAGAGGCTGAGCCTGTTCCTCATCTCTTGCGCCGATGCGGTATTTCTGATTTCCCACGCGCCCATAGCTCTGTACCTAGCTAGAAAGCGACCTGCTGCTGCTGTCCGTTACCATGAGTTTCGGCGGCTTCCTGGCACAGCTCGATGAAGGGCTGAGCTCTCTCGTCGGCCAGTGGAATGTCTATTCCACCGGCATCGTGACCCTCCTGGTCCTTCTCGTCACGTATTCCATCACGAGCCGCGTAGAACCCGAGATTCATCCTATGCTCCTGGCCCGCCAGGGTCATGGTTCCCCTGTGCGTCAGGAAGGGGAGTCGCCCATCTACCGCTCAAACGCCGCGCCTCACAGCATGCCCCTCAATAGCGGCCTGAATGTCAAGGAAGCTGGCGCCTCCAAGTGGTCGCAGGGTCGTGACGGTGATTTGAGAGACGTTTGGCGCAAGGCTATCACGGGGTCATCTGAGGGTGATGGTGCAAAGGGCAAAGGTCGTATTCTCACCGTCTTGGGTCGGGAGAAGGTCATCGAACATAAACTTGGTAAGTTTAAAGATACAGATACCTGCCTAGAATTACTAACAACGTCTAGGGGATGTGACTCGGCAGATCAATCTGGTCGGCCAGTATATCTCATCTCAGGGCGGAAAGAAGGTGGCCATTTATCTGCCCAACTCGGTCGAGTACATTGCTACGCTCTTCGCCTGTAGTTTCTATAATATAACCGCCATCCTCCTGCCTTACGACCAGTCGGATGCGTCTATCATCTCTATGCTCCAGCAATCAGGAGCCGACACTGTCGTCACATGTCCTGGAACGTTCCCTTTCGATAGTGTGGTGAAGAGCTATCCGGCTTTGCGCCAACTAATCTGGGTTGTTGACGAAGGCAGCAAACATCTCGATTGGAATGAGGTCCCCAAAGGCATGGGTGGCAAGGTGAATGTATCTACGTGGCAGGATATTTTGAACGATCAACCACAAACTGCTGGAGCCGAGCTACCTTCAGTTGACACTCAGGTTGCTGCACCTGACGTAGTCATGTTCTGGGTATCTAAGAACGACTCGATCGAAGAAATGGTGCGTTTCACACAGGGAAACCTTGTGTCAGCCATCTCTGCGCAGCTTGTCGCCATCCCGACAAAGGAACGCTTCTCGCCAGCTGACCTCTTCCTTCCTGCGGCGCCACTTTCTTCCTCGTACGCTCTGGTTTTGACCCTCGTCGCTATATATAGCAATGCTTCCGTTGCCTTCAACTCTGTAGCAGGTGCTTCGCCGGATCTGACCCTTGCCACCCAAGGGGTCTCACCAACTGTCATTGTTACAACACCAGAGACGCTCTCCAAGACCCATGCTGAGACGAAAGGCAAAGTCACATCTGCCCTCTCGTCCCTCTCCCACTGGATTCAAACTCGCAGCCTTGTCCAGAATGGCGTTATGCCCGTCGCATCATTCCTCGCTTCGTACAATGATTTCCTCTATCCCCGGCTTGGGACTGAGCCTGGCAAGTTGCGGCTGGTTTACGTAGCGCACCCAGCCGACGGCAACAACAGTCCACTACTATCTGAACTCGCGCTTTCCGATCTGCGCATCTTCACCGGTGCGCGAGTGATTTACGCCCTCTCTGCTGCACCATGCGCAGGCGCCGTTGCTCAGACACAATTCCATGACTACCGCGTCTCTGGAAATGGAAAGGGCTCACATTTCGGCCCCCCTGTCAGTAGCACCGAGATATTGTTGCGTGATACTGGCTCGTACAAGATTACGGATGAAAACTACACCGGCGCTGTTGTCGTCCGCGGTCCGGCTATCGTGGGCGGAGAGGCAACACTAGGCTTAGTGGCTACGATTCGCGACGATAACACCATCTCGGTCGTTTAAATGGTCCCATTATAGACTCGGAGATCCATGCAATCTTGATCACGATGTTGGAAGAGAACGACAAATCTTTAGGGAAAAGGCTCGGCGAAACAATACAAACAAACACTGTTGATGCGACCAATGAATGATTTTTCTTGCGCTAGTCATGCTCGTAGCTTCCACTGATATAGACAATTTTCAAACTGTTCCAAACTCATTGATGTCCCCCCCCTCTTGCTATCATGCGTCCATGGTACTCTGATTTAACTTACCTTCGAATTCAACTAGATTTGCTACCAACATATCCTGTATCTCCTTAACCGTAGACAATGGCGCAGACTCACCGTGTGCACACAACTGGATTATCTCTCTAAGTACTGTCTTTATGCACTAAACTCATCGACCTTATATGACATGCTATTGTCATCATCCCAAATGCGTAACAAGAGGTATTATAACAAATTGACCCGAACTCCACGTAAACACTCCACATCATACAAGTCCACTTGTTCATCTATTCATGAATGACGTTGCCCTACAAGCCTCCTCAATACGCACCCCTTAAGCACCATTTCGATAAACCTGTGATCCTTGATTTCTGAACATGATCGTGTCCCTCCTCTGCAATATCATCAGGGCTCTGTTGAGGCTCTGCTCGCTGAACCCCTTGCCCTCGACCATCTCGCGGCGCAGCGACGCCAAACTTGTGCTCCAACCGATGGGGAGTCTGCGCCTCAGCTCGGCTTCGACGCGCGATACTTCTTCATTGAGCTCACGACTACCTTGGTTGGATCCCTGGTTCACTGCGTCCATGGTACTGCACAGGAACAGACGGATAGCCTCGTCGACGTGCTGCTCCGTTGCGATGGGGGAAAGCGTAAGTTTAGCTAACGCCTCGGTAATGCGTACAATAGCTTCTAGTTGACGCACTGTGATGGGAATACTGGAGCGCGTGTTTGCTTCAATCTCAGACGCGTGCACTTGCTTGCGGATGGACACGAAATGTGAAGAGAGCTTTTCGGCAGCCTCGGCGGAAAGACGAGGCGCGCAACGTCTGGATTACCCCTGTTAGCTTCCGGCTCATTTGGTACACAAGAATTTGGTTTAAACTTACGACTTGCAGTAAGACAGATATCGCCGCATTTTCTCTACTGGTACCTCGCCTTCTACCTGCTCTTCAATACCGCGCCCACCCATATGGATACCCATGACGTGCTTTGCTATCCGCTCATCCTTGTCGCGTGTATGCTCATCTTTAACGATGAAAATCATGTCAAATCGTGATAAAATTGTTGTCTGGAAATCAATGTTTTCTCCAGGTGTCTTCATGTCATCATATCGTCCAAAGATGGGGTTGGCGGCAGCGAGAACCGACGTTCGAGCGTTGAGAATTGTAGTAATTCCCGCCTTGGCGATCGATATTGTCTGCTGTTCCATAGCTTCGTGGATGGCTACTCGATCCTCGTCCCGCATCTTGTCGAACTCATCAATACATACAACACCGCCGTCCGCGAGCACCATAGCACCCCCTTCAAGATAGAACTCTCTGGTCGACTGGTCGCGTTGAACCGAGGCGGTCAAACCAGCTGCTGACGAACCCTTACCTGAAGTGTAGATAGATATGGGTGCGGCTTTTTCAACGAATTTTAATAGTTGCGACTTTGCTGTACCTGGGTCACCAAGAAGCAGAACGTTGATATCACCTCTGAGTTTCATACCGTCCGGAAGAATCTTTTTGGACCCGCCAAGCAAAAGGCAGAGGATTGCTTTCTTGATATCCCTGTTTCCGTAAATGGAGGGCGCGATGCAATCGGTCATTACGTTGTAAAGATCGGGTCTCCTGCTGAGCTCAAGAAACTCCTGCTCCTCTTCTTCCGAGAAAATCGCATTTCCCTTTGCAGTTGAGTCTACATCTGTTTGAATACCGACGGCTCGAAGATAAGGGGTTCGAATGGCAACAGCACCACCCGTTGACGAGTTTTTCGAACCTTTGCTCTGGTAAATGGAGAAGATACCCATGATAGTGCATCTTGACCCAGGAACTACTCTATTTGTCAAGTAGCGGTCGGCCGAAATCAAGACATGTCTCGGCAGTTCTCCGACAGGCACCTGGTCAGGTGCTTCTTGGAGTTTGATAATCTGTTGGTCGACGAATCGGGACTTTTCGTGCAAAACAAAATAGGGATCGAGCGGACACTTTTCGGCCGGATCGTTGGGTGCACGCTGCCTACCGCATTGGCGCGGTAAAGTGACACCCGTGAATCCCCCAAGAATGGGAACTGCCTGGGTGTGTAAACAGCTGCGACATTGGATGTTGAGTTCGGTGGCTTTAGAGGACATAACAGAGGCACCAATCACAATACCTGACACCCTAACTAGGCGTGCGATGGTCTCTGAGTCCAAGTTACGTATTGAAACATCTTCAGCGGTGGAGTGCAGGAGTAGTTGGTGTTCTGGAACCTCGGCGGCTGGGTTATGAGGAAAGACGATTCGGTGGGTACATTTTTTTAATGCATTTTCGAACTATTGCGGGTCAGTAAACGGAAACCGTGAAGTGAAGATACGAGAGGTTGACGTACGAGTGGGATAATCTCAGCTGGCTCTGTTACCAGACGATGTGCTAGTTCTTCGTTGTATTTGATGAGGTCGGTAATATTAACATCGCAATAGAACTTTTTTAATAGAGCATTTTCGCGCAGCTGGTCTCTGATGTAGAGTTAACATCAATCCCAAGGACAAATCACGGTGAGAGCAGAGGTGATGGGCATACCTGTATACGAAGATGTTATCGTGCCTGAACTGAAGAATGAAGTTGATGAGCTGCTCTTGCAGCTGAAGCCGGGTGTCCTCATTTGGGCCCGAGCTGTTCTGGAAGACAGAAACAGAATACACAGATTGGCGATCCATCTTCTGGGCGGCCAGCTGCTAAGGTTCAGTGATTCAGAAATTGATTCTCGAGAAGAGCAAGGCACACGCCGACTTGGTACACTGTTAAGGCTTGGGATTGAGGGGTAATCGAATGTTGGATGGGGTGCAATTGATGCCGGGTGGGTGCGTGGAGGACCAAAAATCGGCGCGTCTGAGACGCGCTCTCCCAAGTCTGCCCAAGCAGCGCGTTTAGTGGTTGCATTGGCGCTAACCAAATAAAGATATCAAGTATCTGAGCAGATAAGTACCTAGGTACCTAAGTACTTTCCCCGTTTTCCCCTGAGTTACCAGTATGTCCTGTCACGTGTTACAAAGACGTGGGTACTATTAGGAGTCTCGAGTCGTTGGTCCACTCCACTCCCGGGTAGGCCGGCTGGGAGATGACCGTGTCTGTTTCAAGCTCCGGCATAGGTACTTACACGTAGGTATGTAGTTAGTGATACCCAGGGTCCCTTGCGACAGATATCCATACCTATATGTACAATCACGTATTCAACAATTCTATCGCAACCATAGTGAAGCTTGAGTAAATCATCAGCTGGAGGATTCGCTGGAGAATCAGGAGCTTCCTTCAATTCACGATTCTAGCACGTACCTCGACTACCTACCGACCTCGACCTCTCTACAGCTCGACTACTGGTGGTCATTAGCTACTGCCTGGCGCATATCCTCGTCTCGAACCCTCAAGGCCCAGCGAACGAGCCGCGCCTTGTTCATCGGTCGAGTCGACTTGGCCAACTGGCTCCACGCCTCGAGGCATCTTATAGCTCGTGATTTCACACAGCTATGCTTCCGAGGTAGCCATCCGCGAGCCCTTTCGATAAGCCACTCGGCTTCTCTCGCCTGATTCACCCTGTTGCGACTGCCAGGCCGCCCGAAAGCCATGTTTTCCAACGCCGCAGCTCGCAAGTCAGTCGACAGTCTATCGCCTTGGTCCCCGACTTCCACGTCCGAGTTTCCCTTTCATCGCCAATCTGCGACATCTCACCCTAAAATCCGCCGAGGCTCAACCGCGAGTTCCATACATTCTATAGGTGGCCAGCTCGACACCTCCCCTAATACCTGGTCTCACGCCGTCCTGGAAACTGGACAAAATGCTATATCGACGTTGCTTCAACCACCCATCGTTCGAACAGGCTTGCAACCCCATACTGTCGCTCCCGCATCCAGTACTCACAAACCACCTACTGCGAGAGACATACCCCCCGTTACCTTAACCAATGTCCCCCATGTCGACGCCTCCGAGTTCGCACCTTACCTCGCACAGGTCGGCGCACTTTACGACCAACTGCGGCGCATGCAAGAGAGCGACGATGATGTGAACGATCAAGTGCTGCGCCGGGGCAGGTCTGATGATTTGAGTAAGTCCAAAGACGATGGTCATCTACGGCCTGGCAGTAGAGCCTCGTCTACTAGATCTGTTTCTCCTATTGACCCCCAGCCGTCGAGGACTCCCATACGTAGGCGCTCGAGCTCAGGATACAGCCGAAAACAAACCCAGGGGCCACCTCCTTTATCTACGATTCCAAACGTCTACTTTGACGAAGATTTTCATCTTGAGAACCCACGAATATTTGATATTGTCAGCGAGAGGTCCGAGATTGTACAGCCAACCCCCGGTTCAACTGTAGAAAAGAAATTGACAAATGGCAACGCTCAAGCACCTCGTAAGGCTCTAGCAACAAATGCTATATTGCAAGAGAAGCTCTCTTGGTATATGGATACCGTAGAGATGCACCTCATATCTTCGATTTCCACTGCGTCAACTACATTCTTCACAGCTTTAGGTTCCTTGAAAGAGCTTCACTCTGAAGCTGCGGACTCTGTCGAGCAGATCAAGACGTTAAGGAAAGAGTTGGAAGCTCTTGACCTTGAAATTGCCACCAGCGGGTTAGACATTGTACAGAAACAACGTCGTCGCGAGAACTTACAACAACTGAATGATGCTGTGAAGCAGCTAAAAGACATTGTGGACTCTGTGGCAGCGTGCGAGAACTTGGTGGAGGATGGTGATCTCCAAAACGCATTAGACAACATTGATGGCCTTGAGAATCTCATTGCGGGAAGGGGTACTACTACTCCGACTGATGGAAGCAACCGAGGTCCTCAGCTGCGCAATCTTAGAGACGCCGTAGCACTTCAAGGTGTCAATGACAGCATTTCTACCTTGCGTTTCCGCATCGGCAAGGCATTTGAAGCACGGCTTATCGAACTTCTCTTAGGAGATTTGAGACGGCACATAGATGACCTTGCAACACGAGAAGTACTATCGCGCTGGAGCAGTGCGGCAATGCGATCCCGTGGCGCCCATACTAGAGATTCTTCGGCTTTCCCGGCTTATTTGGCCAAGACCGAGAATTTACGCTCTCAGCTGATGCCTGTATTAGTTGGGTTGCATCGGTCAAAGCATATTGCCATCGCCATTGCATCGTATCGAGAGGTTGTCATGCGAGAAATCCGAAGTCTTGTTAAGCGACCACTGCCAACTTCTCATGATGACGATAACGAGTCCATGGTGTCTGCATCTACAATGAGCTCTAAGCGTCTTACTCAGCAGGAGAAGTCGAGCATTCTTGCACGTAATCTACGAGCCTTGGATGAACAAGATGCGGAAGAACTGTTTATAAAGATGTATGTTAGCGTCACGGAAACACTACGGCGACTTACTACACAGGTTAAAGTGCTGTTTGATGTTGCAAGTTCTATCGGAGAATCACCAGTTTCGAACAGCGATCGGTCACCATCTCAGTTGAAATCGCCACCTCTGAATAGCGCAAATCGCGATATCCAAGAGGATATTCACATGACAATGGACATGGCAAACCTTTTGGGTCAAGCCGTTGATACTTCCCAAGAGAAGATTGTCAAAGTACTGCGTGTGCGATCAGAGCAGAGCGCCCGGTTACCACTGGTCTGGTTCTTGAGATATTTTACACTCAACCTTTATTTCGCAAACGAATGTGAATCCATATCAGGCAGGAGTGGGACGTCTTTGAAGACCGTTGTTAACGCTCACATCAAAGACTTTATTCAGTCTCATGGGGACGCAGAGAAGCAGAAGCTCGCTCAAGCCATGGAATCCGATCAATGGAAACCGAAGGACTTTACAGAGAAAGACAATGTCTTGCTTGGTCAGATCCTTGAGTGCAGCACCAAAGACAGCCAACCATGGACGGAAGGAAGTCAAATATGGATTCCGTTTTCTGACATACAAACTAGTGAAGATATGACATCCAACGGTCGCCCTCGGGCCGAGTCTAATGGGGCGCCAAAAGAGAAAACTAGAAGCGCTATCATAGATTCGGAGCCTTTCTTGTTGCCGAACTCAGCCATTCTGTGCATGGAAGGCATGACTCATTTCCTACATCTTATTACGGGCATCCCTTCGATGGCATCCGATATTTCTGCCTCTCTTGTTGCTTATCTGCAGCTTTTCAATTCTCGATGTACCCAGCTCATTCTCGGAGCTGGCGCAACAAAATCTGCTGGTCTCAAGAACATCACAACAAGGCATCTCGCTCTTGCTTCTCAAGCACTAGCATTCATAGCCACGCTGATACCACATGTTCGAGAGTTTGTGCGACGGCACGCCGGATCTGGTCCCAATGTTAACAATGCTAATGTAGCTAACCTCATGGGCGAATTCGATAAAGTTAAGCGGCTGTTCCAGGAGCACCAAAACAATATATATGACAAACTAGTTGAAATCATGAGTGGCCGGGCTGCCCTACATGCTAAAGCCATGAAGGGAATCCAGTGGGAGCAAGAAAGTGAGCAGAAAGTTAACGCGTATATGGAAACACTTGCAAACGACACGGTGACTTTGCATCGGGTCCTTGCCAAGCACCTGCCAGAAGGTACCGCCCGATTGATTATGAACCCCGTGTTTGACAGCTACAAGAGCCAAATTGGAAATACCTTACAAGCTATCGAGGCGAAGAATGAGGTTGCCATCAAACGGTACGTCGCGCTAAGATGTTTCTTTTTGGGGGGGTTAATACTAACCTTTCCTGCCATCAGTATGGAGTCAGATGTCCTTCATCTAATCGCGCGTCTTGATCAGGTTGATGGCTTTGGGGACACTGGAGACCACCTGCTCAACATCGTAAAGTCTAAGCAGTCGAATTTAGCCGCTACTAAACCCGAAGCGAAGGATAGTGATGACAAAAAAGACCCTACAGCTGATGAGGATGCTCAACAGGCTTCTTCAAACAACAGCAACAACAGCTCCTCGAATTAAGCGTTTGCATCTATTTTTTATTTGTGCATGGTTCGGTAGCAAGGCAGGCGTTTCAGAAATAATTGTCCGGTTTTACAGCCAGCTAGAAGAAAGCTGTGTCGCACACCAATTGTTACGATAACAAGACTTTGTATAGCAACCGGCCTGTCTCGCCGCGTGTGCGGAACTTTAGTGAGACATGTCAAATAAGAAAACTTGTTGCACAAGAAATAGCATACTTCACAGATGATTGCCCAGAACAACCGGTGCTGCTTAGACGCGTTAGTAGCAGTGTCTATGGCTGCCAGGCGGACTAAAGTGCACGTGGTCGCAGTTATACGCGGACAAGGTAAGAAGGTCGGAGTTCTAAGCATCTAGAAATCCATCAAGCCTCACACAAATACCCTATCTCAAGTCGTAGCAACATATCATACCCGCGCAAAGCCTAGAGCCCTTTGAATGCTGAGGTGGATTGTTCCGAATTATGACATGTGTGACCAAACGAATGCAGCAGCATAGGCTGCAGCGATTCAGTACTCCTCGCCCAGTCAGTAGCACGACATTGTCTCTCTTTTGCAATCCCGGGTGCGTTCTTAACTGTTCATGCGCCTCTTGATTCGCGGATCCATTTAATTGATCCAACCGAGGCAGGACTGACCACATTGTAACTGCTTGTCCATTGTCAGAAGCCGGTGCACGGCAACCGGCAGCGCGGCAAAGCACGAACGAACAAGTTGGCATCAATTTCTTCGTTCATGCCTTTCCCACCGGTTCATTGCATCGGGCCGAGTAATGAACCCTACCCATCTTCCTAGCAATTTCGCCCACAGCAACATACTACTACATCCCGTTTCTTGCCTTTGGCCAGTGACTCAAAGCGCCTTGGTATACCTATTCTCCCTCTTCTTGTACGACCGACCTTATGTCGCATGATTTGCGAGATCACCCCCCTACCTGTGCACTCGCGTATCGCAATGTCTGAGACTCTACGACGCACGTGTCGGTCATTGTGTAGCCGTTTAACAACAGAGATGACAGCACGCGCTTGCTTGAAAGGCTGGCAGGCGGGTCGCGGGAATGATCATTTAATTGCTTTATCGACTGATTAATTGACTGGTTTTTTGCCTTGATTCTGCTGTGCGCCTGTTTCGCTATGAAACGCGCGCATGTCCTTCCTACGTGGCCCAGGTCGGTGCTGATGCAAACCGATAATCATGAATGCACATTTCGCCATGCCGGCGCTCCTATTTGCCTGCCTTGCCCGCCTGCTTGCCAAGATACTTTCTTCAACAGCGCAGAGTATCAGTAGACAAATGCAATGATATATATCTAGGCAACCATGTACCGGCGCACCATGTAGCAGGCAGTTCATGGAGCAAAATTGCCTACCTACCTACCACACCTACAGCCAGCGTACATACTGTATATACCTAGTATATCCAGATGCCAGGCCAAGAAGACAGTGGGGAGGGAAGAGGGGCAAACGTTTGTCGCCGGGAATGTACGAAGTAGTGCGCTGCACTACGCTGCGTGCCGTACCTAGGGTACCTTGCATCGCATCGTGGCATCCAAGAACCAAGACGGCTTAGCGGCGGATACCAGCAGGTTGGAGGGGCCGCGCGTTGACTTCGTACGTGGCGGCCGGGGCCCAGAGGGTGAATGTTCTGGTCTACGTGTAGTGTAGCGAAAGGAAAGGGTGGGTGAAAGGAAGAGAATGGATGAATGGACGTCGTATCTAACTACCATAGGTTTGTACGGATCTATGCTCAGCCACCTCGTTCGTGTGGTTCAATGTGCGGAGCTTGATCCCTTCACACAAGAGATCCCGTGGGATTGAAAAAAAACCAGGTGATTATCACATTGTTTCAATTTATGTTTTGTCTATCCCTGGAATAGAAAGTGAAGGATGCAAAATGGATGTTTTTTAAAAAGAATAAACCCGCCACACCTTCCCTTAATTTATATACAAGAATAGTAATGTAGAATTGATTCTGGCTAGTGAATGTAAGAAGGTAGAAGATGACACGGACTTATCCACCACAAAGTTCCTAGCAAGACCATGCTGATCAAGCATGGATATGGTATGGACTCCTCCCGTGACTCTCAAAATTGGAAGGAAGTTATCCAAAACTCCCTACCAGGAATGGAAAGCGACCCGCAGGCAAGCGCCGCCGTTGTGGTCCGTAAAATTGCAGTGCCGCAGAGGTTGGCTAGGAAGAAAGGATTGCGGGTATCTCATCGTAACTGTCGTTCATCGTCTTGAGCGCGCAGCGCGGTAAATGTCGTCATACGAGGCGCTATGATCCAGGCGCTGTGAAGTTGAAGGAGTACTTGCTCCTTCTTTAAAACTTGCCCAGGACGAATTTGCGGGCGACCAGCTCTACCTCAGCATCACGAGCCACTGGGGTCGTGGGAGGGTTACCAAGAGTGCAGATGAAATCCGTCTCAAGAGTAGTGACGGTTTGGATATCATCGGGGTGGTAGTAGGCCTTGGGGCAAGGGAACAGAATGCAGCCGGAAATTGAGACCTTCTCCAGAGCATTTTGCTCGCTGAGCGGATAAATTTCCTTGACACCTTCGTGGTCGTTAGGGTTCACAATGGCGGACACATCGAAGTATGTCAGACCCTGCCAACCTTGGAAGGTAAACCTTGAAAGCAGACGAGTTAGCAACGGCGGGCGACAATACATGAGTTAAAAAGACTTACTCAGCTAGCATGCCTGGTACGTTGGGGTTACCCTCAGATACGGAGTAGGCGTTTCCGATCCAGTAGTCAGGGATATCGACCTTGCTCTCAGAATTTCCGGGAATGACGAGAGAGTCGATCTGTTGAAGACCAGCACTGGGAGTGAAGACAATAGTGCGTTGAGTAGCATCCTGGTTAATGAAGGTGATGGAGTTAGCGCTAGCCAGAGAGGCAGCCGTAGCGGCGATAGCAGCGATCTGTTGTGAGAAACGCATGATGGATGTAAGTATATATAATGATAGTAGGCGGCGTGTGCGGTTGTATCTTGAAAGACGATGTATATCTACTGTCTTCGCGTTGAAGAAGCAAGGCTATAGCTAGATCAATAGCAAGGCCTGGTGACCAAGGAATGTATATATCACTGTCGAAGAGAATGAAAGACAGCAACGAGTAGGCAAAGGAGTGAAACCTAAATCAACTGTTATCTGGCAGATGAGGGGGCCGTGGGAAGTTGTGAAACTCAAAAGATGCGGCACAACGAGCTCTTATACGGCAGCACACGCGAAGAAAAAAACTGCCGGGGACTGGCGGGATGTGACCGTGCCTCATCGCTGGTGCCAACACTTTTCTTTCACCCCAGATGCAGGTACACCTGTACCTGACAACGACCACGAGTGGAAATAGCCCTCCCTACATAGTAGATAGGTACACGTCGCTAGGTAGGCCTTGTGGGTGTACGCCATGGAAAAGTAAGCGAAATACCTAGCCCAAATCCATTGGTCGTCCCACGTTCGAGAAGGCCGTCAGCTCCCCCTTAGCCCGGAAACTAACAATAGCACAATAGCACAGCTGTATAGAGCGACCCATAGGGTGAGACCATGGGTCTTGATCTCGCCTTCTCAACTCATTTTACTGCATGTAAGTATGCAGATAGTGGCCCTACAGTTGAATTGTGGGCTAATAAAGTTGTGTAAATCATTTGAATATACAATGTCCCTCTTTAGTGTTGCTACTCAGTGACGGAATCACAATGAGGACAGGTCTGTAAGTGGGACTGAGTTGTGATTTTGGGAACAGTGGGGTGTGTGTCTATCACACAGCTGGCCGGGGTAGGACTAGTAAAAGGCGAGAACAAGAATTTTTTGAAGAGAGGGAGAGAAAGAGAAAGAGAGAGAGAAAAAAACATGCGCAAGTTCGCAATCCAGCTGCGCTGTGGCTTCACAGAGGTCTGGTGTCCGATTGGTCCATAGTGCGGGTATCTGGCCCTGTGCCTGGCTGTGCCTGGTTCCTGAATCCGCGCGTCAGCATCCCAGACACCCCAGCGAGGTTCCAACCAAAAGGATTGGGTAGCGCACTTTGTCTAGACCTCTGTGCCTTGCAGATGCGCGTTGCCACCGGCTTCAGAGGTTGGCTAAAATGCTTGACCGGTCAAACTCGCCAATGCCCTATCACATACTACTTATGTAGATGCACTACGTGCCGCTTTCTGAGTAGGTCGTTAGCAATACAAATGCTTAGCCGAGCGTCCAGATATTTCTCTTCTAATTCCACAATCCTCAGTGAGTTGTCAGTTCCCAGAAGCAAACACACAGCCAGCAATTGGTGCCCCGCTCTCTGTCTTGGTGTGCGACGCATTGAGGCCGTTCAAAGCCAACCGGCCTTCTCGGGGCAAGCTCCACTATATCGGTAATAGTGCACACTAGTTTAGAGGTGTGGGAAACGACAAGGAAGGTCGAGAAGGTCTGTTCCCGTTGTTCTTGCGACTACAGTTATTCCCTAAGTAATGGATGACTGAATCATGTCGAGCTTCTTGCGGGCCACTCCATTAAGATCCCTGCAAGAGTGCGGAGACCGATCGGAGGCCATCGGGCATGCAAAGGCTCTGCAGGTCCAGACATCTGGAATCTTGAGATCATTGAATAATGGCTCTCCAATCATCGCGGCGCACAAAATGGAAACTACTGGCCCGTTAATGGCCCGTCAAACACCCTGGACACACAGATTTTCTCTAGATGCTGGAGGGTGGGGAGCTTGCTGGATAGTGGTTGGCTGACGGATGGCATACATATGGTAGTATGCATCTACTGATCCAGAGTCAGGCAAGTTCATCGGCTAATTCATCGGTATGTAGGTTGTGTTCTCAAGCCGTGGGGTGAGGCTTAAGTTCCTCGAGCACTATTGGCAGACACCAGGTCTGAGGCAAATTTCGGATGGGGATGCGAAATTTTTTTAGGTTCTTTTTGTCCTTGTTGCTCTTTCTTGTCCCTTCCTTTTTCAAGGCTTATCGTTCCCTCTCAATGTTTGATGTACGGGTTGGGGCGATTTGCCGAGAATTCGACGCAGCTGATAGCTGTAACTCTCTGCTCTTCAATCGGTCTTATAATACCCAATTAGCAATTGGCAGCCCGTGTGTTGCCTTGTATCAGATCGGTCAAAGAGCCGGCCTTGTAGTTCATGAAATGAGAGTCTTCTCCGATCCCAATGATAGCACATAAGTCCCATCACCATCAACCCTCCTCGCACTTATTACATCCTAAACTGAGCAGCAACACGCTATGCAATGAATGCATTGCCTAGGCATGGAACATTTCTCATCCTAGTTGGCTCAAGCATGATATTCTGGGTTGTTCGTGATTGTGGCTGCTGACATCGCCGTAGTGCCGTCTTTAGAAAAGTGCCATAGTGCGAAGTACAGAAGATGAGACACCGGTATCGAAGAGAGATCAGGCAGCCTCGTCATAACGAGTTTGAGCACGCTAACGACCGAGGCTATGGTGGAAACTAGATCGTTCCAATGGCAAAGAAGAGGAGGCCAGTCGTCTTAGTCTTCCAAGCATCGAACGGTGCACAGCTAAATCTAGTTTAGGCGAAGACCACTCATGGGTTATATGTTCAGCTCGAGCCATAATAGGTGGAGGCGGCCGAACACACTTCGTTCTAAGAGTAATTTAGTGGCTTATGACAGACGGCTGCAAGCGAATCTTGTGGTAGGCAGTTAGTAACAACTAGTTTACCTCTTCTAGTTAGAACGGAGCGAAGAGACATCGCATGTTATGACCGACAAAAATAACAGACCGGATAAGTGAAAGGTAATCTAGTTGTGAAAATTGCTACGCATATGAGAATGGTAGATGAGCCCTGGGCTATATCACGACCGTGGTGGGTGAGCTGACATGCAAGATGGAGGACCAGCATCAATCATGGACGGTTGTGAACGTCTAACGCATACCGAGTATGAAGTAGCCCATTATAAGAAACGATCTGGAGAGGTCGAACTCAGTGCCACAGGTTCTAGGATTTGATTTTGGGGGTAGAGATCCGTTTGTTGATGAGGATTGTCATCAAGCAGTCTAACAGCTTTATAACAGCTCTAGTCAAGGCCATACACAAATGATGAGCCGAATCCTCATCAAAAACCGGCTAAGCGTCAGAAAAGTCTCGAGGTAACAGTAACTGATCTGGCCCCAAGTGAATGTAGATGTAGTAAAATCGCTTGCTCGCGTCAGATATGGACAATAGCATAAGTCCGTAGCGGATACGAAGAGGCTGAGGGACGGTAGGTAATTATTTTAGATACGGAATTGTACAGTCATTGGATTTCACACTCGGTCAGCTTGGAGTAGCCCTTAAAGAGTAGGACTTCAAAACGAGCATGGGGCTGATCGGTTGGTGATTGATTGATTGATTGAAGGATGACCTTGAGAGGTGTTTGACACATTCAGATGTAACAATCCATCAGCATACCTACTTAGGTACCTAATGTGGGTTAGATAGATTTGATGCATAATTACGTATTGCTAGATACTTGCCTAACCTAGGTAGATGATAGGTACCTTGGTTGGTACTACCTGTCTAGGTAGGTACATATGTATGCATGTAGGTAGATATTCCCGATCATGCAGGCGTTAGCGAAGTATTGGCTTATCAGGGATTAGGGCAAAGCACCTCGAAGCCTTCAGGACAACATCCTTATAACCGTCACTCAAGCAGTAGGTACATTCCAGTTACGTGGTACCTAATATCAACACTGCGAAAGGCTGACGCCGCTCGTAGGATTCTTGTACTCCAAATACTTGTTCAGATACCATAATACGGCCGATAACCATGAATAAACGGCCGTGAATAGTTCATTGACGATAGGCCGAGTGCTGCCGACTGCGCACTGTAAGTAAGGCTTTTGGGAAAAATCAGCAATCGGCCCACGTTGAAGCAAACCCCACTCCGGCTAACAGATATCTACATACATATGTAATACTACGTATAGTGTCCGAGATATGGCGCCTTGATTATGTAGGCAGAGAATGTAAGCATCATCGGTCCCGATGCCCACATCAACCCACCAGCTCCGCCCGCAGAGTTGATTACGATTGTTCTCGGGTCTTACTCCTCCCGTTGGTGCTCAATGTCAAGGACGATTCACCAGCATAACGGCTCAGCCAGCTGACACCTATATACGGCCAGCTTACTTCACAATTGCCTACTACATCAGACCTACATGCACAGTCGTGTAGGTATTTAGGTATTCAGGTGTTAAGGTATATTATGTTAACCAGTGAGTGGGTGCATTCAGCATCGGGCGAGTGGCTATCCAAGTACTTACATGCGTACTTAGTCTGTCCAGAGTCTGTCCATCCTGATGGAGGTTGGCCGGCTTTGTCGGACGGCCCATCGTTCAGTGGATGGATTCAATGACCCATCCAATGACGTACGTAGAGGAACGGAGCGGCCACGGCGCCAACTGCATCGTCGAGGCCAAGCCAAGACATTGTCGGGGCAACACGAGGTTCACAACTCGGCACTCTCTTGTGGCAGCGTTGTATTTGACGCCCAATACGGCAAGGACCATTTTGCACTCAGATACAGCGGCGCCGAACCCGCCTCTCGTCAGCTCTCGCCCTACACTAGACTCTGGCTAGGCCAAATGTCGGAAGTCGATAGCATAATATGACGTATCCATTGAACTCGCCTTTCGGCCTTTGTCCGTGTCGGAAACGCCAGCGAAGCCATGGTTTAAGCCCGTCACAACACCCAACGACACCAAACGATGCCTTCCCCGCAACATCACCACCAAGCTTCGACATAGTGTAGTCTAATTTGAGTAATATGTACAGCTCTGGTTAGTCCAGCCCAGCCCAGCCCAACCTCCCAACGCAGCGGATACGGCTCGGTAGGTACCGTGTATGTAGGCTGTGACCTCGTATTACCATGCAGCTATGCTTATGGGTCTGCTATGGCGACCATTCCTTATCAGCCGTCCAGCTCACAGACGAACCTACCTCGCCTACCTTAAGTGACTGGGAGGCCATGCTCCGCTCTCGATCTCCCAGGATGGAATGGTTGACGGTGGCGTGAATACATTGACATGCATGCGTTGGCCGGGGTGTGGCCGGGGTGGTAAAGTGACATTTGAAAGATCGTCACGTACTCCGATGCTACCTCAAGGCTAGCAATGCTTTTCGACTGGTAGTGGCTTTACCTACCAGTCTATGTAGGTACGTTAGTACGGTCGTATCCTTAGTTTAGGACCGATTTTTTTGTTAAAAAAAAACAACGACCAGGGGTAGCCAGAGATCTTCTGGCAGCATCCACCAAAGAGTCAGCCCCTCAAAAAATGGTATATAGGTTGCCAGGTAAGACGCCGTGTTTACTCGTATGATTCCTCTCATCTCATCTAATATATAATCGCTCCTCACAGTCGCTATCCAACTCACTCGTTGTAGTTTATCGACGTTGCAATCGTTTAGCACAACTCGACCACTCGCTTCAGCCTCTCTCTTGTAGAGCATAACCGCCTAACACTCTTAATACCAGTCGCCACTACAAGTCTGTCACAATGAAGTTCACTCAAACATTGGCACCCGCCGCCGCCTTGTTCGGGGCTGTCAACGCTGGAGGATACCCGGTCTACCCTGTGGAAACTCCTTCCTACCCGGTGGAAACGCCTTCGTATCCTGCTGAGACTCCTTCTTACCCCGTGGAGACTCCCACTTCATATCCTACGGAGACTCCTTCTTATCCCGTGGAGACTCCTACTTCGTACCCTACGGAGACCCCCTCATACCCGGTTGAGACTCCGTCGTATCCAGTTGAGACTCCCACGTATCCCACGGAAACACCGTCGTACCCCGTGGAAACTCCTACCTACCCTACGGAGACGCCATCTTATCCAGTTGAGACCCCTACTTATCCTACGGAAACACCTTCATATCCTGTAGAGACTCCTTCATACCCTGTTGAAACTCCTACTTACCCAACGGAAACCCCTTCATACCCCGTTGAGACTCCCACTTACCCAACGGAAACTCCTTCATATCCCGTTGAGACTCCTACCTACCCTACCTACAGTCCTACTAGCTACCCTACTTATACGCCTTCTTACCCTGTGGAAACTCCTTCTTACCCCGTGGAGACTCCTTCTTATCCTGTGGAAACACCTTCGTATCCCGTGGAAACTCCTACCTACCCTACAGAGACGCCATCTTATCCAGTTGAGACCCCTACTTATCCTACGGAAACACCTTCATATCCTGTAGAGACTCCTTCATACCCCGTTGAGACTCCTACCTACCCTACCTACACCCCTAGCAGCTATCCTACTTATAGCTACCCTACTTATACGCCTTCTTACCCCGTCGAGACTCCCACTTACCCTACGGAGACTCCTTCGTACCCCGTTGAGACTCCTACTTACCCTACGGAGACACCTTCATACCCTGTTGAGACTCCTACCTACCCTACGGAGACTCCTTCGTATCCCGTTGAGACTCCTACCTACCCAACCGAGACGCCTACTTATCCTGTCTCTACGCCAACATACCCTGGTAGCTCAACCTTCGTTACTTCGTCTACGGTTTCCAACCCTCCCGCAACCTCCACCAGCCCCGTGGTTGTTCCCACCGGTGCGGCTGCTAAGGCTGGTCCAGTCGGTGCCCTGATCGTTGCTGGTATCGCTGCCTTGGCCATCTAAGAGGACATAGAAATTTGAACCTCGAAATTGTTGTCTATATCGAGATGGCTTATGCCCAAAGCACTGTTAATAGATGGGTATTTGGGCGAGACGGGGGTTTAGACTTAATGGGAAGAGGGACGTTTCTATTCGCTCATTCAATCTCGAGGGTTTCCGAATCAAGGACAACTCTTCGGACATGAACTTTACGACAAACTTTTTGGGCAACGAAAAAATCCACGCGGGCTATTATTGGTAATGTCAGGACATGACGGACGGGTGGGCGTTTTGATTCATTGGGCCGATTGCTCCTCACGACATAATACACCTATATAACGACACTCCTTTCCCGCAGCAATGATGGGTTAACCTGCAAGCAATTGCGGGACTAATTTGATAGATGAAAATATAAATCGTTTAAAAACTCATCCTTTCTGTTTTCTGGCCGATCGATCGTCAGCGTGATGTGTGTGACTTTGTGAACTCAACCCATTGTAGTGGTGCCACCTGACCGATAATTCACATCGGCCAAGGCCAAGACGTTTAGCACCTCGTGTTTACCGAACCCCACACCTTCGACGGTGTCCCGTTGAGCATGCGCTACGAAGTATACCTATATCTATGCCCGCTACACTACTTCGTATGTAGACTAGCAGACCGCTAGTGAGGCGAGCATAAACTGCCTCTAGTAGATAGCTCTCAGAGCTTGCTTTTCTAGAAAGCCCACCTCGCCCACCTACCTGGTGTTGGGTAGGATACGTTTCTACATTGCAGGAAGCGATGACAATCCATCTCATCAGTCGCCTGAGATTGGATGATAGCTGAGGGGTTCGCCTGTCGGTAGTGTAGATCGTAAGCCTTGGCGCGTTGTGAGGGGAAGTGGTTTGCGATGATGATCTCTGCTGCATGTTGGGTACAACGTTGTGGCCAGGTAGTTCGCATCCACACAGACAAGACCGGGAAATCAAGAAGGCTGGTAGTGTCTATTGAGACACGAAAAGCCCAGCTGAGACGGACAGCGCCCGCGAACCTTGACAGCAACTATCTTACTTAGTCTATGTGAAGCCTCATAGTATCACCTGCGCTACACACCATAGTAACACCATTAGGTAGTAGGTAGTTCTAGGTGTGTACAACAAAAAAGGATGCGGAGAGTGCTGTGTTCCCAGATGAGCACCGCATATCTAAGTCACGCAGGTTCATTCGATAGAACGCCACGCCAATGTCTGTCTCGGTGAAGCTGCTCGGCTGACTTCTCACTCTCAAAGCCTACCTACCATACTATCAACCTCACCAGCCACTCACCCTCTTACAAGTATCAGGGTAACATCCGCGTCACGTCGCTAAAGCAATCCTTCTCAAATAATCCACGGCGCTCGCCCGTGCAAAATTTGGGCTTGATTGGTCCTACATTATCCACAACCTACAAGTGGCATATTGAGCCAGTCACCTTGCTCGTTCGACGTGGTCTCGACCGAGTAGCCAACGTTGCTGTTGGGTAGAGGAGTAGCATCTATTCAGCTGACTCAGATACCATAAATTACTGCGTCATCTATTATAGCATTGATTGTATACTGAGCCTGTGCCGAGTACGTGAGATCTAGGACTCGGTACTACATGCCATTTTCGACAATGCTGTATGATTGGCTTGTGATGTTTCGAGGGAAAAAAAAAAAAAAAAAAAAAAAAAAAAGTCTGCCTAGAATAAGGCCGGCGATTGCCCCTCATCGCCAGCGGCCGCACCCCACTCTCGTACCTACCTATGCCCACGGCGGTATTCGGATATCGGGAGGAAGGGTGCATGCATAAATGAATGTTCGGGAACAGTTCCAAGGCCTTCGCATCGGGACCGTCAGTGGGAGGGTAAAGTTGATAATTACTATGTACAAGAGCCGTGGCTCTGGTCATCGGTTATCAACTACCTACATTGTACACAGCAGCGGCGCTCGGGCGCTGATCACGACACCCTTCTTCGAGGTCCTGCAACCAATGATATCAGATTCCCATTCCAGATCAAGAAATGCCCGAAGACCGTCATTGAAGCTACCGATTGAGCGATATATTGATGGTGAGACATCAAGCTGGTGGTGACCTGCGATGGACAACCCGCAACATAACATTGTCTAACTTGTTCGAGAACCGCCGTGTAGGTATGCGTAATGAGTCTGAACCCAGATTTTTGTTGTATGTTGTGAGACAGGCAGCCGCAGCCGCTCATATCATCAATGCCAGCCTCTGACGCGTTTAGTCAGCACAAGTGACTGCACGTTTCATGTATATCTAAGAGGCCATATTATTCGGATGAGATGCAACCTGACACAGAAACTCCAAATCGAGTTAGCTCATGCCTGAATGTTCCTCGTTCGACAAGGGTTTGGAACGCCTGAATGAAGTCTTTATAAATGAAGCAGATTGTCCAAATCTTGATATACGAACACGCCCCAATAAAGAAGAAACAGGCTGGAGAAAAGCTGACTGCGTGAGTCTCACATGTAGATATATCACCGGTTAGTGACTTGTTATTGGTAAACGAGGATTCAGCTCTACGGCGCCTCGCCTTCCACGCGTCCCAGCAATGACAAGATTCGGTTGTACGGCATTAGTGCTAAGTACAGGGCTGTATGTGACTCGAAAATAGGATAGTAATATTCAGCGATGAGTCAATAGCCTACTACTGAATAAAGGGACGTTGAGTAATTTCCTTGGAGATTCATCAGGTTGAAAAAGGAACCCGGTGTCAGCTGATGGAAAGCAGTGGGAAATTGGAAACACTCATCTTAGTAGCATCATCTATAGCGCCGGTGTCCTTGTATACCCTCTTACAACTATGCTGCAGTTCTAAGTCTAGATTTGCTGACCTGTTAGCTTTCGGCATCCACAGATGTCATCAATATGTATTAGTTCAGCGAGGGCTGAAAGCTTCTGCAGGATTCGTAATACTCAACATTCATTTCAACGCGTTCAGCTCGATATTGATCATTGTATGCGCCTGCTATACGTAATGCAGCGCAGTGAAATTGACAGAACATTCATGTAATACACGTGGATAAGAAATATCTGTCACGGAACGAGGAATAGGAGTGTAGTTCTATAACCGTTGCGCTACCAAAAGGTAAACGGCACTCAACTATAATACCGTAACAATACCTATCGCTTAAGGGATTACTATAATCCCTATCAAGAGGGTCTCGGTGGTAGTGCACGGTCTTCTTGGACCTCTCTTCTGTGTATGTCTATTTCTAATCTTCTCAGGGTTTTTGGTTGACTAGCCTCTTGCTTCTGTTTCAGGACCTCTATTTCATCAAAATGCTAGCTTTTACGTTCGCGCTATGGCAGAGATCTGAGCAGGGGGGCATCTCATTAGACAAGTTTCTGATCGCCTAAATTATTGCAGAAATTGGGTGCTAGCTAGTTCCGTTATGCGAGAAAAGGCGTATGTGGAGAAGCATCAATTATTCAGATAGCTGTGTCAAGTAGAGAAGAGAGAGAGTACAAATTGCCTATTACTAGATACTGTTGTTATGTCTGTATGAAGAGTTTTAATTATGCTAAGGAATGCCACGAACTCAGAGTTATTGTTTTGGTTTTTGCAAGAATTCATTAACATCTATTACTCCAACTAGATGTTCACCGTTGAAACCTAACTGCGATACCAAACGCGAGTTTCTCATATTAGTTACTTAACCCCAGTGGAGAAAGCGGATGAGAGATTGATCCAGCACTACTTCACGATGTGGCCATCGTATATGGCGAAACCTGTGAGCATGGGGTTTAGAGGACGGATTAAAGGGGGGAAGGATGGTGGTGGGAATTCCCCTCGGTAAGTTGAGAGTCGTCCGCACACGGGTATACAGTAAAATTCACATTTAAGATCCTTATCGACGGCCCGGATCACAATCTCAAACGCATTTCGGGCTGGGCGAAACTAGAGAGTGCAATCGACCATCTCAATTGTCTTTGGTAGGCTCTAACGCTCTGCCCCAGTACTAACTCGCCTCTAACGTAAGAATAGACAGAAAAGTTGGAAGCATGTGAAAACAAACACGCTATTTCAGAGGCGCAGTCACTTAATGAAACTAGCGGTCTCGTCACAAGGGACGAATACATACCGACAGTTCCCGCTTACCTTCCACAAAGCCCCACGAATCCCCAACTGCATTCGTCACGAAAGAGCCAATCCTAATAGAACGTAGACTTTCCGTTAACTTCGGGGATTGGGAAAGACTGAAACTCGAAATTGCAGAGAAAAACATGACATGACAATCGCGCGGCAATGTGCCAATATACTATCCTGAGAGCACCGTACATTTCGGCTAGAGACTCAACTGTCTTCCGTTTGCACAGAATTAAGGAGCTACAGCAGTGCCTCGATGTACTCGATGCCTCCAATCCAACGTCGCTAATAAGGCGGCTCCAGTACTCCAAACCGTGTCTAAGGCATCGACTATCCTCCATTCCCGCCTTCCAGAAAGACTTACAGAAGCTAGCTGACGGTTCTTTCGGCCCAGGGTTTGGTGATATTCGAAAGAAGATGGATGCTCTTGAGGGCAACATCTATGATGCATGTGCCGACCTCCAAGAAAAGGGCCGGGTATTCGTGCAGGATGGGGAGAACATCCCAGGGCAAGATCCTCAATTAAAACTTTTATTCCAGCGGTCAATGGGATCAACTTCAGATCACCTATACTGAGTGATGTCCAAAGATAACACAGGGCAGCTGAATCTTCTACGGACGCTGGTCGCTGCGAGCGTTTCGATGTCAGCATTCGAGTCACCGTTCATGGATTTCTTTGAGAGCGAGTCTGTACTGCTAGACAAGTACCGAGATTGTCTTATGTTGAGAGGTTTGTGTCATTTCAGGTCTAATAGTCAAACTATAACTAACAACACTCAATACTAGATTGGATGGAGGGTTCAAGTTGCAAGATATCGACGCACTTGCTCACCAGAAGATAATGTCTGAGCCGCATTTCGAATGGGAAATAATTGAAAATAAATCAAAAGAGTCGGCAGCCGGATTAGCTAGAGTGCTCGCTTCGCTGCTGACTGCAGAATCCAACCCCGATGCTGATACTGAAATGGAATGCGGGTGTACTGACACACCAGGAGGAGCCGAAGATTCACTTCTTCATACTATCTATAACAAGGGCAGAAGATACTGGGCTTGGAACGGAGAATTCAGATTACAATGATCAACTAGGGCTGCATAAGTCCTTGACCAACCAACTCCTTCTCGGCTGTTGGTGGCTTGACTTGACTCTATATACAACTGGTCTGCCAACCCAGACCGCCTAGGTCTCTGGGGTCTGTTTCAAGAAGCGAAGTCTGTATAACCTCACTTTCCAATATTGCCCAATATTTCCTGCATGTCTTGAAAGATCATGAACAGCCCGCAATGGTCTTCCGTGCGGCCGAAATGCAAGGCGAACTGTATATTTAGCTGGCATAGAGGTTGCACGTGTAACACCTATCGTCCGACAGCGTCAGTATACCTGTCTGACTCTCGTCTGCTTGTAGCGGTATATTAGAACCCTCTTTATTCTGTTTTCTGTCATCCGGAACTGGAGGATGAAAGAGGTAGGGGTTATCGGGCCACTGCTGTGTTTCGCCCTTAATATGCGATATATCAGACTTTCTTCACTACTTTAACTTCTTGTTCATCTTGACCAAGTGCGTACGAGCCGAAACAAATATTAGCTTTTATTTTTTTAATACGCGAATTTGCTTGAATTAAATTTCTTTGTTAATATATTAGTTAAATTATAAATTTTTTTTATAAGTCTGTCTGTTTTGGACCGCTTAATGCCTATAACGTTGCCGTCGGCTTTGACCGAGTGCCGAGCGAAGGCCGTGGGCAGTGTTAGACATAGCGCGTCAGCGCTATAAGTGAAGCTCGCGAGGTACGAGCGAGATAAGCGATTGATAAGATACGTGGATGGGCGCAGTCACAGAACTGTATAATATTCGCGCGCTAGAGGACGAAGGGGCTCTCCAGAACAATACAACAGAAGCTCCCATATTCAAAATTTGACAGAATCCAGGCCCCCAAGCTGGGGAAGGACCACGTCAAGATACGCCAAGTCCGAGGATCCTTCTCCCGCGGGAACCTGGGATCCATCCTCCTTATATGCGAAGCCATTAGCCAGAAAGAGACCAATCAAGATCGCAACACGCATGCGCTCGCGGCTGTCGGCCGAGGCGAATCCCATGGCTTGCTCGAGGCTCCGATGGAACAGGCCGCGTAGGTATTGCTGCTTGGGATGGTAGCAAAAGCCCCTTTTCACCCTGTTGATCCCGAGCAAGGTCTCGAGACCTCCAAGGGACATCCCAAACGGGCCAATCTCCGCCTCCGGCCAGTCGCAGACTCCTGTAACCATGCCTGTCTCTGGGTCCACATGGATGTTGTTCTCCAGGAGCTCGACATGGTTGGGCACCTGCAGCCAGTCCTCTGCAAAAAGCCGCGGGAGTTGTGAGATGACGTACTCCAGAGTCTTGCGGAAGCGTATGGGCAACCCATCCTTAAGCATCGTGAGTTTCTCGAGGTACTCGCGTGATAAAACACTCGGATCTTTTCGTGGCATCTGGGCCGGTGTGTTGTGCCAGGCGGAGGCAAAAAACCTGAATCATCGGTTAGCTGTACGATCTCCTCGAGGCCAAACGCCAGTGAAGACGCACATAGACAAGCTCTGGATAGTTGTGTCAAGGAGGTGGAAGTCATCCCTATGCAGCGCATCCCGCGCGAGATACATCGAGATGCCGCCCATGTTGGTCATCCTGTACACGTGAAGGTGGCCCAGTTGGCCAAAGCCCTCATGTAGCGGCGTGAAGCCCTTGTAGGCCTGTTCGATGTAGCGGACAAAGTCCAAGTCGAAAGGGGAGTCTTTGTCACGAAACTGGACAATGCACGTCTCGGTGGCTACAGTGTAGCTACTCCCGCCCTGGACAGGCGTTGGAGTAACGACTTCGCCTGTAATTCTTCCTGCACATTCATTGCACTCCTGTTGATTGATAGGGGTGTTCCTTTCAAAGAAGCTAGATATCTGGTATCGCGCCAGACTTGCCATCTGTTGCTCCATTTGCTGATGCAAGTAGCTCTGCTCGTTAGGGCGATTGTGGTGTGGATGGTGTGCAAGCTGTAGTATAACGTGCGCTGTAAAGGAGAAGGAGACTGGAGGGAGGGAGAAACAAAACCCAAGCAGCTAAATACGACTTAGCACGGGCCTCGGCAACGCACCCCTTTTGTATTGACCAGGACTCTGTTTACATGCACAGCGATCCGGATTTGGTGCTCCTTAGCCGCGCCGGGCTGTAGAAGCAGTGATGGCGAGCGTCCAGCATAGGAGGCTAATCGCGATTGTAGATTTTCTTGATGCTATTTCCTCCTTTGGGGGAATATCGATGAGCTTGTCTAAGAGCTGAGAGATATCCAAGACGTGGGTGGTCTGAGCCTGATGATGGACGACGCTGCGCACTCCTTTTAGCCCGGAGCGCGGTACTGCGGGTGGAACAGTGTCTACTCACTTCAGTCTGCCTTGGCCGCGGTCTTCCGGTCTGAGATGCTATCGATATCAAACCTCTCTTGTGGACCGCGTGTCTCTGCTAGAAATTGAATGAGCGCGTCGTTGGGGAAGCCCAGCATTTGCTGCACTGTACGCTTTGGGGCCATGCGCGCATATTCGCGGGGTCGTGTGGTGCTTAATGTTGACTACCTACTGGGTGCATTGTGGAATGGTCCGAAATGAGTACGTTCTCACTACCCAAGTAATGGTGGTGCTAGCCCTCGACCTGGTTATTTCGCCGACATGGCTCTTATAAATCCGCAGACTTAACCACGACTCGCTTTTACTTACCGGCCTTCGGTTTTCCTTTGCGCCGTTTCTTGTCCTCTGGTATTACAACACTGTCGAGTACAAGCGAGCTGAAATCTGCATGCCAAGCAGAAGATCAGAGCGACAGCGAATGATAGCCTCGCTGTTGTTAACGGCGAAAAAGGCGGGATTGGATTGTGGTTTAAAACGGATTTCTCCATAGTTCCTGGACGGCGAGGATATCGAAGCTGAGCAGCTCGGAATCACACACTGTCGTTACTATCACGGGATCTCATGCTTTTCCAACGTTTTACTGTAGTATGTTTAATGTATAGGCTTTACGCGTGTATTATGGCTTACATTTCGCCCCTATCTTAGAGCGGACTGGAAATACATCACTGCCCCTAATCCATCAACGCCGTAGGAAGAACTACCTTATGTATTGCCTTCTAGCTTCGCTAACTTACCTTTTCATAATGATGTATCAGACTACGATCCTGAACTGTTTATTTCTCCATCTATCTCTTTCAGGGAGTTTTGTGGTCACTGTAAGCAGGTGGATCTAATTATAAGGGAATTTACGGACGATGATGTGTGGTAGTCTTATGAGTCCTATAGCAATCTAGTCACCTCACTAGAAGTAGGTACAAACCCCGGCGTTAACTTGAACTAAGATTGTTAACACAGAAGGCAGCATGTCGCAGTAACTTTTATTTATTTTTTCCCTAAGACTAAGAAAATCTACAGCCCATCGTAACTAATCTCCTCCCCAACGTACGTAGTTAACAGAGACAAGTTGAATTAAACAGCCGGTTGCCGGTGTCCGTAGCCCCCTTGCCAGTGAACTTGTTATCAGAGAGACGCAGCGCAATAAGATGGATATTGCCATCGCGCGCAAGGGTGCGGGCAAGGTCAGCTTTACCCTGAACAGATTGAGCCTGGACAACACCCGCGACAACGACGATGCGAATCTCAGAGGAGATGGCGCGGACATGTTGCACGAACTGGACTACCAACTTCCCGCTGTTCACCACCGAGTCCACCAGGATGACAGTCTGCCGTCCCTCTAAATGCTGGGCGAGCACGTCTTTGGGGTCTTTGGCGTGGATGAACATGGCTTGCGGCAAGGCATCGCTGACACCAAAGGCCATTGGCTCCCCGCCACGCATCAGCGCGACGATAGAGGTGCGCTGCTCGTCGCGAAGACGGAAACCGCTGGTCTGGTGGCCTTGGACATGGGGGATTGCGTATTCCTCCAAACCGACTACTTCCGTCAGGAACTCGGTGGCTAGGTACCACCCAATGCGGCGATGTGCTTCTCGCAAGGCAGGGCCGTTTATATTGGCGTCGCGCGTTGGCGTCATGAGGAGTTTCGCTGCATTCTTGGTTGTCGCGTGAAGAACTACGGGACTAGGCGTAGGTTGTTGCTGATGGTGGGTGAAGGGGATCAAGTTGGTGAATTCGTCGTCGTCGAGCGAGACTATTGGGAGGCTGGCAGTGTCTAGCCGGGGGCTGGCATGGCCAGGCAGTAGAACTTGGCGTGGTCGAAAACCATCGCGCTTCATGGCTTCTTGTAGAACCGCGTCCATGGTCTTACTCCTAGTAGCTTCCTCGCCGACGACCACAATGGCTTGGTCAGCGGCGACGAGCATGGGTATGTCGAGTGGGCTATCGCCAAATGCCACCACATGCATGTGATGGGTGTCTTTCAGGCGAGATACAATACCGGCCTTCACCGTGTCGTTCACCACCAAGCTGTCGGCAATACGTCCGCCACCGATAACTTTGACTGTTTGAGATAGGCCTTCCCTCTCTAGGACTTTCTCCCAGATGGCGCGCAGCCCGCATGTCACAACCACTGCGCCCACGTGGTCTTGTTTAGCCACGAGCCGCAATAGCGCGGAAAATTCGGGATGTACATGGACTGCTGATGCCGCGATGGTACAGAGGGCGTCAAAGTCGCTTTCTTCCGCATTCTCTTCGTACAGCAATGTAGCTTGGCGGAAGGCCGTGTACGAGTACCCTAGCGAACTGCCAAACAAGTCTTTGAGCGCACGCGTGTTGCGTTTATCTGGCGCCCAGAATAGCTCGCCGGTGTCTTCAGCAGCTAATGTTCGATCTGCGTCGAGCACTAGCATCATCTGGAGCGATTTATTATCAGCGCTAAGAATCTCCTCCAGTCTTCCCTCCGCGGAGGACATGTTGTACGCCTCGGTATGTAGCCTAAAGTCGTGTAGAAATGCCGATGCCTTGTATACTAGCGTTCTCTGTACGGATAGGACACCGAACAAGATGCGGTTTTCCCGACAGAGATGGCGTAGTTGGGTCTTCTCGGTATCTTGCCACTTGCGTAAGTGAGTAACGGAAGTGGCCGGACGGGCCCTCTTGGTGTCATCCCGACGACGTTGCGCAATAAGCTCTGCGGGAACGTCCAAGTAGAGGATGTGAGTATATACATCCATATCCGATGAAGTATAAACCGGCTGGCCAGCATCCTCCTCTTCTCGCCAGAACATAAAGTGTCCGGTAACGACTCCAACCTTTCCACTGCGCAGACATTGTTCTCGAATGGTGTTGATAGCACGTTGTCGGCAGATGAGCTTGTCTTGCTCCGTCATTTCACGAAAGCCGTCGAGTCCGCCAGGCACAAGAGAAGCAATTATTTCAGATCCTTCATAGAACTCGAAGTGCTCTTGTCCAAGTTCTCGCTTTAGCTGGTGCAGCAGAAATGTTTTTCCGGAACCCGGGATGCCATAAAGGCCAACAACAACCGGTGCATTGTTAGTAGCGGGCGAAACAGACTCCTTTGAGCCCGACATGATGCGTGAGGAAGGCGTGAAGCCAAGAGCGTGTTGTATAAGTGTTGTGGTGTCGGGGGGAAGGAGGGAGAGGGGTTCTGCGGGTATAACAGGGGTAGAGATCTGGGGTTAGAATTGAAGCTATTCACAACGTGACGATCTGCTAGGGGTGGAAAAATCCTTGACCAACTAAATTTTTCTTGGGCTTGGGGGCATGGCTTGATTTTATATACAACTGGTCTGCCAGCCCTGACCACCTAGGTCTTGTTGGTTTGTTTCATGAAACGAAGTCTGTATAACTTTGCTTTCATTATTGTCCTGCATGTTACCTAGCAATCGGAGTGTGTGTCAAACTACATGTTAAGCTTGTATGCGTGTATTAGTGGGTGGTTATTGGCTGATATTTATGTGGCATGAGGGATGCTTGATGATGTTAATGTGGGAGGAGGGCACGCGCTGTCATAAACGTAGCGTGCTATTACCACCGATAATGGCGAAGATTGTCCGTAGCCGTCGTCTAATGAGTTTGAACGTTTGCCGGTTAGTAACACAGTAGCAGAAAGCGACCTCGTCTAGCCTGTGGTGTTTATTCGGGTTCATTACCTCCCACACCGCAAAGGGGTGGGATGCTGGGCAGAGGAAAGCAAATGCCCGGTAACACACCAACGCAGGGTGAACTTGACCAGCATATTCCCACACACAGAGGTGTAGTGCATGGCGAAGAGAGGTAACTTGCGCACGGAGAAACCATCGCACACGGCGCGGCTGATGGAGAAGGGTACATCTGCGGCTTCGCTAAGCCGACCCGAAGGTGTCACACTCAGGCGGAGACATATAGTAACCGCTAGACTACGTATTGTCTAATGGTGTCGTTATTAACATGTGTAGCAAAAGGCGAGCTTGCAGCGCAGTTTTTGGTAAGCTCCTCCCGTACCTGGCCTCGATGCCATGTTAAGGAGGATTGGCGGCATGGGCTCAAGAGCTTGCTACCAGCACAACATAGTGTTACATATGTTGTAATACACTGCCGTTCCGTGGGTGATGGAAATATGATGAGTTGTTTATGTATCGACTTTGGGAGTTTGTGTGATGGAACAGAATAGGAGTGTAGTACTAAGCCGGTACGTTATTAAAAGGTAAACGACGTTATTAGATTGAGACCCTGCCTCCCTACACTTAACTATGATACTGTGACAGTTTGAGGAAAAAGCCAGCAGGGCATACCTTATATATTACTAGCAATAGGAGTACAAGCTCTCTCGGATCGGATAGGTGTCAATATAATTTAGAACACGGCTTGGGCTTATAAGGTTATACAATGAGTGTAACTGTGTGTTTCTGTCACACGCATACAAGCTGAATATGCAGTTCGCCTTACATTTCGGCAACACCAAAGCACCGCCACCGAAAGAAGCGGATGTCCACACGCCGCCGTGCACGAGAGCATATCTGCGAGCTTTACGATATTGTATCGTGGGCTTTTCGGAAGATACAGCGCTGTTTACGGAAGACATGTTCCTGATCTTGACTTGTGACGTCGTACTCTGTTACCTTGTGTGTACCAAGAGTTTAGGGCTAGGTTAGACACAAGTTATCAGCTTCAAGATGGGACTATATATTCTTTAGGTATTTGGCAGGGGCCAAGGCCTTCAAGGGCTTCGTGATGCAGGTGTCGCCAGCTAGGGTCGACTGTGGCGGCGGGATACAGAGAATATATCATCCTGGAGGGAAACGTCAGCAGGCGGCTTTGAGCGTGGAGTCTCCATGATCACTGGGTCCAAGAACTTAGCGTCATTGGCCTCCTCCAAGATGATGGATCATAATAATGAGTGATAAGAGAGAGCGAAGACAGGAGGAGAAAGGGCAAATATTGGCGGCGACTAGGTGCGATCCCATACTTTTCCCACAATGATCCAGGTACTGAGTTCCTAATATTGCGTTAAGGCACTTTAGCAACGCGCTATTATTCACCAGCCCCAGAACTTAATCTCGCCACCAAGGGCCAGGATCAACTTGCATCGAATCAAACAATATTAATACCTTGTCTTCTACACAAGGGAACCCGAGGTCCGCAGTACTGTCGCCCTGACTTCGTATACTGGAAATATTGCAAATCGGAGTGTTGGGACTAGGGTGCCTTGCACATTGTGTTTGTTTGTTTGTCACCCAACTCCCTTGAGATCGTTGACAGCCGCATTTGTATTTGCCTCTCAAGTACATGTTTCTCAACATGGGATGAGATCTGATGGCCTTTCCTTGTTCTATGCACTAGATACATTCTAAGTGACTACAGGCTACATCTTTTTCATCTCTCTTAGCTGCCAACGACTGGTGTCTATTGTTACTTGGCATGTCAAACTCTCAGGTGGACCAGCACTCTCTATCACTATAATACTACTAAATGATGAGGCCCTGTTTTTAAGGTGCGATCAATGGAGGACGATTGTTTATCATAATTCACCCCTAGCCTCCCTAAATGATGAGCCTTTGTATCATGGCAGCGCCAAATGTCCAAAATAGCATCAACTATATCATACCAGCAGGTCCGGTTCAGTCCCTTGTTTTCCACTTATTGGAAAATATTTTTCTTTTGCGAATGAGATTTATCTTACAAGCAACACTACTTCACGTCTTCGAGTCCTTTTCCCTAAATTCAGTATCGCTGGCAGTGTAGTTAGAAAGAACATTACTCCCTAAGGCTTCAGCTTCTTTACTCTCTGCTCACGTTAGATTCACACCAACTCAATGAACTTCAATATGCCTGACAATTACATTGACAAAATAAGGGACAAGCCTGCCGCACTTCCCCCTCTCGGTATTGTCCCCAGCTTCGATAACCCACCAAATAATAATCCATTAGCAATTGCAATTATTTCTGCGAGCTTTGTCATAACAACGTCCGCATTCTTTATAAGAGTCTATTCTAAAGCCTTTTGCACAAAAAAGGTGTATCTTGCAGACTGTTAGTGTCTAACCGGCTTGTCCCAACTTACTTTGCGTCTATACTAATGATCGTCTATCTAGGTCTTGGTATTTTGTCATTTGTACTCAGACCCCGTCACCTTTTACTTTCGGGCTTGGTCACTGACAACGCCAGCCCTTTTTCGTTGCCGGAATTTGGATCTTGATCACAGTCCTACACGGCCCCGGATTCTTCGTCCACCAGTGGGACCTTCGCATCAGAGGTTTAGAAGAGTTTCTTCACGTCAGTGCTACTTGATAACCTCGTTGTTGGCCCCCGATGACTCACTAGAAATAGTCATATGTCCTTTCGACGACACTCTTTTGCGTTACACTTGCTCTAGCAAAGGCAGCGATTTTACTAGAATGGACTCATGTATTCGTCGTCAGGTCAAACCGAAGCGGGTTCTATTGGACCTGCTATAGTATGATCGCAATCAACACGTCTTTATATATCGCTACGATCGTTACGATCACGTACGCTTGTACACCACGCGAACGAATCTGGCGCAGGTATCTTCCTGGAACATGCATCAATTTTGACGCCTTCAATATTTTCATCACAACATTCCATTTGATGTCGGATATTCTTATGCTCCTTTTACCCCAGCGAATTATCTGGAAATTGAGACTCGCCACAAGACAGAAAATTGGTATCTCAGTGGTATTCTCTGGGGGTGCAATGTACGTCCTGTTCACATCCACTCATTTCACATCGACCTATGAGACTAACTCTTGAACTACGGTAGCGCTTGTATTTGGGCAGCTGGGCGTGTGGCGTCCGCTGTCCACCTCACTATGTCCCAAGACAGCTCATTCGCATATAGTCAATATATGTTAGTTATACCTCTAGCGACCTCTCATTGTTTTGTCTTTCTTCGTTCTTCATGCGTGTCGATGGAAGGGAATAGAGGTTCCCTTTGAGTTCATATCCTATTCGTATAATGTTTTGCCTCTAGCACACTCGGGACTCTTCTCTAGAAGGTGATTACTAACTACGGGGATTTGGATAGTGTGTGGGGTCTAGCAGAAGTCTCAACGGCGCAAATTGTATTTTGCGTTCCTACGTTCCCGGTCATATTTCGGGACGCAACTTCAATACGCGGACTCTGTCGCTCTATACGATCGAAGACGACGAATAATACTGCTTCCCTACAACGCCTCGGGTCAAACAGTACGGCGTCACATATATCACGCACAGCGGACCATGTAGCTGCATCTGATACCGGGACTACAGTAGCGAAAGGTGGCGCTGAAGATAGATGCTTTGCACATCCTGAACCATCAAGGTTGCAAGGTAGACGAGCCTTCGATCAGTATCGCACTAATTCCGAATTATACCTTGGCGGGATACTCATCACCACGGAGATTGACATTATGACACATGAAAGAACGAACTCATCTCAAGACGTCTAGGACAGAAAGTTATGAAAACTCCCGTGTAGATAAATACATATACGTTACTAGTATCTATCATTTGTCTGTTTTGGCAAATATTGTGAGGCTATCTATATCATACCTGATATGCAAGATACATTGACGGCAGTGCCGGAGCTTCCTCAACAGAACTTGTAACATAATCACATCCTCATTCTAAGATATATAGAGCGCATTACTGATTATGTCACAAAATTGAATACCTGTCACGGGAAACAGCCGGGACCCAATGAGTTCCATAGCGCAGAAAATGAGGGTGTCATAGAATCTACGACTTTTCGCTATTGCTAAGTACCTACACGCGGCGGATATCGATAGATATATCGAGAATGTAGAATAAAAAATCTGCTGACTCGATATAATAAGTCTCCCTTGCTGTCAACCTAACTACCTACAAAAGCTCTGAATTAGGCGCAAAGAGGGGCATGCAATGTTCCCATAGATCGATCTTCTCGCTGTTTGAAAGCTGACTCTTAGGTCAAAGTGTTACGCTAATTTGTGAGATGTTAAATGCTCTTGTCATTTAGGCCAAGTACTGTAGAGAGGATAAAGGCGAAATCCTTTCCTTGTTAAGCGCTTGTAAGGCGGCGAGCCATGAGCCCGCGTGGCGGCAAAGCCGAGGATAGGAAACAGATAAAACGCATGGCGCAATCGACCTGGGATCACAGAGTTAGAATATATGAGTTGAGGACGGGTAATATGACGCAATCTGTCACCGAGCAGGCGAACTAATATACCATAAGCTTGTGAATCTTGTCTCAGTCCTTTTCTATGTTTGTATATCAAAGCTCTTCCAGAGATGCGTGCCTCTCCCAGGCGATGTAGGCGGCACAAGGTTCTTGTTGGTATGGCATATATAGGCGTCATGCTCCACATGCTACAACTCGCAACGGTGTCCTTCCCCACGTTTTGTTAGCCGCCTCTTTGGCAGTCTCGATCTTAGCGAAACAGGGTCTAGCTTCCTATTCTGATGAGACCCAAAAGAGCTGCTGCAATAAGTTCAAGGGGGCCCAGAGACTGGCCGGTTAAATGTCTGAAAGTTACTCTACCCTTATACAAAGTAGCTTCTAGGCTAGTAATAAAATCGGTGACAAGATTGCTCGCGAGCTATGTACTGACGGTAATCGGAAATTGGTGGTATGGTACGTTGATTGCCAAAACCATGTGACCAGCTCACGTTGGGTAGGTTCGGGTAGAACGAAGGGTTCATGAGAGTCAAAGAAGTCTCATTGCAGAGCGCAGGGGCTAAGGGTATTGTCACAAGTTGAATAATGAACGTTGAAAATGAACTACTGATACCAGTTTGTTGATAAGATATAATACATGAAGATATCACGGAGATGCTCGCTCCACTATGTAAAGCCGATGTGAAAATATACATACAAGAATTGAAAACGACATGCTTTATAAACTCCGGAACCTAGTCCACCTGGGTTTCTGGACAAATGCTTAAATCCTATGATGTCCAAACTCCTCTGCCAGATCAGAAAGCCTGCAAGATAATGCGCTCTCCCGAGTCCAGGGCGATCATGGCTGGACTGGCTTACAGGGGCTTACTCGCCCGTCTGCGTCTCTGCGCACCACAATGGGGCTTTGGTTTGGGGGTTTGAGAAGGTCGCGGTGTGAAATCCGGGATAGGCTCAAGCGATGCGGACGACGAGGATGACGGCGTGGGAATTACAGTCACCGTGACCGGCACTGAGCTTGTCACCGTGATGCGAGTCGTTCCCTCCACTTTCGATGATGACGATGGCGCATCTTGCGGTACAACTTCCGCGTTAATTGCGGCTGGGATTCGGCCCGGTGCTGGGTAATCGTCGCTTTTCAGGTCATATGCCGGCGGGCCGGTAAAATCTTCCGCGGAACAGTGTGCATCAATATCTTTACATTTGTCTCCCCATACCTTACAATTGCGCCCACCAGATGGCATTTGCTGAGCCCAGCATGCGTCTGCCTGGCTCCAGCAGTCCTTGACGGCGTTCCAGCAACCGGTTAGACTGTTTTTGTATGAGGGGACTTCGACGCCACACCAATTCGCGTTAAGGAGGAGACAGGAGTCGGGGATATTGCCCTCGGCTTGGCGTATCACTTTGCCACTCGACGCTTTTAAGATGGTAGCAGGCACATAGGGTTCCGGCCCCATCATGGGGTATGGCTTCTTAGGATCCGAATATTCTTCATCAGAGTAGATGTTATACATCACCGAGGGGTCGTCTTTTTTCAAGTACCCTGGTATGCTAACGCTCTTCTCAGATGGAATATTTAGATCCCCAGTTACAGAACTCTCGACGAATACCTGAGCGCAACCAATGTAAAACTGGGGCTCGACTTCTGGCGTCACGTTATGCATGGCGACGACTTCGGGCCGGAACAGGTAGTTCCCAGCTGGTAACGCGGTAGGGATCTGTATCGAGATCAACCCATTGGCATCAATGATTTTCTCTGTCGCCCACTTATCGGCTTTCATGTCATAACCTTCGCCCCAAAGTTTAAACCAGCCAGGCCCCGTGGCATCTTCGCCAGGACTTGATAGCCGTTTAGCGTATACTGCGGCAGGCCCCTTACTGTCGTAACTCGTGTTAGCCGTCACTTCACTAAGTATAATCTGAAAAAAGTGCGAGAATGCCTCCCAGACCCAAGTCCAACCTGGAGAGGAACATCTGCACTTCTGAGGTGGCCTAGATGGACCTCAAATCATATTGAACATCACTTACTGGCTTTCGTCAATAAAGCCTTTACCAGCTCTGGCAGGGTTCAGTCGATACTCGAAGGTCAGCTTGGCCCCAGCAGGTGCTGGGCAAGTGTAGTTCACTGGAGTAGTGCCGCTGAAGCCACAGGTCATGTCCTTGCTTGACAAATCGACGACGGGTGAGTTCCCGTGCGCTAGATCGGTATTCTGGCGAACACATGTTCCGTCACCTTGCCCTTGCTTGACATCATTGATGTAAAGGCTTGTGAATAGAGTGTGCGCATCGGCCACCACGAATAAAGAGGTCGCTAAGCCGAGAGTGGAAATCAATCTCATCTTGGAATGATGGTAGGCAAGGGAACAGGTTGCGGCAAGTGTTCCGATCGATCAAGGACGGCTCCCAAAGAAACGAGAATGGGCGGTTTAGTCGTTCAACGAATAAAAGTGAAGGTAACAGCTCAACCTGAAGCCTAGAAAAGAATGTGCGGAAATGACAGTAATGCCCTGCTACAGCGGGCAAAATCTTCAATAAATGCGAGAAAGGAACGAAATGCTCATTATAGAGCAGATAACTAGGATAGAGATGAAAGAGACGGCTTGAACAGGCCAAGGCTGAAGGGCCGTGGGAGTAGGCCAGCAAGTTTTTAAGTCATATTTGCGACGCCCTATCAAAGGACTCATGGGTGAATTAGATGCGACTCTAAGAAACCTTGGCAGGAGTTCTTTGAACGCGCCGCCAATACAGCTGGCGCATCCTTGAATGCGGGCGTTTATACTATAGTCTCTCCTTCATCTTACATAGTAAACGCTTGTGTGGGCAATTCAAGGCGACGAGAGAACAATAAGCGCCGGGGCAATGTTTCAAACTGGCTGCCAAGACACCAATCTCCCCGCATTTTGTTTCGAAACCTGCACCGACGATAAGTACGGGACTGCGGCTGAGGCCTGGGGTTGATCTTCACTCCATCCAGGAGGTAGTCTAGACAAACAGGTAAATTACAGAGTCGACGAAGTTCTCATCTCTCGCCTTTCTCTTCCTGTTTAATCGACTGATTGCCCACCAACCGTCAAGCCGAGCCGAGGGAACCAAAGTTTAACAGTAGTGACCGCGAAAGCTATGATGGTCCACTAGCCCAGGGAACGTAAGGTCGACGCTTCGATCACCGGGTCTTCACACTCCTGCGTTGCTGTATGGCATGTAGACAAACCTTCATCTATCACAGTCAATTAAGATATGCCCGACATTCGCCCTCTCGACGTAGCGTCGCCACCCGTAGACTCCATTCTGGACCGAACTTCTCGAATAAGTGCTTTGGCCTCCTCGACCTCAACGCCATCTTGACATAATTCATTCGCCAGGCGACCCGCAGTCACGTAATCTTCTGTTCTCATAGCGAAACGTGCAAGCCACATCCTCGCCTTACTAGTGGCGGCTGTGACTCCTGTGCCCTCGGTGCCTGTCCCACGCCCAGCTTCATCTCCATCGTCATCAGAACCCCCTCCAGGCGAATCATGGTGTATAGCGATGCTCTCAGCTTGGCTCTCACCTGCCAGGCCAACTTCCTGTGCAACACACATCTCCATGTATGCCTTGGCGTCCTCAACTTCGCCCAGTGTATCGTACATGCCAGCGATTTGTAGCAGTATTTCTGGATCCCCGCGCATGGTATCGGAAGTGCTCTCAAAGCTACTCCCTGCCTCATAGAAACTATCAGCCAGCAGAGCACGTTTAAGGGCCTTGATACCATCATGATTTCTTCCCATGCGCTGAAGACAAGAACCGACTGCTAGCCACATCTTGCCGTCCCAGGGTCTTAGTCCCGCTGCTTTCTTGTAGTACCAGAGGGCATAAGCATGCATCTCCAACATCTCATATGTCTGGCCTAATCCATACCAGGCGCGGTAATCTCTACGGTTAACATCTACCGCTCGCCTATACGACTCAATAGCTGCATGAGTATTTTTCAACTCCACATACTCATGGCCCATGAGGGTCCAAGCGGAGAGACAAGCGCGATCTAATGTTAGCGCTCGTCTGAAGTATTGAACTGCCTTTTCGTGGAGAGACAGGAGTGAGTAGTAGTTTCCAATAACCACGCAGGACTCGGGGCGGAATTTATCGACATTGCTACAAAGATGTGCCAAGAACGCTAACTTGGGTCTCGCGTTCATAACGTAAAGAATATTGGAGTAATGGTCGAGTGAATCAAGCCGGTAAGGGTGAAGCGAGAGGAGATGGCTAAAGCTCTGCTCCGCAGCCACCAAGTCTTTTGCATGGTACAAGAGGAGAGCATTGCATGTCATTAAAAACGAAGAGCACGGGAAGATGTTGAGAAGTTGGTCGAGAGAGTTGGCAAGATTAGCATCGTGCTGGTAAAGCTCGAGGGATGTATGTATATGAAACATGAACGATACAATATTCTGCGGTAAACGAGCCATCACCCGGTTCAGCTAATAAGGATTAGTAGCAGTTCCAGGCGATCAAGTTACAACTCACATCGTCAACCCGCGTTATAAGAGAGGTCATCTCTAACCAGCAGCCCCAGTTCATGGGAAATAGATGCACACTTCGGACGAGATAATAGAGGGCTGACTCATCGTTCTTTTCCTTAGCAAGAACCATCCCGTAACTGCAATATAAGTTAGTGAGTAGATTAGCACATGATATCAAAACACATACAGGTACTCCAGCCAACCCTGACCTTCTGTCTCTTGGCCGTCTTCTGTCTTGCGATTTTCGAACCACGTGTCAAGCACTCGACTGACAGTGGTCAGTTGCTTATTTTTACAAGTACCGAGATCCTGGGGGCCCATGACCATTTCGGCGTCTTCGTCCTTTCGCTTCTCGCCAGATAGAAACTTGGCGTAGAGGGAAAGGAACAAACTGCGTTGGCTGATTTTTGGAATGGCCTGGCCATTTTTTTGCTTAGTAGTACTGGTGGTAGCCTTACCCTTTCCCTTGCCCTTGCCCTTTGGGGTGGCGTTCGTCTCCTTTGGGGAGATGATGCTGGTCAAAGTGGTCTCAGGTAAGAAGACAGCGGCACAGCGATCGTATTCTCGACAATCGAATAAAGACTTGGCGAGTAGATACTTGCTAAACTCATTTGCTTCTAGGATAGCCTCCTCTGGGTCTACATTCGGGGCCACCACAGTCGAAGCGTACGCACTCGAGACATCGGAGAGCCGCGAGTCATCAAGAGACGGTTCTGCTTCGGGGATGGCATTGAGGAGTTCGGCAGCCCTAAGTAGGATCACTAGCGATCAGCCCAGCTATCCGCTATATAACGACGTTTGTTAGGAAAATGCGGCGTACCATTTCGACGACTGGTAAAGGCATCTTTCGGAGCACTTGACTACGGCCTCTTGCAGCGCACTTCGTAACTGGGATTTCTCCCGGTCATTCAAGGACATCGTACCGCGCTACGACATGGAGGGATCGAACCGAGGCGAGGCGAGGCGAGGCGAGAAGGCCCAAGAGCTGTGTGGATCAACAGTCGCACCTAGCTATGGCGACTGTTTGTTGATTTTCTTGGACACGGGCTTGACTCAATCACGAAACACCTGATAAACGAGACGCAGTTTACTGAAGTATTGTAGTGCGCCACGACATGGCTTTGCTTAGGGCTACTATATGGCAAGGGCGCTGGTACTCATGTCAAAGCCGTAGAGTTGCTACTATCGCGGGAGCTGGAGGCTAGCTAGGTATGACTTCCCCCACGCGTAGCTACAGTACCCCGTACCTTCGGGGCAGGGGGGGCCGACATTCGAAAAACAACACAACCAGCATAACAACCCACAATCGATAAGCATTCCGCCCGACGATAACGATAAAGATAAAGCTGGCGATAGCATTATCGACAATGTCACTCTCTTGCGGACAGATAGATATTTAATAGTAAGAGCACTAGGCACAAGGCGCGTGTAACAATTGCGTACTGTAAGGAGGTGATAATGGTCGTCATCAGCTCATCGCGAGCATTGACTGGTATTTGAGAATCTAAAACGAAGGACCAAGATATGAAATAGCATGACAAGAATAGTGCTTGTTTGGAGACGGCATCTAACGGAGATTTCCTACTCTGGCCCTGGCCGGCAGGATTGTTAGGGTCTGTTAGGGGATCGGAACAGTCAGCTGCCGTCAGCTTCCAGTGAGTGTTCTTTTCCCCTCCCCCACTAAGACTTACTTACCGTAGGTAGCACCTGACACTATCCACCTCACCCCCTCCGACCCTACCCCTCCGATCCCTTACATACCTACTGTAGTACATGTATTTTGCTTTTTTTTAATGGTTCCTACATACCTAAGTATGCTGCAATAGCTGAGCTGCTTGATACCTTAGCCAGCAGGCCTTGAACGCTATACCACGAGGTCCATCACCGCCTTAGGGAGGTATATTTCTAGGTATATATACCTACCTTAGGTATGTACAAAAAGCACGGCAGACAGGGATTGCAGATGCAGATGAGGATGAGAGAGACGAACCACCAAGTTATGAGGTACATATAGTACTTACCTAAGGTATCTAAGTAAGGTACCCGAAAACCGGCGCTACCACATTGGGAATCGGATCTTCCAGCGAATAGCATGATCTACTATGTAGGGGGGGGCATGCAATGATAGGTAAGTAAAGGCTCGGTACCTAGATGTAGGTACTTAAGCAGGTAGCAGGTCCCTTAATGTAGATTGTGGGCACCCCCTCATAAGGGCATACATGCATTCACATACCTAATCGTATTCGTTTTCTCTCCGACGATTCCCATCTCATCATTCCTGCTGTTCTTGAACATTTTCAACTCGGCCGCTTTGACACGGAGACACGCAACATCAAGACAAGAAGAGAGATGGCGGCTAAGACAACACTGAAGGAGTTCGAGTCGGTCTTCCCGAAGCTGGAGGAAGACCTGCTGAACTGGGCCAAGGGATACAATTTACCCCAGCAATACCTTGAATGGTACAAGAAGGTGAGATGGACTTCAACCCTCTTCTGCCTCTACACGCGAACACATGCCGAAAATCTCATGGAGAATTACGGATGAAAACAGTCTGCAAGCGAAGCCGCATTCTCACCGCCTCCTCGTTCCTGGTCCTCCACCGTTCTTTCTTACCGTAACACTAACGATGCATCCTAGTCGCTTGAGGTCAACGCGGTCGGCGGAAAATGCAACCGCGGCATGTCCGTTCCGGACTCGGTGTCCCTGCTTCTCAACAGGGCTCTGACTGAGCAGGAGTACTTTCAAGCAGCCACCCTCGGCTGGATGATTGAGCTTTTGCAGGCTTTCTTCCTGGTGTCCGACGACATCATGGACAGCAGTATCACCCGCCGTGGCAAGCCCTGCTGGTACCGCCAGGAGGGCGTGGGCATGGTCGCCATCAACGATGCTTTCATGCTCGAATCTGCCATCTACACTCTTCTGAAGAAGCATTTCAGATCTCACCCTTGCTACGTTGACATGCTTGAATTGTTCCACGAGGTTACTTTACAGACTGAGCTTGGGCAACTGTGCGATCTGCTCACAGCCCCCGAGGATGTCGTAAACCTCGACAACTTCAGCCTCGAAAAGTACAGCTTCATCGTCATTTACAAGACCGCCTATTACAGCTTTTATCTCCCCGTTGCCCTTGCCCTGCAAATGCTCAACATCGCCACCCCGAAGAACCTAAAGCAGGCCGAGGATATTCTCATCCCTATGGGTGAGTACTTTCAGGTCCAGGATGACTACCTCGACAACTTTGGTCTTCCCGAGCACATCGGCAAGATCGGCACAGATATTATGGACAACAAGTGTTCGTGGTTAGTAAACCAAGCACTCAAGATTGCCACTCCCGAGCAACGCAAGATCCTAGAGGACCACTATGGCCGTAAGGACAGTGCGCATGAGGCCGAGATCAAGAAGCTGTACAACGATATGAAACTAGAGCAGATATACCAAGACTTCGAGGAGAAGAGCGTCAGCAGCCTGAAGGAGAAGATCAGCAAAATCGACGAGAGTGAGGGCTTAAAGAAAGAGATCTTTGATGCCTTCCTATCTAAGATTTACAAGCGAAGCAAGTAATTAATCAGAGTGATGAGCGTTTGACAAATGACTCGAGCAATGCATCATTCGGATGCCTCTTGTTGCACAGAAATGTCAGCCTTCCATTGAGGATGTGGAAAAATTTAGACGGATACGGCCATGATAAAATGGATCTGAAGCGAACCAGCTAGAAAAGGACTTGAAGTAGACAATGGATATACCCTCCCATACTCTCGTGCTAGCTTCGCGTCTTAGATACTTAAGGCAATATTTACGGAACAAGGAGTTTGCAAGCTTATATATCTTCTGTTAGACCTTGACCGTTCGAACCCGGCTTCTTTGATATTGAAGTGACAATAGTGAAGCAAAGAAGATCGCTGGGCCATATCAGCTTTAAGGTGGCTGGGATATCGCTGGAGTGTGTTATATAATCATCACAATTCCGCAAGGATTGCGAGGGCCAAACCTCAGGGGAAAGGGCGTAGCCATCACGTTTCATACGGTCCTAAACCTGATAAATTAGTTGACAATGTGATAGATAGCTCAATATATTTGTACCTCTGGAAGAATAGGCCAGCTGATACCTTGTGCACTGGGTTACAGCTCTCCATGTTATCACTAATGCTCTCATTTAATGACTATAAATCCGCTACTAACTTCTTATAAGGAGACCAATGATTGGAAAATAACAAACTACACAGAATCCAGCTTATCATACCATCCGTGGCCGCTGGGGTATAACTGATCACCTGTGATCCGAATCATGAAGCTCTTGGACGGGTGCAACGCGCTTTGAAAGTGCTTTTATCTTGCTATCTCAATAAAGCCAGTGTCTCCAGTAAGTGATTTCGAAATATCGCCTTCCTGGCTATGGGTGTCTCTGTCTCGTTTGAAGAGCAGTGAAAATAGGGCGAATTATTAGTTTGATACGATAGTCATACCGGCTCAAGACGTCGTAGAACTGAGACAACAAGTAAACCGTACTCGACCAATATCTTGTGTGGTGGGGCTCTTAATTCGGCATCTGCCATAGATTCCACCGAATGACTCTAGTTGTAGGTGCTGGTTCGGGTAATCTTGTCAGATTTTCTACAGTTTGTGAGCAGTGTGACACGTAATATTTTAGTGTGCCCGTTAACAGTTACGCAGTGACATCTTATAGGAGGAATACGCATTATCCTGATGTGCTGGGGATCTTACTGATTCGGATCGGTCCTCTCTGCAACCACATATCATCGGCCTTAATAATGTGTCCTCCTAATCGAGTTTTTGACACTCACCTTCGAATACTAGGTGTTTGCAAAGTAAATTAGCGATAGGGACTTCTAACGTGGTCATGACTTCCAATGTGCGCAATATGAATACGTAGATCAGAGAAGCTGCCTTATTGGCTCTATATTGCTCAGATACGTAGGGAGACCAGCTATAGAACCATGATACTCAACACGGGCCTTGAGGATGCTGAATAAAATGAATATATGAACTTAATTTAGAATAAGAGATAACACTCGCTTACCCATATCCATACGTGAAATCTTCTACGCCCTGAACTTTTGGTATCCAGGAATCGCGCGCCTTGGAACTTAAGTACATTGGTACCCTTCTTGCTTGTCCAGTTGTTCTGACCTATTCCTAGAGAGAGGCAATTGAATAACACTGCCGTCAGGTAGTCATACTCCGCCCAACTTCAGGTTGCGTATCCGGCGGTCGTAGCCGATATAAATGCCGGTTATAGCACCACTTTTGACACGTCATCTTTTAAAAGTTGAAACCAAATCATATTAGTATCACGGTGTAATTATCGACCCTTTACCATCAGCAGCGTAACCTTGCTCAGTTTGATGTAAAGTAGCCCCATTTTTGATGAAAACTAGGAGGCTCTAGGGCACAAGCTACCTAGGGCTGCTCATGGATCATGTGAACCTGCGAGGAAATAATACGCGGCTCATCCACCCCGGGGCACCACGTGCGACCCATGAGCACTTAAGCGAGAGCAACACGTCAACTTTGTATTTGATTCGCAGCAACTCAAGAAAGTTGTTGGTACTGCAGGATCCCATATGCAACGATTGCCTTACAACGTCACATATCTTACGAGGCTCTAGTGGTTTTCGTCGATTGAACTTACGAGTCTACACAGCTCACCCTCTGGCGTGATGCGACCCCATCCCCTTTACGCCTTAATACAGAAACTTTAGACGAGTTCTACCTTGAGGTAGGTTCACACGTGCACCGCATAGAGTCGACTGGATTACACACATTTCCCGGACTCCCCCGCACACGGGTTTCTCGGTGTATGCTGGGCTGTGGCGCTTCGTCAAAGACGTGCTTTCAGTTAGGAACCGGCATGCGTCCCACAAGGTGCTTTCCCTCACTGTCCTACGAAACCTATCTAGTAGGACCTCAGCCAGTTCTGAACTGAAACGTTTGGTTGGTCGGCAGTGCTGAATTGTTGGTTCTGAGGTGTGCGATCTGACCCGCTTTGAGCTGATCTCACCTGGCCTGTTAGTCCATCACCGAATTCCTTGGTCTGTCGAAACACAAGCTGCGGGTCCTCGTGGAACTGTGCAATCCGCGTTCATCACGTTATAACGTTTGGTAAGTGATGAGCCTGTGCGTCGAGGTTGCTTGCGATTCGCTTGTGCGGATAAGCTATATGGCCACGAGACCTGTATTTGGTACCGCCCTCACCCTCCCTTGGGGTGACATGATCGGAATCTCAGCTTGGAACATGGAAGCTGAAATATTCCAGCGGCATGGTGGATGAGAGTGGAAATGTATCTGTCCTGTCGCTCAGCGATGTTCAAGCCCACATTCAAACCCAGCGGCGATGTTGCTGGACAGGGAAAGACTTCCGTGCATCCCCGAATGGTTATGCCTACTACGGCAGACTATTCGATATCCACATTAGGACTTATCCAACTATTTTTGGCCTAAGGACTGTGGGGTATTTGAGGATAAACTTTCCAGTGAGGCTGAATCCTCTGTTAAGGTCCTTTGGTACTCGAAAAAGGTCGTGTCGGGGGGTCGACGCGAGGGTCTTTTGCGGTAAAATAGCCAACAGTTGTTTCCTCGGTAGAATTATACATAACTATTAGAGATCGAGTGTCAATTAAGCTACCCAAATCATTCCCATGTAACACATTGGAAGCCTTCTAGCCTGCTGTTATAGGCAGAAACTATCGTATACGTACCATGCGATATTTCTATCTGTTATGTAGTTGGCAGCACGATGTCTTCTTTCAGCAGATTGACAATAAAGCTTGGCAGCGGTATAAACGCTACATAGTTATGAGTGGCTAAGTATCGATGATCAGGTCTTCGTGTGAGGTGTGTGCTAGCTCATCAGCGTCGGCCAGTGGCGAGTTCGAATTACTATAACACCATCTCGGGATGAGGTGTGATAAGCTATTTAGCTTGTTATATGTGTGTGCTCCACCATATCTGTTCACTATTGTGGACAGTCACGATAAATTTCTGTGCCACGTTCACTAGACTAGGGAATTCTAATGATTGTTGCCTACCTGTGACGCCGCAGCCTGCAATTTAATGATCCCAATAGGCTCACTGAAAGGCATGTTAACTCTTGGTCGTGGGGGGCTATCATGGCATGTGATAGCATTCACACCCACTCGCTGCAATCAGTCCTTGTGTCTGGGCTCCGGTGTAAGGGCGAATCATTGGCATGACGTGTTCCTTTGATGGTTAGCTGAAGACGAGTTGGGAAGCGCCAATTTAGAGAGATATAAAAGATGTGATACGTCCGAAACCCCTTCGGTTGTCAATGGAAGGATCTTAAGTCTGACTGAGTAGCGAACTCACTGCCAAAACCTCCTGTTGAGTTTCATTTGTACCACAGGAACCTCTTCTATCACCAACGGTGGGTAGAACAGTGAAAATCGGTCGAGACACTGGTATTGACGGAAACTTCGTCCTTCGCTCCCATTATCTACTCATAACCGTGAACTTCTATTCGGTACAGTATGGCATTTGTCGAGCTACCTTCAAGGCTACCGACTGTCGTTTTGGTAGCATTATTCTCACTGACAGTACGTGGCAATCGCTCTTTTGGTCTAACCATTTAATGTATTGCTAACGCCGTTCAGGGACTCATATGCTACTTCATCGGCTGGTGTGTATATACCTTATACCTTCACCCTTTAGCCAAATTCCCGGGGCCCAAGGTCGCTGCAATAACGCAAGTCAGTAGATATTTACCCTTCACTCGTGACTGACTTACTAAACGACATACTCAGCTATGGCATGCCTGGAGCTGGCTTAATGGGCACCACCCACGCATTTTACAAAAAGCTCATAAAAAATATGGTATGGTTCTTGCGGAATCTTGGGAATCATGTATCAAATGCCACTAACATTGGCGCAGGCAATGTTGTCCGGGTAGCGCCCAACGAATTAAGCTTCAATACGGTCCAGGCTCATAATGATATCTACTCAGCGCCGACACGCAACAGGAAACCATTCATTAAAGATGCTACCTTCTATAATGGTATGTATTCAATCTACCGTGCAGGTTTCATGGCCCCATATTAATAGAAATATTTTTTGTCTGTCAGATCTAACTTTGCTATAGTATGTAAATCTTTAGCCTAGAAACGTGGTCATTATCATAAGGAACTGGACTAACACGTTACAATATTACAGAATGGAGATTCTGTTCGGGTGCTGATCTTCGAGATTGATGCTACAGAGCATGCATGGCAACGAAAGCTAATAGCCCCAAGCTTCAGCGGCACGACCTTGCGCAAGCAGGAATATATCATCCAACACTACGTGGACTTGTTGGTGGAGAAAATGGGGAGTCTGTCTGCTGCTTCGCGTGGAGCTGGCGTCGATGCAGTAGAGGCAATGCTGTGGTTGGGGTTTGATATCATGGGTCAGTCATATCACTTCTAATCAGACTCCACTCGCCCTCGTTGGCATGTTCGCCTGTTATGCTTGTTTTTCAATTCAAAACTCACATTCCTCCCTAGCATGGATCAGAGGGTAAAAGAGGACTTTAGGAGCAGAACAATGTACTAACATAGCATGATAGGGGAGATGACGTTCAGTGAATCCTTTGGCGCCGTCGAAGCTAGCAAGACGCATTTCTGGGTCTCGGTGATCCGTGACAGTGCACATGCGGCGATGCTGCCTGCTCTAATTGAGCGCATGCCACTGCTACGCTTCGTCTTGCCATACATGGTGTCGAAATCGGCGATCCAGAACCGCAAGAAGCACTACGTGTACACACAGGAAACAATTCGTAAGCGCGTGCGACTCCAGGAAGAACATCCCGAAACGGCGACGACAGACATCTGTGGCCCTGTCATCGCAAACGGCAAAATGGACGAGACGTCGCTTGTGTCCTTCGCCCAAGCAATGGTAATCGCTGGTGCAGACACGGTTGCACACGCGCTGACGGGAGCAACGTACTTCTTGTGCGCAAACCCGGCGTGTCTGAAGGAACTGCAGGACGAGATCCGCGGGCTTGGAAGCTATGAGGAGCTGACGGGTACTCGGCTTGCATCTCTCCGATACCTCAATGCGGTGATTGAGGAGACGCTGCGAGCCTTCCCACCGGCCGCCTTCGGGCTACCCCGCGTATCACCCGGTGAGTATGTTGATGGTCATTTCGTGCCGGCAGGAGCCGTTGTATCAGCGCCACACTGGGTCATCACGCACAACGAGTCCGAGTGGCAGGACCCCTACACCTTCCGGCCCGAGCGGTGGCTTGAGGGCGGAGTCTCACAGCCGCGGAACCTGGCTTTCAGCACAGGACCTAGGGCGTGTCTCGGTCTCGGACAGGCGTGGCTTGAGATCCGTGTTACACTTGCGAAGCTCGTTTACAGTTACGACATGGCATTTGCGCGAGAGCATGGTGACTGGCTGGGAGATGCTAAGATGTTTACGATGTGGAGGGAAGTGCCGCTGATGGTGAATTATCGACCTCGCAAGACGCACTAAGTTTTTTCTTCCATGATGAAGCATAGGTTGGGGATTTGGGAAACGCATTGCCTACCTACAGTGGGTATCATCGAAGCTGAAGTCTCATGGCGTGGTACCTAGTTCATTCTTTTCGTCCCGTTTGTCTTTACTCTCTTTAGTGTAACGGTAGCGTAGCTAGTGTTGGCTTTATTCATGATACTATTTTGATCACTCGCTAGAACAGGGCGGAAAAAGAATAGATTGAGCTGAATCATTCCCTACCTAGCAGATACCTAGCCATTCGCCAAGTATGCCTTAGGTACGGAGTCGAGGGAGTGCTAAGACAGCTCAGAGGCGCCATTTCGAAATTCAGGGGCCCGAATGTCCTAAGATCGATCCCCCATACACCGGACGAGATGTCTATTGGTCAGAAAGACAGTGACTTAACTTTGGCCTTGGCATACAGAGATTTACATACTAAGGACATTGACATCTATGCGACATGTACTCTATACTAGGTATGTAAGTGTCGAATTACCTATGTACATATATAGTAGTCTAATGGCGAGACGAGACTGGATGCGAGCTGGGTAGCAGTGCACTCTACTTAATAGTTCAAGTCTACTATAATGTAAGTACGTACCTACATACATACATACATTCCTATAGTAAGTACATATGGCTATACCTACCTGTACAATGTACATGCATACATGACGTACGTAGGTACCTGGGTGCTGCATCGTCGATGGCAACACGGCATCACGGCACTACGGCACCACCTCACGGCACGTCGATGATGGCTCGCGGCAACAACATGAAGCATCCACCTAGGTAGGTATATTATGTAGGTATTGAAGATCTTAAGTCCAACCATTTGCCTGCACGCTCTTGATGACATACATAAGTACATAAGTAGGTAGGTACATCACCTAGATACCTGCTGTTGTGAAAGGTGTGCCGGGTGTTGAAATACCTACCTAGGTACCTGGTAGGCACCTAGACAGCTGAATGGTACCTACAGGAAGGCGGGCGCCACAAACCACGCGCCTAGGCTTCTGGAATGCCCCTTGCATCACCCTTCAATTTCACCTGGGCCCCGGGCACTCTTTCGACACAGCTCGACACTTTGATTGGATCATTAGCTGGCGCCGTTCAGTTAGTATTTTGCTAAAATCTGCCCTGCGCTCAATTGCCAACCGAGTTGGACGGGTCGCGTGTCTTGTTACCTTACCTACCAACTACATAGTAGAGAGGTGAGGGAGGTATCCTCTCTCTCTCTCTCTCTCTCTGTGCTAGATAGCAAGCAGCCGGCACTAGACTGGACTCGCAATCTTTCTTCTGCTTTTTGCTTCTTTAGCTGCGGCCACGCCATCGATACCAGGGTCCAGGCTTGAAAGAAGAGAAAGCAGGCATTCTTTTTTAATTGAGTTACCTGCCTGCCTACAGACAAAGTTTCGGGGTGGAGGCTGTCAGGTACTATATAAAATATCCGTCCCCACCGGATCTCAATCAGCGACTCACCGGCCGGCCATCTTGTCTTGTCTCATCCATGGTCATCATCAGCGCTCTTACAGTCCAGCCCATCTACATACATGCCTCTGTGACCCTGTCGCGCAATTCACATTCCGACGACTGCGTGTCTTAGGGTCGTAAAATAAAACATGTCTTACCACGCGCAGCCTTTAGAGCAGCACGACGATGAGCGGGTCTTGCAGCCCTCGAGGTATCGCAGCTTGCGAAAACAGTCCGTTGCCGCGCCTTCTCCCCCAACTTCTAAAAGGACCCCGAGCGGCAATCGTGAGCCCACCTGCACCCAGCAATGTGAGAACGTAGTGGCAAGTTCTATATCGCGATCCATGTCGCGTTATCGTCGTCGTGCCGCGAGCAATGCTGGCGCCATGGACAACGCTGCAGCCCAAACAATAAATTCTGCTGTCACCCCACCTGTTCCAGCTATCCCGTCCCTATTACAGACGGCCAACCCCTCTGGTATAAATGGAGGCCAAACTGAACCCGCGCTCGAATCATCCGCACGGCGTCAATTGCGGCACACCGTACAGCAGAGGACAACAGGGCAAACAATTGATGACCACGAAAATCATTCTAATGCAATATATGACAACAACCGTGACCAAATCACTGCTTCTAGCCGAGGAGTGTGCCACAAGACGCCCGAGCAGCATGATGCTAGCTGGGAGGTAGAAAGGAATCGCCTGTTGGAGGAACAGAAATTGAAGGACTTAAAGAGATTAGAGGAGGAACTCGAAAGAAGCCAAAGAGTCAAGATCCAATCGCAGAAACTCAAAAGTCCGGTCGTGGATAAATTTATGCTATTAGCGAAAGGAAGCAAGAATATCAAAGATGAGACGCCGCCCGCATCCCCGACGGTAATGTCCGTTATACCCAGTGCTCGGAGATCCGGCCATGAGCCCGTGAGAAGCCCGCCAGCTCACATTGAGCCCGGCGGCAAGGGTATTGTTCCCCAGAAGGACGCCCCGACGTCAGCTATCAATGCCGGGGATCGCGTGAGTATGCCGCAATGAATTTGTCATGGAATCTGACAGCTAATTGTGGGTACAGATGGTGGCGGTCCGTTTCCGGCATCACACTTTTACATTGCCTGTCACTCCTGAGACCACTGCCTTCGACATTGTTTCCCAAATCTCGAGTAGAGCAGGGTGCGATCCCGAAATCAGCCTTGAGAAGTATCTTGTGACAGAACACTGTGGTGTTCTCGGACTTGAGCGCCGACTACGCCGCTACGAACGCATTCGAGATGTCGTGAATTCATGGGACAACGATGAACAGAATAGGCTAGCGGTGACCTTATCTGATCAAAGTAGCAACCATGGGGATCTCGATATTAGGGCGGTTGCCAACTGCGAGGAAAACCCTTCGGGATTCCAACTACAGATGTACCACTCTAACCGCCCTAAAAAATGGAACAAGAAGTGGATTACACTTTTAGAAAGCGGCCAGATCATCTCTGCGAAGAAGGCAAATGCGAAGTTGATCGATAAAGACACAGCCAATCTATGTCATCTCTCCGACTATGACATTTACATACCAACCGAGTCACAATTGAGACGGCACATAAAACCGCCTAAGCGTTTTTGTTTTGCGATCAAATCCCAGCACAAGACGACCATTTTTTTAAACACGGAAAATTATGTCCAATATTTCAGCACGGACGATCCTCATGTAGCACGTGAGTTCAGAGAATGTGCCCATAGATGGCGAAGTTGGTATCTAGTCGACCGTAACCCAGAAGTCCGCAAAAGCCACAACAAGTCAGCCGCGAAGCCAGAGGAAAAGTCACCTGTGCATTCCCCCATTGCCTATCCTGTAACAAAGAAGCCAGTCAATGCGACTACTCTAGATGGACATCACCCACGGGCATCTATGGAGGAATCACCCCGTGCAGTTGAGCGATATGAACCGTTAGTTGATATGAGTCGTTTTGACAAGGGCTTTGTGTTACCACAATTAGACACCCCTCAGCAAAATAACGAACAGACCATCTCTCGGCGTCTTTCAAAACGGAATCCAAATCATCAAACCCCTCCATCATCTAAGCGAGAGAGTAAGGATGGGTTTACTGGTGGTTTACTTGGAGAAGAATATGAGACTAGGAAACAGGCACTTGCGGGCTTGGAGAAAAAGAAATTTCCACAGGAGTTGGCGTTTACCGAGGGCCCATCCCTGCTAAATAGCCAACAAGACCTGAGCCCATCGGCAGGACATATTGACTCACCCTCTTGGTTCCCATCGGCAATTGAACATACGGCCAAGCAGCGTGCTGTTCCACAATCCTCTTCGGCACGACCTACTACTTCATCTAATGCACAACGTCGTTTTTCTCTGACCGCGGCCACTCATCGGCCTTCTGAGCTCGTCTCATCGGTTGCTCGACCATCTACTCAACATCGTTCACAGCATACATATGCACAACAGGCTACTACGTTACCTCCCTCGGACCGGCGCATACCCCCACAACCCTTAGTTGACCTTACACCTGCAATACAAGTCCCACCTCAGTGGTCAAAGGAAAAGAAAGGTCACGGTGTGAAACCGCCTGATGATGTTGAACATCTCGTCGACTTCATTTCAGCTGGCAACGGAATTGATAACTATTCACAACCCCCGCCACGCACCGTGCCACGCCGCCCAACTACATCAGGGACGCAGGGGCGAACACGAAGTATGAGTTCGGCATCACCCGGAAGACCGTTATTAGATGATGCGCCACCCGTTCCATTGGTACCATCACGTCATGGGGTAGGAAGCATTGGCGGTAGTAAGAGACTGGCCAATGTGTCTGTTGCCCGAGATGGCAGAATAGACCGTAGAGAGTCTATAAGACAGAAAGAAAGAGACCAAGAAAAAGCCAAACTTCGAGAACAACGCGAGCGCGAGTATCGCGAGAGAGAGGCAGCTTATAATGCTGTCCCTGGCCGTACGGGAACACTGAAGGTCGTCTGATGCTGCGCATGTCCGGCGAGGAAGCTCGACATAGCATTCATGACGACCATGGTCATAAACTATACTATTTCTCTCATTCCTAGTGTTGTAGAGGTTCGCAGCCTTGCCAACGCTAGTCCATTTTCTATTTTCAACATGGGACGGGTAGCACTGCTTGTTCTAGTAGCTATTGGTACGTTTGACGCAAAGCATGTATAAACAAGGTTCTTGTAAGAAGTAATGATGGGAAGAGCACGCCGGCGAATTTCTCTTTGTTTGTTTTCTTGCCCTCATTTGGTCCACAATCTCACCTGGACTACCTATCTTGTCCATCCTTTTCACGGCATTACGTGTGGCGCAGGGCGCGACTCTAGAGTGCAGGGCCCTAGAGGCCATAATTTATTGACTACGTCGTCTTGCTTTTCTTCTTGGAAACCCTAGCGTTGGAATGTATGATCTCTCACGAAAGACGCAGCGACGATTTAGGTTATGAGGTGGTGACGAAATAATTCTATATACAAGGTCTATATGACAGCGTTATGTTAATGGAATGAGAGCTCAAAATAAATGGATTCGATCGTATGATCATCTAACTTCTCCTACATATCCTTAGTCAACATGGTATCAAGCGCTTTTATGAAATGAAACAAATCAGCGAGTCGTCTCCCGCCCAAACAAGATGCGAACCTATCTACAATCTCTACACCGGTTGTAGCCGCGCGTCAATCTCGGAACCAAGGCTGGTATTGGTCATGCATCCCTCTTGTGTCATCAGGGCGTTGGGATCCGGGTTGAGAGCTGTCACGCATAGTACCCGTCTCCCACGGCCGTTCCCAAGGGGGCTGACTCTCGGGTTGGACGCTGTTAGGCATACTTCCCGCGTCACCAGGGCGTGGATCCTTAGGTTGCGAGTTGTCAAACGTTTTGACCACCTCTTCACGATCGCCACCCTGGGGACTGGTGGGATCACGATTCTGTCCGTCACCTTTGCCCTCGTCGGCTGTGGCGTCGTCGTCGTCATCCTGCGCTAGTTGCTCCCGCTGCGGTCCGTTCCGCACCTTCAGCCAGATCGCCGTCCCAATGGCTGCAAGCCCGGCCACAGCGCCGATCACAATGCCCGCGATAGCACCGCCGCTAACCTTGCCGCTGCTTTTGCCCTTGCGATGGCCTGATTTGCCACCTGTGGATGATGTAGTCTTCGTAGTAGTAGGTTGCGATTGATTTTTCGTGGTCTTCTTAGTCTACGTGTCTTATCGTAAGCATTCATTCCCCTCTAGTTCCGTGATCGAAGAAAAAAAGATGATAGGGAAAGGAGACGTGTTGATGGGGAATTCGGTGGCGGCTAGGAGTGACTTACGGTAGTCGTTTTTGTGCTGCTCGTCGATTGATACCCTACTTGCACCTGGTACGCATTTATACCACCGGCGACGTCGGTGTATGTGGTCCGCGCCGTCTGCCCATCTGATACTTGTGTCACGGTCCACACCGTCGTCGTTGCTATTTCTTGAGGGTACACACAACCGAGCGTCCTCTCCCACTCGTGCGAAAACGTTGATTGGCATATGAAATCCTCGTGTCTGATAGTGTCAATGTCATATTAGCCTGGTCCCTTATTCGATCTGGCGCGTCATATAGAAGCATTTCGGATCATAGGTAGTCACGTACGTCGGACAGCACCCCAAGATGGTCTCCTCCGTGTTTCCCCTGGAGTTATAGGATTTGCACGCGGAGGTGTAGCCTGTCGGACATTGCGCCGGCGAATAATACTGATTCGACCTCGCGGCGTAGCTGCTGGGGAAGCAAGTAGTCTGTTGGACAGGGCCCTGCAGTAGATAGAACTCCGAAGATGTATAAATTTTGTACACCTGGTTTAGGTTTGCTGAGCAAGTCGGGGCTATCGCGAAAGAGGTTGGGAGCGACCCCAAATTCGTCAAGGACATATTCGCTACTAAACAGAAGAACTTGTGCCAAACCCCGTAGGTCGCCTTTATAGGACTTCGAGAATTGAGTCGGAGACGCAGCTAACAAAACACTCAGTGATAACAGATGGGGTAAAGGATAAATCAAAGATCAAGTGAAAGAAGGCAACGCGCGAACCGCGGGAATATAACAGCCAAGTCCTTCGATCCTGTTTCTTCCTTTCTAAATTTTGTCCTTTTTCATGATGTTATTTCCAAGGCCTCCCGCTAGCTCCTCCTTCGGATAGTCGTAATTACACGTCGGCTCAGCCTATATGCACCAGTCCTTCCACCCTTGCTCAAATTGGCGAAGGACTACCGTATGCCTACCTATCGTGTCTTGCATCTTCTGTCGAGCATGCATGATGCATGTCAGATCTAGCCTGACGTCGCTGCAAGTTTCCTCGGATAGCGAAGCGCTAGAGCATCACAACTACGCCGTACAACGTGCCACGCTTCTACCAGTCAAGTGTCACTATTTCGAAACAAAGAGGACTCCCATCAGAGTAACATAAGGCGAGTGGAGAGAGCGTTGATTATATGCGTTGTGGGGTATGGCGTCGCGCTACACCCAGAGCGGCAGATCTTGTTCAGCCCGCTCTTTAAGTATTCATACAAGTTTTGATCATAAATCGAGCCAAAAAAGCAGTTATGTATAGTATGCCTTGCACTTGTCTCACCGCCCCAAGACCTGCCTTACTGTAAACAGAAGGAAGTTAACTCTTTCAGCTCACAGGGATGTGGGCTGCTTACAGTAGGGCTGAAAATGGGGTTTCACCCTCAATGAGACACAGGACACAAACGACAAATCATTGATTAGCCCTGGCACTAATAAGATGGCGAGATAAGAAGAGGCAGCTGTCTACATACTATGTATGTAGCCTTAAGAACTGTATTCGCAGCAGGCGGTGGTTACCCTGGGTTTGGATGCAGGGAAGGTTCGAGAGATATTAAAAAGCCACGATGTACATCACCTCATAGATCAACATTTGAGTCCTTTATCATCATTTCAGGAATCGGGCTCACATCGGCTACTACGTAATTAGCACTCTGCCCTTCCAAAACCTTTACTGGAGCAAACCAACCAGTCCGCCTGATCGGACGTCTTGTCACCATTTGCGCCTACCTATAACCTGGAACCCACATGTCGGGGGCCGCCGTTTTTGCTAAGAGCTACAATATGTCTGATCTTGGCGCAAATCCTACATTATTTTCTGAAAGCTCGAACATGCCACCTCCACCACGCGACGAAATCCTGCGTCGAGACATCGATACCAATGTCTTTTAAAGCCGCGGTGCTGAGGTGACAGTCGTAAGGTCTCTGGACCGCAGCGTTTGGGTCGTTTCCTGCTGTATTCGGCTCGATGGCAGTGATCGGTAAACCCATAATTTCGCCAAACGCCTGACAAATCTCGTACTTTGTGAACTTGTCTTCGGATGAGAACTGAAGGATCTGCGGTAGTGCGGAGCGGTCGTTGGTACTGAGATATTTCACGGCAATGTCTTTTCTAAAGTATTAGCAAACTTGGGAATAGTAGTAGGAGAGAAATTGGGTCAAGCACCGAGACACACTCGCCCTACGTCCTCCGTGTTAGTAGGATACCGCAATGCCCAATGATCCATCTTCATTATTGCATCGGGCTCCTGAGCTTTCCAGACACTATCCATGAGAACATTCACTGCACTCTCAGCAGGCATTTCAGCGTCGCCGTAGAGAACCGGGACTCTCAAGACGGTGCCGAGACCTGCCTTACCGGCTCTTTCGAAAACATTCAGTACTGCTAGTTCACCATCTAGTTTCGTCTGCCCGTAGAGGTTTGTCGGTTGAGGAGGAGCGTCTGCTCCGTAAGGAGCATCGCCGGGCTTTCCAGGAAACACATAATCGGTTGAGATATAGACGAGAAAAATATCGCGTGCAGCACAAAGAGAGGCGAGACCCTCAGTAGCTGTGACATTTAAAGCTCGAGTGCCTTCAGGGTCGTTGTCACATTTGTCCGGAAATCGATTTGCGGCGCCTAGGTACGAGATAAGATTAGCGGGTTGCAACCGTCTATCAGCTACAAAGCTTGGAATAAGTCTCACAGTGAATAACAACATTTGGCCTGGCATGATCGAATTAGCAAACGAGCCAATACATCTAGTTGGATTTTGTGCGCGAGACAGCAGGCAGGACGAACCTGACGCTGTCCAATGCAGCTTCGACGTCCTCCGATTTTGCTAGGTCGACCTTGAGGACAGCCGAACCATCAGCGCGAGAATGCCCTGTGCCCTTGACGCTCCAATTCCCCCTCTCGAAGGCCTTGACGACCTGCCTGCCCAGCAATCCAGTGGCGCCAGTGACAAGGGCCACTTTCCCGGACATAGTGAAAGCGTAGAATCACAGAAGGTAGGCGTAACTGGCAAAGAGATAAGTCGAGGTCGAGTGCGTGACGTAGAGGCAAATAATGGTACAATAGACAAGGGAGAGGGGCAATCAGGGAGTGTGTGGGGCTTTGGTAAGGGTATCTAAGTACCGTACCTGGGGAGCATCCCACCGTACCATCTGCCAAGCAGCCTAATGTCGGACTCCTACCTACCGGTACATCGCAATCCAACAGACCTTAAGTGCATAGGAAGTAGACGGAGACCGAGGGACTTTGGACTTTGGACTTTGAAAACAGAATATGGGTATCTTACGCTGTCTACAAACATCATCTAGGTATCATTCTACCATCGTCTCCTTGTGGCGGCTTTTAGATCGTCCACGTTCAATATATCGGCGCCTTCTGCCATCAGCGTATGCCAGATCCTATTCCTCAGGCTGATCGGCCATGCCGGTGTATTCCAGTATCGCACCTTCAACCCTCTCCTGTGTGCACCTTTTATCTGTCCCCGGATGAGTTGGAGTTGTTCCTCGCTGAGATGAGTCCACTACAGCAGCCGGCGTTAGTAATTACTATTTCAAGTGAGATGTGCGGGTGCTGTTGAGTGCCTGGGAAGGTTCCAAGACTCGAGTTTGGTCAAGCAGTAAGCCGCCAAGAACAAGAGAGAAATAAACCAGATAGCTACTCACAACCGATCCTATTGTCCGGAAGAAGTTGACACTCGCATACCATGAGTTTGTGCTGTTATAGACAAACGGCTCATCATCCTCACTCGTCTCAGGGGTATCGGGATCCTCGTACAACTCGTTCAGCGGCGCATCAAAAAATATGTCTCGGTACGTTGAGTTCTGCATCAGCATATCAAAGGGTGTGCGGCCAGTGGCTATCACGGTGATATGACGTTTATGGACAACGCCGTCCTCCACAGACGTCAGCCAGTTTCGGGCTCGAAGGGGCTCCAGTTGAGCCTCAACTTGCGGAAACGTCTTAGCTCCGTCCGTCTTCAGATCAACTAATAGAACCAGCGTCTGATCCGGGTCGGTGTCAAATACGCCGCGGAGGGCGTCGGTCTCGTTATAAAATGGCGTCTTGGGGTTGTTTTGTGATATGATATCCACGAGGGGATTCACATAGAGAGATTGAAAAGTGCGATGAGGCGTTAAAGCCGCTCTGTCATGACCGACGTAAAGATGTGAGCTATTATCAAATAGCCATACATCCGCCTCGACTCCTATACAACCCGCGTGAAGGGCTGAGAAAAGGGGAACTCTACGCCAGTAGTCGTTGTGCGAATGACATGACACGGGCGTCACGTCGCGGAGGAAATCTGTGGGATACCAAGCCAGATTTTCCGTCTCAGTACCATGTTTGCCCCAGTTGGCAAAAATACTATCGGGGTCATCTTCTATTCCCCAAAGGCTTCTTACTATGGAGAGAATAATGCTTATAAGTAGTAATGAAACTCTAGCGAAATTAGTTAGGGTAGGCGAACACGACGATGTAGTGCCCCAAACCGAATATACTCACAAAAATGTTGAACCCCATAACGTGCCGCAAGTGAAATATTTAGCCACCCGACGGCTACTCCTTGAGATGCCGACAATTCTTTCGTCTGCCTCCTCAAGTTCCTTAGCTGAGAGAAAGGGCTCATAACTTTCTTCCGACACTTTGTCGGCTAAGTGGACTCGGCGACTCTTTTCGAGCCACATCTTATCTAGGGTTTGCGCAGTGCAGAAAGCAGAGAAGAGAAAGCGGTGCTAGAAGTCACAGATGGACGGTGTAATTCGAAAAATCAAGCCTCTAAATCGCTCGAATGTTTATTTCCGCAATGGTGCCGAACTGATTAGTAAGTGAGCGGAAACGTCGGAATAGAGGCCTGGCGCGTCGAACGTTTTCATGAGTGAGACGACAGCTTCCGAGAGCATAAGGTAATACGGATCAAGTGGGAATACAAGTTTGGCAATCGGGGGGCTAATGAGGATTTATTTGGATGTGAGCGAACTCCGGCATCTTTATTAGGAGCACATACACCATGCATGCACATATACAACCAACAGGAATGGATTTGATGCATGGCCTCTATCATGGGTCGATGGCCAACAACAGGCGGGTTGGTTACATGTACAAATCTACGAAGTACTCCATGGCGGTAGGTACCGACAACACTGTAAATAGATAGGCTCGCCAACCCTAGATTCATCAATAGCCAGGGTCTCTACACATAGGTAGGTGGTATTAGAGGCTCCCATGGACCACGATATCCACGATGCTTGTCTAGTCGGCTTATTACTGTAAAGCTGCAGCTCACACCCGTGAGGGCTACTGGATCGCTTATTGGCTCGCCGGGATAACAGTGGGTGGCCAGTGTCGGAGTAGCTCGGCGAAGCGAGTTCTAGATGCGAGGATCTAGGCATCTCGGTGATCTGCTGAGGTCCCTGCAGGAAGCTTGTACTTAGTAGTGCCTGGTAGTGTACATTACATGGTGGCAGTCGAGGCAGTCGAGGCAGTTTGACAGATCATTGGGTGGGTCGCTCGATTCCGTCAATCACCGCCATTAACACGAACACGATGGCCTTCGAGAGGCCCAGCTCTTAGTGTACCGACGATGGTTGACAACAGCCGAAGCTCGGCCGGCTTGTTCGGCTAGTCGCTAGTCGGCGTAAATCCGGTCCAGACTTCTTATCGTATCAACCCCGGGAACCAGCCACCTCCAGGCTAGATAGACAGATGCAACTGCTACATAGTACTGGCCTCCAAAGACATTCACAATGGACAGAGTTTATCCGCTGTGCACGCCCATTTACTGTGTAGGCCCCTTGCCTCCGAAGTCGAGTGAGTGAGTGAGGACATGAGTTTGTGATAAAGATTCAACTTTGACTGCAGAGACACTGAGGGGTCTGCCTACCTAATCAAGACTAGTCACAGTAGTAACGACTTCATTACGATCCTTACTTATTACCTAGTTAGGGCTAATGAGATACGCTATGGAAATGCCTGGCATCCCACTAGAGCCAGCCTATCAGCTGCGCAGATACCAGCCTAATCTAATCATCGCCCAGGATGCAGATTATTGCAAAAGCAGCTTCATTGACCAAGTCCGAATGCTTAGAGTCTAATACAACCACTAAAAGCAATCGAAAGCGTATCTGAATCCCGTTCGTTGTACACTATACCAGGAACTGCACTTTACTGAAACTGACGGTACGAAGATCTGAAGTTGTGACTGCGAGCAGCACACTGCACCCTTGCAGGCAGAGAGATCTCATTCAATATGCCACACAAACACACCCGCAGATTACGGGATGAATCAACGTACGCTATGCTATCTATTTTTATTCTATTCCCCGGTCTTGACTCATAGTACTGACCATATATTTCTATCTTCAGTTTCGACTTACCCCCGACGCAGATCGCCAAACCGCTGCCTGTGAAACAGCCCGTGTCGAAAGAAAATGATAAGCGTGGCACGAAGCCAAAAGGGACACCTGTGCAGCCAGCAAGCAGCTCAAAGAGAAAACGCACGACAACGCCAAAGGATGACGCACCGCGTGCATTCAAGAGATTAATGGCTTTTTCGAGCGGTAAAAAGCCGCGATCTGGTCTTGACAATGGCGACGAACCACGCGGCGCCAAGAACAAAAAACGAAATGCGGCCGAACAAGCGAAACCCGCCGAAACTAATACCGAAGTTCAGCCATCAACGGCTGTGATACCTACGATCCGCCCCGGGGAACGCCTGTCCGAGTTCTCCGCACGGGTTGATGCTGCACTGCCTCTTGCCGGCTTGGTTAACAAGTCCATGAAAGGAAACAAGGATCCCTTGGGACTAAAGGTGTGGCGAACCAATAAGGAGAGGAAAATGCACAAACTGTATGATGAGTGGAGGGAACAGGATCGAAAGATCAAAGAGAGACGCGAGGAGGAGTTGGAGCTAGAGGCAGAGAAGGAACTCGAAGAAGAAGAGAGTGGCGTTTCTTGGAAGCTCAACGTCGGAAACCAAGGATCTGGTAAGCGAAAGAAGAAAGCCAAAGACGATGACGATCCCTGGGCGATTTTAAAGAAGAAACGCGGGGAGTCTCGTCCTGGTCTCCACGATGTTGTAAATGCCCCCCCTGAGTTTACAGCAAGGCCATCGAATCAGCTCCTCGTTCGAGGTGCAGCAGTACAAGTGAAGAACGTTCCGAAGGCAGCAGGCAGCTTGAAACGGAGGGAAGAGTTAGAATCAGCCAGGGATGACATTATCGCAGCATACCGAAGAAAGATGGGGGAGAAGCAACCGTCCTTCCACATGGCTTGATTGGGGATATGTTTCTTTGGTCGTCCTATAGTAACTATACATAGTATTTAGTGATACCCTTGATGAATTGTTTCAAAGCTATCCTTATTGGATAAGACTCTTATATTCGTCATTCCATGAAAATGCTACAATCCTATGGTCTGCGATCGAAAATTGGAGCAATGGGTAGAAATCTCTATTCACTTCATCAACTACCTTAACTTGGTAGCGACGCATAAAGTCCTATACTGCAATTATACCTGCATCATCATGGCGTGAGGTACCTAATCATCAGTACGACAAGATTCAGTACATACCTAGCATGGGCAAGTACTAAACAACGCTTCTCAGCCGCGCGCCAGCTGGCGGACATCTGGTATCCTCAGCCAAAATATACACGTAACCATACCGTTATATGTACCGTAAATATACTGTATATATCTACCCTGTACCCCACTTGGGTAACGTGCCAAGTCCTACAAGCTTTTCCACAATCGCAAATCTGCCACGCACCGGCATCACCGAAGCACCACCATTCGAGTCTTGATGGTGACAGTCGGAAAGGCACATTTTTATTGTCATTCACCCATGCCTTCTAAATCCTTGTCAACATGGTTGCAGGACTGGACGAGTTGATCGAGTCACTTTTGACCGAGATCGCCTTTTCTGGTGTCCGAGGTACGTCTCTATGGGTTCTAGCATCGACAGTTGCGGTGTTGACAAAGATTTAGGCTGTTCTATACACAGTCTGCTGGCTGCAATAGACCTTTTTTATAAGGCTTCGGGTAAAGAAAACGGGCAGGACGGGTCGCGCACTCAAAGTATCGCGATCGGTGGTAGCGATACGAAACCTGTCAAAATTCCTAACAGAGATGACCTCGCTATTGCCTCCAAAGTATGGAGATGGCTCGCCGACAGATCAGATGTATCCATCGGAACCAACAGACAATTCAATCACTTGTCTCTAGAGGAAGCGTTAGCGCTGCCTGAAGAGGAAGAATCTCAATTGTCAGAAACAACTGCGCCATCTTCAACGAAGTCTCCAGTGGATAAAAAGACTAAACCGCAACAAAAGTCGAATCAACGGGCACTGAGAGATGAGGCTTCATCTGTGAGACCTAGATTACACGTTTCTGAAGAACGCCAGTGGAGAACAATTGCTGGTCATGGACCGGACCTAAAGCGAGTGCCCCTTTTCGAATGGCGAGCACTTGTTGACATCGCTTCTGTCAAAGAAAAGGGGATCCTCCAAGGTGACCTTGTTCGCCTTACTGGTCAAGACAAGAGGTCGCTTCCCACCAGGACCGATGCGCTGGCAAGGAAAGGATATATCATTAAGCAACCTGTGGTTCTTCGTGGCGGCAAATCTAGCAAGCTATGGCTTGCTCAATTCTCAGAATACGCAAGGGAACACCAAGAGCGGGAGGGACTTGACTATGACAAGCTTGATCTCTCTAAAGCGGCCCTTACCAGTGATTTGGACCCGGTTTCCTTCTGCGATAAATGGAATGGAGACACCATTGACTATTTGGCTCTTGCTCAGGGTTTTGTGGCTATAGTAAAAGCGTGGACTCTTATCCGTTACTGCGATGCTCGCGCAAAATTAGGTGTTGAGGAACGTGTACGTCAAATGAGGGCTCTCGCAAAGACATGTCGTTGGCTCACAAATATTGGCGCGCTATCCTTCGTTGGTGCGAAGTTTGCCGGAAGCAACCGATTGTTCAAGGACTGTGTCAAATATATTCGAGATCCGTCTCCCGCTGAATGGTCTCATTTTCGTGCCACCCCCAAGACCCGGATGGTAGTTCCGTCTGGTCGTATAGGAAAGCGAGGGGAAGCGTCTCGTGCTGTTCATGCTTCACAACCAGGTGGATCTCGGGGAAGTAAGACCATCATCAAGAAGCCACACGTAGCTAGGCCTCGCACCGAGCCTACGTCTTACACCAGCATTATTCCTTCCCCATGGAAACCACAGAAGCCAGTTCCAAACACAGCGTTTGAGATCATCAAAAGAGCGGGCTCTAAAGGCACCTCAAATGCGGCCATCTGTCGACAAACCCTAGGTCATAACTACCGCAGGCTTACAGCAGCGATGACCGGGTCGATCTCCATGCCAACTAACAGTCAGCCATCGCACCTGAAACACCTGAGCTCAACCTCACAGTTAAGCCGCATTGGAAAGACCATGACATATACATTCTATGCCTGCAACGAAATTCTGGATGCCACACCTGACGAGCAGAACATGGAGCCAGCTATTCTTGAGACGAATGCAGCAGGAGATCCAATTGCAAGCCAACAAGACAATGTATTCTCACAAGTTAACTCGAGCCGATTCTTCAAAAGTCCTAGTTCCTCGCTTTCAGACATCGTTCGAGCCCAGCATTTGGATCGAAGCTTCTCAAGAAAATGGAAACGCAAGCGGCCCGTAGATGAAGATATTGATGATCAACCCCCGATCAAACTACCCAGGCGTCTGGGTCGTCCACCGAAAAGGCGCGCAATGCAGACCACGCCAAGTTCTGTGGAGGGGCCTTCACAGGTTCAAAGTGATGAGACCCCTATTACGGCTCAAGGTCATAGCATTGCTGATGAACACATACAAGCAGAGATTACTCCACAGGTGACCCGAGCCCCAGGTGTTTATCGTGGACTTCCAAACTCACTTGACCCTGTCAATAAAAGGGGTAGACGTCGGAAATCTTTGGTCATTATATTTAGGTCTGACAAACTTAAAGACCCGGCATTTCTTGGACACCAGTTGGTCATACGCGAGACGGATATCGTGGATGGCATAAGCCGTGTAGCCCCTACGGAAGCAACTCCAAGAAGACAATCAGCTCAAATGCAGGACGTTCACTCAGGAGAAACTCCAAATCCCCCGGTCACAGTTCCAAGGGTTGTTTCTGAAATCTCACCCGTCCGAACTAGGACACCAAAGTCGGGGAAAAGGGGGTCATTTCGTTGCGACAAATGCGGAAATAGCTGGAAGAACTCAAATGGGCTGGAATATCATCTCACCAAATCTAGGACATCTTGCAATCAAGACTTCGTCCCGCCTCCTTCGGATTTTATCAATAGCCGGCAACGTAAATCGACCCACGCTCAAGTATCAGAACATATGTATAAGCCTCGCATAATGTCTGAAGAGCGAAGACAACATCGGCACACTCTAACTCCGGGAGAACAAATAGAGTCTCGACTCAAGCAGAAGGAGCCTCATCTATCATCGTCGTCTCCTAATCCCTCCACCTCATTGACCTCTACGTTAGATGACAGTGTAACACGCACGCCATACACTAGAGATAATACCCAGTCTCGAGCTATTCGAGGAAGTATCGTGTTAAAGAATCTGGACGTGTTCGATGTGACTAATCATCGACGGTTCCCGCATCAGCAATCGACTCATGCTGATAGAAATGCATCTCTCACTAGTGATATTATGCCAGTAGTAAACGTTCAAGCATCCATCGCCCATAGTAACCCACCAATCAGGGTCTCTCCCGGCGCCAACACTCAGATACAACAACTGGCAGTTTTTAATGAGTATCAGCAGGCCGACACTGCTGATCATTCACAGAAGACTGCTGAGGAGCCCATCGAACCTAGTGCGGAAAAGCAAGCCTTTTCTGCATTAAGCCCTTCCCCTCCATCAGGACAAACTAAGAAGCACGCAAACAAATCTTCTACTGCATTGTCTGGAGAGCGGCTTGGCGCCCGCAAGCCTCTCCCTAATATTTTGCCCAGCAAGGTTGGGGGACCCAGCATTTTAGTATCGACGCTCACGAAGAAGCATCATGGAGCCCAAGTAACCGGCAGCACAGTCAATGATCCCGACCTCGCCTCAACACCATCAAAGCTTCTATCCAGAAATAGCTCAGCCCAGTCGACCAAAAGATCTTTGGAGTCTTTTGCAAGACCAACCAAACCGAATGCGTCGTTCGGTGCCCGTCGCCGAGATCGCACTATCCAGATAATTGGCTATCTTCTTGATCAAAATGGCGGAGTGTTCCCAGGGCTTCGATCTCTGTTCATGGCAGTCATATCTGTCTGGGCCAAAGAATTCAAAGACCTCGCACCCCCCGATCGAAGAATATGTCAGAATATCGTGAACCAAATGGAACGAGACAAAATAATCAAACAGATGCACTTTTTCTTCTTTGACGATCAGGCCAAGATGCAGGAGTGCGTTGTTTTAGCAAAGACCGATGCAAACATTAGCCCAGCTGTAGATTCGACTGATGACCCCCGTGTCATAGCTGTGAAAGAAAAGATGAGAGAGATGTTTCCCGAAGCCTATGTTCCCGACCCCTTTTCGCTCTCGCCAGATGAGGCTAAGTTATTTGATGAACTTGCGTCACAAGGGAAAGAGCACAGTCAGGCACGTCTGAAAATCGCCAAGGATTTGAAAAAGGTTCAGGACATCGAAACTTTGAGGTACGAAAACTCAGTTATGGATGGCATTTCAACGCTTAAGCATAACGCAAAACGACAAATTGATGAGGCAGAAATGCAGCCACAGCCAAAGAAAACTCGTGTCAGTGTCGAGCAACCAGATCTCCTCGAAAGGGCTCGAAAGCTGCGCAGACGGCCTGACAAACACGAAATGTGGGATAGCGGAAAGCTAGCTGTTTATATTTGGAGTCAAAGACAGAAACCAAGCACCACGTGGGATCAGAACCAGCCACATTTGCAAGATCCTGTGACTGGAGCCTGGTCCTGGGCGCCTGAAATCGAACCACTACAGGGCAACATAAGTACGATTCTATCTTCTGTGAAGAGTGCTAGGCACATCGATGCATCTCTCAAACAGAAGCGTCGCAGAACATCGGCTGCTCGGAGCAACAAGAGGCATGAAAACAGTGATCCGGCTATTGGAAACCCCCCAATCTCCGCTGACAACACGGTAACGCTGAATGGGTATGAACACCACAACTCGAATGACCCTTCATCGTCTCTTGCCATCTTTGCAGGAGATAGCCTCTCGGCCGATGAACGTAGCGAAAGCTATTATGTAAGCGGCAGCGAAGCATCGGATAGCAAGAGCGCCCGCTTGGGCACGTCCAGATTACAACTTACATCAACGGAAATATCTGGTAATTGTAACAAGCAACAGTGGCCTGATCTTCAGGACCCGGTGTGGGAGACATGTAATGACATATCTTTCGCCAATGCTGAGCCAAAGGAGGGTACTTTCCAGTCTTCAGATAACAACATGCCACGTAATGTACAGGATATTCTTAGTACTACACACCGTGTTCACTCGTACAAAGGGTGGGCTGATCCAACCTATGGAGATTTCTTACGAAACCTCAAGACCATTAAGAGCTGGGAGCAATCAGCCGATGGGTCTCGGCTCGTCACTCATGGGCCGGTCGCGCAAGAATATGTTTACATATCCCTCACACTCAACAAAACAAAGGCCAACATGAAGCCTACCGATCCGGAGTGGCTTGTATCCAATCAGTTCACAATAGGCAACGTACCTGATGAAATAAAGAACTCATCCCTAGAGGATGCGGACTACGGATTGGCCTATGCAAATGTAAAGAGTCGGAAGTCGGAGGGCGCCACGAATGAGAAGAAAGGATGCAACGAAAGATCAGGATACAAGACGGCGGCAAACGCCAGGGGTCCAAAGCCAAAAAATTCTTCTCGGATGCTTTCTACACAGCTCCAACATGTTTCGACCCAACCACCGATGTCACCTTCACAGCCTGATGGATTTATTGAATATAAGACACGAGATCTTACCATTATACCAAAACAACCCAGGGGCCGGTTCAATAAACCTGCTGCACATGATGATAAATTGGGTTCCAAAAGAGAAGATGAGCTTGTTGCTGCTTGCGTTGTCTTCAGAACACTCCTGGGGGGGCTTGATAGAAATCTGGACATAGGCTTATTGCTCAAGCATTTCCCAGGAATGTCACTGTCTGCTCTCAAAAAGTTTTGGCCTAGGGTCAGCAAAGAACGTAAATCCTATGTCCAGGCATTAACAGCGAAATTTCAATCGGGTTTCTTGAAAGCCTATGAGAATGGAACGGTCCCGCCACTTGATTACGACAATATTGATAATTATGATTGGCCAAGACTAATTCTGTGGGCTACGCAACTCGAAACCCACGAAGATGTAGACCTACCAGAATCACGAGAGATACTATACCAGAGCCACGTAATTGAGGATATCACAAATGAGGCTGCAGATTGGAGGGACGTTTGGTTTGCCACTACTTCAACGTATAACCGAATCGAAGCTGTTGCTAGTGAAACAATGTCAATCCCCCTACCATCCAAGTTTCGGCAAGACAAAGCGACAATAGAGCGCGCCCGTACCTGGGTTCGCTCGATCTGCTGTACTCCACTTAGGGGTGTGGATGTCAAAGAGAAGCTTGTTCCAAAGCTTCTCGAGCTTGGAGACGGCGATGTGGGTGAAACGAACCGGATACTCGAGAAGGTAGTTGCGGGACTCAACAGAGAAAAGGTAATAACAAGAACCAAAGGGAAAGACCTCGGTGGAAATTTCCGCATACATGGCATGTTCTCCAAACAGCTTGAGAAGATGGCTAGCACTTCAAAAGTCAGGCAAGCAATCTCCTTCAAAGCTCAGCTTGATGAAGTGTTTCGTCATTGCAATGAACATACTATGCCGTATGCCTCTGATGATGGGTCAATCATGGCAGTGCTGAACCTCCAGGCCCATGGTCGAATACGCACTGAAACCATCGATATGCAAAACATTCCTTTTGGTTTTGAACCTGGGAACTACGAAGGAAGAACTTTCCCCAAGAGTTACTATCATTTCAAAATTCGTCTCTCACCAACCGATACCTATTTATTCAATGACGACATGGCACTTCTCGACCAAGCTCAACGTACGGATGTTCCGACTGAAGGACCTGACGGCAGAATCCCTATCTGGGTCGACTTCTTCGGAAATGTGAATGTGACGCGATGGGTTGATTATGTCAGCATGATTGTTTTCACACTTGCAATCAAGGGTCCAATAGTACCCAAGATGTGTGTCACTCTGTTGAAACCCATGATTGAGGAATTCGAGGTTCAGCTGATTGTAGAATGGCTTGATAAACTTGGTCTTATACAGCAGGCCGTGGATAAGTGTGGGGTGACTGTAGCGGAATGGTGGTGGCTTGTTGCTGGATACATCGCCCAGTTTGGCAAGGAAGTGAGGAAAGATAGGTTAGCCTAGGCGGTAATAAAGAAAGGGGGTTTGTATGGTTTCCAGAGTAACTTTCAGGTCACAAGAAAAAGCGCATTGTGTATATGGTCTTATTGGGTTTCATCCATCTCTTTCTAAGCTTCGGCACCGTTTGTTGTTGAAGTGAGATATTTGTGTATAAATTCGTAGAGCTGTTGTTGCATTTCTTCATCCTCAGTTGGCTTAGCTATCTTAAGGTCGATAGCGTGGTTTCTTGTAGGGTTTGATTGCAAGAAAAAACGCAGTTTTCACTTCCTAACTATCCGCATGAAATGCGGCAATAGAGTCACAGCTAGTTGGAGTGTGACTCAACCTACTTACTTGAGCAGAATCTAGCTAGGAAACCATACACATAGGAACAACTAACATGTTCACGCCCAAATGAGAAGGTCCCTAGGACCACAATAGTCTTTTGGGGTAGGAAAGTGAAGGGTCACACCGATCGGGTGCTGATGAGCAAGATGGAAAGGGGACATGAGACTACATTGCTGACGAGTCGAGGATTATTGGCTGAATGCTTTCCCTCTTTGGGATACGGGCGTCAGGAGCCGCATCATCGGGATCTCGGCGGTCTGATATGTTTAACCTCTGACCATGCAAGGAACCGGACCAGCTTACGCCTCCTAAGACCATATATGCATGGCCCGAATGGTTATAACTATGGCTGGGTGACTCGTCGGCGAGCATAGCAGTGATCCTAGCACGAAGCTAGTCATCATATGCTTAACATCCGAGTTGTCTTTAGGAGCGAGATTAATTGACACCGCGGATGTCGGCAGCACCGGAAATACAGCGGGAATGGTGTTTATACTATTGCTCCTCAGTGCTAATCGCCATGGTCGGTTTGGCGTGGTTTATGGTAGGAGAAGGGCGTGATAGTAGGTATGAGTAGGTAGGTAGGTAACATGATGTGTGTTTTCGTTTTTTTCTTTCTTCGAACGTTCCTATTCCGACATGTAAGTAGAGGGATTTGGATATACATAGTATGTTTAAGCTACAGCCAAGAGTAGATCTCATCAATGCTTGACTTGAACGGGCAGAAAACGGGACTAGAACGGGAGCTAGGCACCCCATGGGTCAAGCCAGCCGCCAAGGCCCGGGAGCACGGGCTTTATGTAATACCTAACTCAATGTCCCTAGACTGTTCTGTGGCCCATAGCGGTATCTGGATGACTCGGAGCAGCCGACAATTGTACTCGACATACATTCGCGAGACTAGGCAGTGACGTAGGTGGCTGATCTGCGGTCAGTTATCAATCATTTATTCTCCATCACACTTCATCTTATTAGTCTACAGGTAGCTGTCAGGGACATCAGCGTGCAATAGGCGAGATAGGAGGGGAGTTGCTGAAATGAGGCGGTTCGTGTATGTAAGCACGCCTGCTTTGTCGCTGACGCCAATCACACAGGCCGAACCCCCGAAATAGTCCGAGACAATGTCATTCTGAGCAGTAGAGTAGGGATCCCGGGCAGAACGGGCAGAACGGGCAGGTATAGATAGATAGATGAAGAAGTCCTGTCGAGGATAGCCCTATACCGGCTCTTATTAGCTCTGTGCTCTGTCTATCCACCCGGGCCACATCACATCAGGCTTCATCCCTATGGCATCGGCAGCAGCGGCAACGCCGCGGCGGGGTAGCACATCGGCACCGATCACGGTCCAGATACAGAACCTGAATGAAGTGTTTGGGTAGGGAGGTAATCAAAGTAGGGGTGGAGCTGAGCCATCTCCACCTACCGGCAGCAGTAGACTGATTGAAAGCTTGTCCATCCGTGACCCTTGAACACTCGGCGAAGCTACTGTAGTCTAGCCACGGACAGACACGGGCGATTATTTTCATCCGCTAATTGCCTCGACGCTTGCCTTCCTATTGCGGTAATTTCTAGATATTGGCTTATTCATCCCGGCTGCGCGTGGTATCACAGTAGTTGTTCCCTGTTTCTCGCGACAGACTCGGCATTCTGAATGCGCCATCGGAAATACGTTGGTAATAGCGGGGGACGCTGGTGATGGCACGCAGCACGACGACGGTGACAGCAAAGCATAAATAGAGGCATCATGTCCTACATTTTGTTTCGCGCTGTGACTCAACCACCTTCACCTGACTCTCCTTCACCATCCTCCCTTTGCCACTGTCACTCGCCCCTTTGACAATGTATCTCAAGGCAACTCTTCTCACGGCGGGCCTTCTACCCTTAGCCAACGCCCTGCCCAAGCCTCAGTGAGTGATGGCTCGGTTGCCGCCCCTTTCCACCGGTGCGAGCTAACTCTGGACTCAGGTTAACCTACGATGAGAACACCGGCCCAGTTGGCGGCGTGGATCCCCCTTTCCCAACCTTCACCGCTGCCGCAGGCGACTTGCGTGGATCGACAGATCTACAGGGTGGCATCGCCTCGCGCCCACCAACCTCTGGGGGAGACTCGGCAGTAGTACCGAACCCGGAGCTCGTGAATGGCCAAGAGGCCGACTCAGATCTTGGGCTGTACCTCGACTTCAACAGCGCCAAGGCCCCCAACGGACCGCAACCTATCCGCGGCGGTGAGGGTGGCACTGACCCGGGTCCGCGTACGTTTGAGTACGAGAAGCTGAACCCCGATCTTTTTGCGCCTCCGGGAACCGACTCTGGCGATGTGCCCAACGCAATGTGGCCGCTTGGCCTCAGTCACAACCGCGCGGGAATTGGCAAGGAGTCCGGCTGGGCAAGGCAGCAAAACTCCGGTGTGTTACCTATAGCCACGGAAATGGCCGGTGTTGACATGAGATTGGCGCCTCAGTATGTATTTATGACGAGTTGTTTTGAATTCCCCAAACCTGGCAGAGCTTCGGAATCGGCTACTTCATCTGCGGCTGAATATTGTCAAGGACCGCGCGCCTGCGTCAAGTCTAGATATCCCTCACATGCTGCCAAAGCAATGCTAACTCTTTTCTTCTCTCAGTGCCTACCGAGAGCTACATTGGCATACCTCTGCTGAATGGTAAGTTTCATACTGCTTTACACCGATATCATGTCTGCTTCAACCTAGAGACTGACAATCACGTCGTAGGGCCCTAGTTCTAAAGGGAAGTGTTCGTGTCGCGGCTATGAACGAAGATGGAGCGTCTTTCATAGATGATGTTACAGCCGGCGACGTCTGGTTCTTCCCTCCAGGTGTCCCCCACAGTCTACAGGGCCTTGACGAAGGCTGCGAGTTCCTCTTGGTCTTTGACGACGGTAACTTCTCAGAGGAAGACACGTTCCTTGCCACTGAGATGATGCTACGCTCACCTAAGGAGGTCTGGGCCAAGAACCTAGACATTGATGTCAAGGATCTCGACAACATACCCCAGGATCAGAAATATGTAAGTTCCAACGGCTTGGGTAGCTATCAAGCTTATATAAGGATCAATGAGGCTGATAATCATCTTTAGATCTTCAATGGAACACCAGCACCTGCTGATATCGAGAAGCAAAACATTACAGGCTCCGCGGGTTCGCTTACTGGATCTACTGCTTACACTTACCATTGGTCACAGCAGGAGTTCCACAACACAACTGGAGGCAGTGTCAAGATCTTGGATCCTGTTACCTTCCCCATTGCCGACATGTTCTCCGCTGCCTTGGTTGTTCTAGAGCCTGGCGCTATGCGAGAGGTCCATTGGCACACCACTTCAGACGAATGGTCGTACTTTCTCCAAGGATCGGCCCGCATCACTGTCTTCGCAGCCCCCGCATCTTCTCGTACTTTCGACTTCACCGCCGGCGATGTAGGATATATTCCTCAGGCACAAGGACACTACGTTGAGAACACCGGAACCGAGGACGTTATCTTCCTCGAGGTTTTGCAAGCCAAAAAGTTCGGCGATATCAGCGCCTCACAGTGGTTAGCCCTTACACCTCGCCAAGTTGTTAAGGATACGCTGGGCTTCAGTGACGAGATCCTTGACAAACTACCTAAGGACAAGACTCTCATCAAGCCCGGCAATGCGAACTTGACGGCTCTTGCTGGCGAGTCTTAATGGCCGCTAACACTACCCGCTGAAGAAAGTAAATAGAAAAGATAGATATCTATCATTAGCATTCAATTCTGTATAATACCCTTTGGTACTTTGACTGTTAGATACTTGGGGAACATATTCGCGAATTAAATATCCTTTTGGTGGTAATAGAATACGTTCACTAGAACCCTCATTGCCCCTCCCGACTAGATTTGCCAGGAAGGTCTCAATTATCCATGCCAAAGGTGGCACAAAATGATCAATCATCGATGAAGGTGGGTTGTGAGGATATGGATAAATGTTGACAGATAGGCAGCTCGAAAATTTATCCAAAAATTGAAGGAAGTGATAACCATGGAATTGATAGTGACAGATCAGCTAATGGATGTAAAGTCTTTCCTCAGGTCCCCTCGCCTTGTAGAAAAATCTTGATATCTAGACATTGGATCCACTTAGTCATAAAATCTGGTCAAGTCGGCAGAGTGACCAACCTTCTTTTTTACAACCTTTTTGAATACCGTAATGATGCAAACATACAAGTACTAGCTATATGTACATGCGTTGCAACTCTTTCCACAGCATACATCCCATGTCACATACGACGTGTATTAATACGAATCATTGGCGGCATTGCGACTCGCTCCCGTAGCGTTACTTATAAATATGCTACACGAGCACACGATAATTTCCTGCTGTCTTGCAATCAAAATTGCAGGCGGTTAAGCTCCCGATTCGACAGAATTCTTGTGTGTTGGGAATGTCGTAACATTGCAGTATGAGTCTCTCCGCAATATGACGCAACTCAGCTCGTTTAAGTACGTTAGAGGTATCAAGCGGAGGCAGAATGACAGAACTATTCAATGATGCTGGGAATGGTTACCTGCTTCAAGCAGCGATATTGATAGGCATATTACACCTGTACGGCTGATCTGGATACTGTAGGTGGGTTACTCTCGTCAAGCCGGGTCCGGGGTACAGAAGTTTAGCTCTTGCCATGAACGTCAAGCCACTGCTGTATGAAGAAACAAGATCACATCACCTACTACATACCTGACTAAGTCAGGTACTAGCATATCGGTTAAGGACCCTGGCGTTGACAATCAACCAAGCTGTATTATTCTGCGGCTCACCACTCTTGTCTCCACTCCTATCCATTGAAGGAAACATCCTGGTCGAACTCTTTCCCTTGCCCATGCTCGGCAACTTGACGGTTCAAAGTCTAGACCTTTTCTTACTAAGACCAATATAACACGCCGCCACGGCTATACGCTTAGAAGAGGATATATGATACAGACGTGCCCTGTCATCGTGGAATTCTGGAGGATTCATAATGGATACAATATAGGTATAAGCGTGCGCATTTGATGCATTCTCAAATACCAGGTTGATGGTCAGACATTGCTCATTTGTTCGTAAACGTGTGTAATCGCCCGGATCAATAAATGATTGTTCAGTTTACGAAGCTCGGCGCATGCGGAACTCAAAAGTAGAAAACAAGTAGCCCGTTTTCAATAGATGCTTACACGAATTCCCAGCACCTTCCTCTCTTGGAATACCACTTCTATTCAACATACACGTGAGTATTCGAGTTGTAGACAATATAGTGTATGAGGAGAACCATATGGTATCATACACTGGTCATTGTATCGTAATTCTATTTACACGACTTTGATATATTGTTGGCTGGTGTTGTTCCGTGAAAGATCTTAGCCTGGGATTTCGACTACAGAGCTACAGTAGTCGAAGAACAATGCAGAGCGTGAACTACACCATCTACGATATGGACTCTAACTATTAGAGAAGTATAAATTGAAGGCATGATATTTCGATTCCAGAGGTACCGGTAGTTGAGTCTGTCCTCTTTGCTTTAACCTGCTCCTCAGTTGAAGACGGACTAGCTGAGTCAACCCGGCACTGGGAATGAGATTGCGGAGAAATTCATAGCATAACGACCCATATCGCGAAGGGAATGTACCAAGTGCGAGCAACATATGACAGTTAGACGTTGAGTAGTGCCAACGTCGCAATATACGTAATGAGGATGAGGGGGTGGCAGCGAAAGCAAGCAATGTATCGTCACCCCTGCGCCCTCCTCATTCTGATCTGTAACCAGCAGTCTACGTACCCCATACATACGTAAATCTGTCGACCTTCCTACCTACCGACCAATGGCTCCTGCAAGATGCGCGTGGTGTTGCGCAAAAAAAGAATTGCCTCTTGTCGAGGCCGAAAGAATACATACAGCACAGCCAAGTATGAGACGAGCGGCTTTTGTCCGCATACTCAGCGCTCATGTATTCGCGATGGGAGTTGGCAAGCGTCACAACCTAAGGGATTATTCCGAGCGGCCCGATGGGACGCTGCGATTGTCTTTGGCCCTACTGGCTATGGGTGTGTATGGACCACAGGTCTCTGATCCTCCAAGATCTCACACCTTCACTACTTGTACCCTAGGTGAGAGTGACTCTACGGTCGACAAAGGTGAGTGCGCGCGGAAGAACCCGTCGTACATGCAACAAGACGGATCAGTACATGTTGGGGTAAGGAAGGATAGAGGTAAATGTGTATTGCATGTTGTATGTGTGAGGCGTCCAGGGCTGAAGCGGAACATAGCCGAGATGGCAACGAGAAGAATAATGATCCTTCCGTCGGTTTCCTCAGCAAAGTGCAATTCCTATCGGAAAGTCGATTCCAGAATTCAACCGCTAAACTAGGATTGCGAGGGATCTATGCAGAGGAGTAGGCAGCGGCGACAACAAGCAAGAAGCCACGCTTACACCATAACAGACGGATCACCGTTGGCTGGATGGGCGAGGAATGCCCAAAACAAGCATTAAGCGACGATGACTTGCAAATAAAACAAAATAGTGCTGACCAAACAAGGAACGCGTCCATAGATACCATACAGTACCTAGTTACCTAGATCTCCGGGGGTATCTGCAGCAAGGAACAGGCTTCCGTGAGCTTACACTGTCTGCAATTCACCTTAGGTAGTGATCTTTATTAACCCAGCATCCTGCCACACCGTAATGTAGGCACAGTACCGATGTATGGTCAATCCGTTGGTCAGTCGGTCGGTCGATGGGGTATCGCGAGTAGACAGCCTTCTGGCGTGCTACTTCTGCCTACCTACCTACCTACCTACCTACCTATGGCCTAGAGTCGACAGGCCGACAGGTTGGCTATTTGCACGAAGACAAGGTGAGTGATAGATAAGGACACGGGGGTGGCAGTAGAGAACAGGGGGGGAGGGGTCTCAATGAACCCGACAGCGTGGCTCCGGGATCATGGCAGGGAAATCATTGGGTATCCACGGAGAGGATGGAATTGGATCTTGTCCTTGTACTCCAACACGCGAGGTACGCAGGTATCTCCAGTTCCTACCATAGGCACAGTATCAAGTATCAGCATGCGGAGTAGCTCAGGGATGCCTGGCGGTAAGTGAGGAGGTAAGCATGGATGGATGATGGATGTGAGATACCTGTCGGTTGTGCTAGGTCGGGGCCCGGCCCGGGCGCAGTGTGTAGGGACGAGGTATGTCGAAGGCCACCACACACTCCATCAAGGGCCTCTGGTGGTGCGTGGGGATACGCAAGATACGTAAGATACGCTGTAGAGTGAGTATGGGATCTCATGCAGTTATCTACATACTGGCATGGACGTACACCACCAAGAATGTGCCTCGGAGGGGCGTACGTAAGGGTGGTGAGAGTGTCAGAAGCGGAGCGGTAGCGGGCCGAAGTTTCTAGTGTCGTAGTCGAGTCATATCCACACCACCCACCACTCCTCTTCCTCCTCCTCTCCCTCCTCTACTCACATTATGACATTACTATACGAGGCCACGCCTTGCAACTACACGTCCTGTAATGCTGCTGGCCCACTCGTGTCAGCTGCATGCTCACCTAGGTCAGCGTTGCTGCGGTGCTGAATCCTTGTGACAATCCTTACAGTGTGCAGCACTCGTAGCGAGACGGCGAGGTGTTTTGAGGGTGACTAGGACTAGGTAGGGACCAGGCCTTGTCCTCCATCCGGTGTGGCTTGCATTGGTACCTGCGTGTATCTAGAAGCTCCTGGTACACGAGGTACTTGGGAAAACCTCTCTCGAAACGCCCGAGCTGGCCTCGTGTGTGTAGCAACAGGCATGCTCTTCTCCTCGCGCGCGCCCAATGCACACTGCACAGGTACCTACCTAGGCATATCCCAACGGCCGGCTATTTCAACGGGCCACCGTTTGAACAGGGAAGCATTGGCCTTGAACTGCCTTCACAGATTGCGTTAAAACTCCAAGATCGGTCGTATTAGCTATCCGTAGGTCAAGCAACACAACTAGACAACGGATAGCAACTCGCAGCAACTTACAGTGCCTAGCTAGTAATCATCCAATAGTAGCTTATAAATAAACAAGCCAGATTGCATCCACCTGTGTCCTGCAGATCTCTTGGCAGACAAGTTGGTTCTTTACCCCAACTTCCGGGGTTTGCTTGTTGTTACTACTTACTACCTACATACTATGTATGTACTTTATTTCCAGAGTGCCGGGCTGGGGTCTGGGCTGGAGTCATGATTGTGTTTATTGCCATGAAACCTGATGATAGTAATGCCCGACTACTGTTGCATACGGGTAGAACACAAGGAATCCATGTCCCCAATAATTCCTATATGTTGGTACAGCAATCCCACCGCAGCTCATGTGTACACCAGAACAACGGGGTCAAGGTCATATGCAGCGTGAGCCGCTAACATTCTTTCATTGAAAATCATGCAGATGCAGAGGCCTGTTATCCATGCTAACTCGGGCGTGATGTATGAAACCAGAAACAATTCACCCGGCATTTCGATGGCTCACATCAGTCCCATCACACACCCTCCTTGTCATGAGTGCTAAAGCAGTAGCACACTACTCAACAACGTACATCCCCCAGCAAAGTGCTCTTTTCAGCCCCAAATATGACCCTATACCAGTGCATTTCCCAGCACAACCAAAATACGCAAACCCATAAAGTAACACAATGACACAATTGAGGAAGGGGTAGCCTTCGCTTCATTTTCGGAGAAGGAACCCGCCTACTCGACATAGAACAAAACAGTAATTTTCCGTCGTTTCCCGATCTATAATGTTAAACCCTTGGACACCTGTTTCATGCTTGTTGCCTGCACTGCCAAGGCAAGAATGAGAGATTCGTGAACGCTGCGTGACGAAATAGAAATTAAATCAGACAAATGATCCCTTCCCTTCTACGCCTGCCCGATGTTGATACGAGGGGGTATTCGCTTAAATCGACTGAGAATTCATAATAAGGCAGAGTGAGCAATTGGATGGTGTGCCATAGGATTGAGGTTGGTGTATGTCGAATCAATATTCGACCGAAGGGGTGTTTTGTTGTACAGAATTTGATATTGAACACGGTATACTCTCCCCATAACCACTATCCAAGCTAGTTTTCTCAAAACTCGATGGCTTGGGTGGTGTTGACCGGCCAAAGACATTTTTACCGATATGCTTCAGTTTCCCAACGGATGAATCCACCGTTTCGGGGTTTGGTATGTAAACGCTTGTAGCAGGTTGCACAGTAATACGGCAAAATAATGTTGAGAAGAGGAATTGATCCCCGTTAGAGTCCCATAGAGGTAGAGTGCGGTAGCCATGCTTCAGGCTGCTGAGCTTGACCGTGTAAGTCGCCACAGTAGGATTTCGACCACCGGTAGCCTCTCCATCTGGAGAAAGCTTGACACTGAATTTGACAAATACTAATTCGGGATACTTTGTTGTCACCTGGAATTCACCTGGATAGTTGAACTCGGGATCAAAGCCGTTTCCCCTGACAATACCGGTGCGCACCTTGACTGGTGTGTCAGTTTGAATAGGTATGCCGCTCGTACTGTCGTGCTTGTCCCTCTTGTCGTTTGCGTGGAAAACTTCTATCTCAACATATGGATCCATTGTGCGGTTTGAAGCCAGATTAGCAGGCCGCATCAGTCGCTGTGCCGAGATGAGGTCAATGGAGAACGCGAGATTTTGACGCTCCAATTTCCCAAAGGCCTCGTGAGGCAGACCGTCGGGCAATATTCGAATCGTTCGCATAGACTCGGGCTTTAGTACGTAGCCTGTTTGGTCTGCACCGCCAGCGAACATGGCTTGATTTAATTGCATACCGAGATCGAATGTTTGCCAGTTGAGCGCGGCCATTTGAACCCCTTTGCGCCAATACATCAGAGGATTGAAATTATCAGATGTAAGCCGCGAATACTGGGGATATACACGCATCATGTAACGCATGTTATGACGAGTTAATAATTTCTTGGACCCTGGTGCTTTCGAGTGTTTCCTGAACGTTCCTTCCATGAAAGATAGGATGTGGTTGGTTTTCTTGCATTCAGCGGATTCAAACCCATGAAACTTCACCCCGCTACAATACACACCGAGGTCGCCGAGAGCCTTGACAATCTTACTCGTTTTTCTCTTGCTGCTCTCTTCCTCGGTCTCACAATCGCTTGTACTGCTACTGATACCACCATGCACCTCGCCCTCCGTGATAGTGTCTACTCTCTTTCCAATTGCTCGGCGAGGTTGTTGAGTTGGACCTAAGAGTGGACTAGAAGCGAGGTATTGGGTAGGTATATTTCCGTTGTCTATCATGGTAGGTTTAGAGAACGGCGATGTAAGGCTATTCCCTCGTCGTCGACCAGTTGTTTCGGCCCCAGTTCGTTGTTGGTGGCTTTGATGTGTCCCCTTGACTTTGATCAGAATGCGATCCTTGAGCTCTGTAGGGGACGGTAGCTTGTCCGCGGAAGGGTCTAAAGGTTCAGTAACGAGGCGGGAGCCAAATACTTCTTTTATAGTTTCGGCCATGATCTCTTGCTGTGTCGCGTTGCAATGAACTTCTAGTGAGACCCAAAGAGGAAATCGGCTGGCAACGAAGGCATACTTATTCACCGTATTTATGACTTCACGGAATGAGATGGCGTTGACAAGAGCACGTCCATGTTTGACGGCAGGTTGTCCATCTGAACCGTCCCAGCAGTCAATCTCGACACTGCGGCAACCCCTGAGAAGCGTCATGATGTAGCCCTCCACAGAAGAGACATCGGCTACTTGCCGGCCGATGAGATACGTATTATGAGAGCTGGAAATGAAGTATTCGTTGACCGGACGGTCGAGGATAGGTTCGACGGAGTCACGCACGAGGTGGTCATTGTCTTTAGAGACGAGGTAGGCGGCGAGAGCGTCTTCCGTCATGGTAATGGAGTCGATGGTGGGCCGCAAAGCTGAAGTATCCTTCGCCTTGTGTCGCTGGCAATAACGAATGAATCGTGATTCCCACAAGCTAGGATTGCTCTTCACGTCCTCGCCTTGAGTGTCACGAAGGAAAGTCTGAAAGTCTGACCATGTAATACCTTTGGCTAGGTCTGATGCGATCTGACGATATATAGCTCGAACGTCCTTTCTTCGCTTCATCTCGCTGATGAAAACCTGGAATTCGGCATAATTTAGCTGGTTTGACTTCGTTGTGTCTGCAATGGTGAACTTCGCCTTAAGCTCCTTTTGTGCCATATGTATGTGCAAGTTCCGACAAACTCGTTCGACACCGAGAAAGTCAATCTTCTCTTCTTGTGAGTTATGTGGTCTGTTACTGAAGTGTTTTGCCATCTCGCCATTCCAGAAACTACGCACGGCATTCTCATCGAACGCCATAAGCGATGCCATGTGAAGTTCGCGATGTTTTGAGATTGAATCTAGACCCGTCACCCATTGCGAGAACGTTTCCTCATCCTCAGCGATGAGATGCATCTGCTTGCTCCGAGACATGTCTGGCAGTGCATAGAATATGGTAAAGAAGCGTCCCTCTTCTGTGTCCGGGACGCCATGATCAATACGATCCTGGCGGGTATCAGAGCCTATTCTGATGTCCTTGATATCGTCGATATATATGCATTTCGAAGACCGCCCTTTGTCCCATGATATCTTGCCCGCATTTGACTCAAGTGTAAACAGCATAGGCTTGTATTTCTTCTTCTTAGAAACTTTTGTGAGGATTGTGCCCTTAATGAGTGCACGGGGGATTACTGGGCCGTGGAGTATATCGCTGCTGGAGAAAGATCCTGTGATGGACGGTGCGTTACTGTTGCATGACGGTTCCCGCGTTGTAGCATTGGTGGTACCTAGATTGAAGTCGCTAACCTCATCGTGTAATTCCTCGTCGGAATCAGTCATTGCAGTCTCAACAGGTGCGGTGTTGGTGCTATCGCTTCTACGTCTGAGAATCCCAGGACCAAGGCTTACATCTCGACTATTCGCAGCAGCCGACGACTGTCGCCGCGTTCTTGAGAACTTGTTCGAGAACCGTCTTATCAAGCCTTTTCCGGAGGAACCTGTATTCATGGCCTCAGGGGGCATCGTGCCGTTACTACCATTGAGTGCTGCAGCACCAATAGAGCTGATGCTAGGCTTGCGGCTAAGAAGGGGGTCACCTAGATGAAGAGGAGGTGGAGGAGGAAATATCTCAACATCTCGCGTACGGAACGAGTCTGGTGAAGGCTGGACAGAGCTGCTTGTGGTCAAAGCAGAGTTCTCTGGGGACATCAAAGGAGAGACGTTGTGAGAACCCGACGCTGCGGTTGACGCACTTATAGCCGAGGTAGGTAACACACTAGCTTGCATGCTAGGTTGAAGTGTGGTTTGGACTTGGCTGGGACGGGCCCTTCTTAACGCAGTGCCCTGGCCAGCCATAACGGGTGTGCCTGGAGAGGACTGGGCCTCTAAGCTGGGGAATATGGGATTTCTAGTCGAAGGCATGGTGTCCAAGACGGGAAATAGGTGTGGCCAGGCGGCGGAGAAACTGTCATGTGTGGGATAGACGGACCAGGGAGGTGATGACTATGAACAAGTGGTTGACAATATTGGCTTCATCTTCCTGGACAATGTTGTTATCGATTCACACCCGGGGGGCGGATGGGAGCGGTGGTAGTGGTGTAGGAACCAGGTGGTAAGATGAGACACGGCTCCTTACGTGAGCGCTGGACTTGGGAAGAGCTTGTAATAACTACTGAGTAAGACTAAGAGCGGGTTCAAGGCTGCAGACCATCTCGGTGCTTCCCACGATATCAACGGTAGACCACACCTGCAAGGATATGTATGCCCCGAGATCGAGGTACAGATGTACCGGGCGGTCCTGAGTACAGGCCTTGGACAAAGGTACGTCGAGGTACTCTGGGTACAATGGACGAGGCCTGTGAAGATGCAGCAGCACGGGGACCAGGACCTAGCTAGGGTGCTCGATGGGTCGATGTTGCAATAGCTCGAGGATGAGGTGGCAGGTAGCATGCAGGTGGCTAGTTTGGGCATGCAGCGAGAGTTGGGGGATTCGCTTCCAAGCCTTGGATCCCCAGCATGCGCACCAGAGGAAGCTGATATAGGGAATCGTTGCCCCCGCCGTGAGCAAAACTACGGTAACGCTCTCGAATCCCCTGGAAAGGTATCCTCTGGAGACTTTGTCGAGGCCTTTTTTTTTCTCTTTCTTTCTTTCTTCTTGTTCTTCCTCTCCTCCTTTTCTTCTTCTCTCCTCTTAAACCTCGTAATATCACTTCTTGCGAGTGCGGTGCGCAATGCGCTGACGGGCCTGCACCGCCCGAACAATGCGCAGCAGCAGCAGCAGTAGCAGTAGCGGTACACTCTTGTATAACACACCAGAGCACCTCGGCAAAGACTACCAGAAACCAAACAGGCCAAAAGAAAGTAGACAAAGAGCCTCGGTAGATGAGTAGCTGTTGTTCCTGTTGTTGTCCCTCCTTATTTCAACCAGCAGAAAGATGCGGTGCTGATATGCCGGTGAGCAGTAAGGAGGCTAGCCCAAGAAACAGTAGCTGGGAAAGGATGGACAGACAGGTAGACAGATAGATAGATAGATAGGCAGAAAGATATATAGTCTTGGTGGCAAGTGATATAAATAAACCTAGACCAAGATGATACTGAGTCCCGAGAGAGCGGCGGCGGGCATTGGCGAGGTACAGATATTGCAAAACTGGGTGGGTGTCCTCCTTATTGTCTGACGGCGTGGAGAATCGTCCTGCAAGGTGCCAATCGTGATCTTCTCTTGTGTTGGGTCCTGTGAGATGCGAGGAGTGAGATGAGTTTTGTGTAAGAGACGAGAGAGATGGCGTATAGTGCAGGGTGCGCGCGAGGGCTGTGAGATTGATAGTGAGATGCTGCGAGGGCGCAAGGTGCGCTTTTCTAGTAGCTTTTCTAGTGGCTTTTTCTTGTCGTAGCGGCAGAGCCCAGCGCTGGGCATTGGGGCGCTGTAGGGGGTTTGAAGGGTAAAAAAAAAAATTAAAAAAAAATTAATGATAATAATAATTGACGGGCCCCAGAAAAATTAAGGATTGGGCGATGACTGGCTCAGCCGGCTCGACCTGGAGAAGTGCGGTGTGATGCAGAGGGAGACGAGACCGGGGCGGGCAGGCTGGACGGAGTGAGAAATTAGCAGCTATTGGACTAGATTAGCGCATATTTTATCCTCTGGCATGGAGGGACCACTGTGACTGCTGGAGCCCTTAGTACACCGACCTTAGGTACCTAGGTAGGTGCTGTAATACTGGTGCCTAAGCGAACAGAGCGGGAACGGGAGCGAAGAAGAGAGAGAGAGAGAGAGAGGAGAGAGGGGGGGAGAAGAGTGCACACTGACCTGGATTAATTAACGCCTTGGTACTGGGTACATATGTAACATCACACTATTCCCAGTAGCTATTCCTGAAAGACGAGTAAAAAGGAGGAATCAAAGACCTGCTTAGACGGAAGGGGGAAAAGTTGAGAGCGTACCTAAGGCACAGACAGGTAGGTATACATATAAGTCTTAGCCAAGAGTATACTGGTAGGCAGGGAGGCAAATGTATTACAAGGTAGGTTAAGCATCGGAATTGGAAAGAAAGGGTTTATAAAAAAAAACAAAAAAAAAACAAGATCTAGATACAAAGTCAAAGAGCTGCCGCCACACTCTCCGCCGAAGGAAAATACGTAAAATTTAGATGTGCACCTACCTGCGTTAGATTTCTAGTCTACAGATCACATCAGACTATCTTCCAAGTTGAATCTCCGAGCAGTACTGGCGGTACGACTACTGCCTTCTCGTCATATGGACAATTCACTTGCTAACTTCCCAGTCCAATGCATCTCCGATTTATATAGGTCAATGGTCTCTAGGTCTCTGCAAGATAGGCACGCGCTGATTAATTGGGCATGTAGAATAAGGTAGATTGGATTATAGAGCAGATAATTGATCTTACTTAATTGACTTTGTGAGGCTCATCCCCTTTCTATTCTGGGCATTTACTACATCTACTTACGTCCTTCCATCCTCATATGCTTGCTTACATGGCTCATGGCTACTTACGAAGTATGTACCTATATAGGTGACCTGGGCGGGAGAGCCTCGGAACGAAGGCCACGTCTCCTCCGCCTCTACCTAGGCGCCTAGGTATGCAAGCATTTATTCTGTCCACCTACGCGTGCTTCCCCACGAGTCAAGAGGAACTACAAGCAGCTGAGGGGTGGACTTGAACTACAACTTGGTGGTGGAATTACTTTTGATATAGCACTCAGCGGAGCTGCCTTGGGTAGGCATCTAAGCCTTAACAGGCATGGATCCCTCTGTGCAATCAGAAACACTATTCGTAACATTCATACCTTGAGCCTTGCAAGTTTGATTGAGCTGTGGCAACAGGAATGCCTGCGGTGGTTCTTGGTCCTACGCATAGGTACAATAGATACAACATATACATAGATAGGTAGGGTCTGGTAGGGTAGGTTTGGATGATCGTTGCTGGCTTGCAAGTTGTACATAACATAACACAACAAGAGTGGTCTATCTCAATGTACCTGACATACGGCACCTACAGTACACGTATTGAGCGACTACTGTACTCACTGTACTCTACATAGTACTATGGATATCTGTAGCTTGGGAATGACTCGGCGGCAAGACAGCTGTTTCGGTGGAACAAGAATTGGTAACAATTCATCCCTTTGCAATCTGCGTTGACGGGTTTTGCGTCTTGCAAGTTAGTGGTGGTAGGTGTTAATCAGGCAGGAACCCTGAGGACTAGTCTCAAGATTACGCCCATGATGCATCATCGCATCGGCTGAACTATGATGGAACATCAATCACCAAACAGCCCACCCTTGTATCTACCTACCTACCCACACTGCATCAGAACAACAGATGAGTATTGCAGTGCTACATACCGTAACTTTTCTTTCATTTCTTCATTCCTTCTTTCCTCCCCCCCGCCCCTTATCGATCAATATAGGGCCAGGTAGCAGGCTATTGGACGAGCAACGGCTTCGGTCTTTAGTCTTGATCCTTCGAAGTTTGAGGTTGGTGAATCGTGATCGCGGTGGTGAGCCGGCTGTGGAGAAATCAACCAATGACTCTTAATTTGCTGGCCATGGATGGAGTAGCAAACAGGCACCACGTGAGCGGATGGCGGCTACTTCTGGGGATTTCAGGCTGGCACCAGGAAGGTGACATTGGACACATAGCCCGACAACGGGCGATTTTCGTTGCGTGTCCTACCGGGAAGACATCTGTCGGGAGATAGAGAAGATCCGGAATTGCGAATTAATCAAGGACTGCGGTATCCACTACATCGCAAACCCATGACAGGGTCGAGAACATGCGGGAAGGAAGCCTCATAGCGCGCTTTATTCCACATCAACGGCTTCATTCTTCAGCCATGGGACAACACCCAGTACCCATCACAGACTGTCCATTAGACTAGATATCTGTTACCAGCTAATGAACTACACTCGACAGCCTCTGTCACCTAGGGCACACCTATATTCAGTACTTCGTAAGTACCTACAGGTGGGGAATGGATGTGTACCCTACCCATCCCTAAGCGCTATTAGTACCTGACCTGGCCTTGGAGCCTCATAAGACGCCGAGGAATTATAGGTAGGTAGGGCACCTCACGTACATGAGTGATACCGGGCCGTAGGTCTTTAGCTGACCTACCGGGTACCTTAATTCCAAAGCACGAGGGCTGTGACACGGCCAATAGGCTGCCGATTCTAAGAAGCATTGCCCAGGCAATCTAGAACCTAGTAGCCATTGGACACAATTTCAACAATGGTTTACGTAGGTGCTGTTGGGGACAATAGCGGATTGTATATTAATTTGTCCTGTTTCGGCGTCGTCTGTCACCGTTGCGACAGTCCAGCCAGAGTCATTGTCCACGTCTATCTAAAACACTTGTTAGCCGTAGGGGACTTTCCAACGATCCTACCTTTATTTCATGACATATGAAAGCAGTAAGTAAGCCCCTAGGGCTCGGCTGCTTATGCTTAGGCAATCTAGGCATTTGCGGGACATCTCCAACTCAAGCGTACACAAAACAACTGTATGTAGCTTCCTGGACGTGAGAGGGGATATATGTACATTACTTATATATAAATATCTTCTTAATCGGTATATTCTCTCTATATAGTAGTTACCAGACCTGGTACATCTGAAAGAATTGGGCAGTTAAGAATGAAAGAGTGGCCAGGCCAAACAAAGAGAGCCAAACAAGGGCAAAAAAAAATAAAAATAAAAATAAAAATCGTACATAGTAGGTAGATGCTGATTGCTGTAAGCCATACACTAGTGAATGCACGATGCCGGATCCCGAGGGTTGTTCGGTGACGTATCACGATAGCTTTAGTGAAAGAATGCCACCTAGACCTAGCAGCACAGC